AAAACATAACCTCCTTGGCGGAGGTAATAAATAAAACAATAACAAAAAATAAAATAAAATAAAACACACAGAGGACCACTCAACTCACTTGGTGTATATGCAGCTGCATACATGTCCTCAGAGGAGTCCATGCTGAGATAAACTGAACACACTCGTGGCTCGTTCTTTTCACAATAGAAATCAAATATTTTTGAGAAAGTTCTTCCCAAGTCTGTTGCAGAAGTTCCCATAAATGTGTGGCACTTGTTGGTTGCTTCACTCTTCTGTCCAGTTCATCCCAAACCAGCTTGATGGAGTTTAAGTCTGGACACTATGCTGGATACTCCATGTTTTCAAGCTTTACCATCTTGTTCTTTTTTCCTGAGATAGTTTTGACAGAGCTTGGACTCGTTTTGTATCTTTTGTCTGTTCAGTTTTTACATTTGTACCATTTCAAGCTCTTCCTTTATCTTGCAATAAATAATTGGAAAAATCAGGATGTTCTTAAACTTTTGGCTGGTATTGTACATTTTTACTTATTATATTATTTTGTGATGTGTGGGCTACTGTGCCCAAATAATTTCCCAAGTTGTGGACAGTGTTGGGAATGTTACTTTTAAAATGTATTCCCCTACAGATTAGATTACGTACCCCAAAATGTAGTTTGTAACATAATCCATTAAATTACTTGGTGAGTAATGTAATCTGAATACTTTGGATTACTTGATTTACTGTAGAGAAGCAAAGATGAGGAAATCTTCACATAAGAAGTTTTGTCTAATAAAAGAAAATAAAAAAGCCCAGACTTTATTAAAAATATTATTGATAGAAGAGGACGAGACACGGTCCACGCAGCATGGTTTAGTTAAATCCTGTTTTAGTCTTGGTTTAGACCTGGTTTTAGTCCTGGTTTAGACCTGGTTTTAGTCCTGGTTTAGACCTAGTTTAGACCTGGTTTTAGTCGTGGTTTTAGTCGTGGTTTTAGTCGTGGTTTTAGTCGTGGTTTTAGTCGTGGTTTAGTCCAGGTTTAGTCCAGGTTTAGTCCAGGTTTAGACCTGGTTTAGTCCTGGTTTAGTCCTGGTTTAGATCTGATTTAGTGACGGGTGCAGTACCGGTGAGGCGCGGTAGGGGCGCTGTTCTTGGCGCACACATGGATGAGACGCGCGACCGTTGTTTCCTTGGAGGAGAGGAGTGAGACTAGCCACGTTAGCTTAGCCTGTTGTCTGCAAAGTTTTACACCCAGACAGATCCAAAACCCGGCGCTTATTTGGGAGTTTTGAGCGGCGTTTCGTCCTCTCCGTGGCGCGAAGGTGAGCGCGCGTTGGCACAGCTCGTCCGGACAGAGCTAAGTTCATGTTTGTAACTCAGAGTAGCCGGTTTGCTAACTGCTGCAGCTCTTTGTGGGGAGTTCACAAAAGCTGTTTTTATGGAAATAACTTGAATACTTTAACATGCAAGCAGTATTTTCCTTTGTAAACACAGGATCGGGAATTGTTACGTGCTTTATTTTAATTTCACGCTGTTTTTTCTTGTTGTTAGAGCTCATTTATTGACTGTACATCCATGTTAACTACACAGAAACAAGTTCGAAGTTCGATGTTTTTCTAATAATTCTCACTTGGTTTGATGGGATACAACCTGTGGTCAGTGTTTGTCAGAGTTTTACATCGGTGAAGTGGCAGTTTGTAGGAAAAAGATTGGAAGAAAACGCAGAAACGTGCAGTAAAAAAAACAGTAGTTCTAAAAACCGAAATTCTGTCCAAAATCTCGTCATAATTTGCGTGCAAAATTGACAATATTTCTCTTGCATAATAATAAATAATATAATATATAGCAATCATTTAACAAAATAAAGGTGTTGAAAGTGTATATTTTTAATCGTCAAATAATAAATGTGTAAGTTAATGAGACAAGCTTTAGCCTTTGTTTACACTCTGATTTCTAGGTAACACTTACGACATTATTTACGCCGAGAATATTTTATTATTTTATTTTTTTTTATTTTTGACTTTGTTTAATGGGGTAGTACCAGTGGTCAGTATTTATTATTTATATGCCAATATTTGTTGTTTTAAATCAGCCAAGGTTTAGTTTGTGTGGAGGAAAAGTTAAAAGAAACGTTGAACCTCGCAGTTATAAAAACGAACAGTTGTAAAAACCAAAGTTCCATCCAAAATCTCGGCATAATTGAGCACAAAGAACACATTTTTGGCAAAATAAAGGTGCTGTCATGTATGTCACATTTTTATTTCTCATATAATAACTATTGTTTAAATTAGACTTTAGCCTTTGTTTACACTCTGGTTTCTAGGTAACAGTTACGGCATTATCTACGTCGAGAATATTTAATAAAAAAAATAATAAATCCATTCAATTTTGATTAATTTTGACTTGGTTTGATTGGATAGCACCAGTGGTCAAGATTTATTATTTATGTCAATATTTGTAGTTTTACATCAGCCAAGGTTCAGTTTGTGGAAAGGAAAAGTTAAAAGAAACGTTGAACCTCGCGGTTATAAAAACGAATAGCTGTAAAAACCAAAGTTCCATCCAAAATCTCGGCATAATTTAGCACAAAGAACACATTTTTAGCAAAATAAAAGTGCTGTCATGTATGTCATATTTTTATTTCTCATATAACTATTGTTTAAATTAGACTTAAGCCTTTGTTTACATTATATACCTCTAGCCTAGTCACTTTTTTCATTAGATTTACAAACATGCAGTAAAACAAAGATGACATGAAAATAGGGCTAGTTAAATGATGCAGATTGATAAATTAAGTTCTTTATACATTGATAACATGTAATGAGCTTGTTTATTTGGAATAATGTTTTAGATGGCATTTTAATTGAAAGGTATTGGGATTGGTATTAGACCCCGACCGATATATCGGCTGGCCGATATTATCGGCCAATATGGGCACCTGGAGACATATCGGCTATCGGCCGATATGCTTGCTGATATTGGCCGATATTTCACGTGGCCATGTTATATCTCGTTATAAAGCTTAAACTCTCTACATTATGTTCATTTAATCCAATTTACAAATGTCCGAATATGTGGCTCCGCATCAGTATTTATCTACGGTGTAATTTGTCTGTGTCTGTGTCCGTACTGTCCCTGAACACACCACCAGAGTGACGTCACTTCACTCGCATGTGTTTGTTTACACCCGCAGTGGTGCGCAACACTGAGATTTCTTTTTCGGACAATCGGTTTGAGTCTGGATTAAAAGGACATTTATTAGTGCAGACTTGTGATGTGAGGAGGAGCCTGTGTGAGCGGTGAGTGTTGGAAATACATCGACTTTGAAGCTAGTTTTCGCTATTTGTTATTAGCGATTAGCTGCTGTAGCTCCCACACATAAACAGGCTGTTTTCTATTGGTCTATTGTAAAGTGACTATATTGGCCGTATATTTGTTACTGGACCAGTATTGATATGTAAATGAGCTGTGAATAGACGTGTGAATGATCCACATTTATGCATATAATTAACTACCGCGGTGCGCACGTTTTTACGGCTAAAGGCTAATAGCAATAGTTTACTAGCTAGGAGTTGTGGGTCGGTCGCGATCGAAGCGGCTCTTAGAGCCGGCTCTTTGAAGCGAACAACGGGAGCATGTTTCTTATTGGGAGCTGTTTTTTCTCTTTTTCTCACTTTTTCTCTTCATGCCGCATGTAGACCCGTAGTTTGACCGCAGCAGCGGCTGAAAACGAAACTTTCAGAAATCTGCATGTGCATAGGATAAAAAAGTGCATATTTGGCTGCAGTTCAGCATAAAATGAATAAACCAGGACTAATCTTGGGCTCGAGTGCAGGAGAGAGATAGAAACCGAGTCCCGACACTCAGTCCTGGTTCAGTTCTGGTTTAGTCCTGCTTGCAACAAAACAATCTCAAGAGTCGCTTGGGAGCCGAAAGAGCCAGCTGCTTTAATGAGCCGAGCCGGTTCTCCAAAAAAAAAAACAAAAAAAAAACTGGAATACCCATCACTAGCAGTGACAGTAACAGTAGCTAGAATGTGATGCAAAAATGCCATCAGGCCAATCTACTGTATGTAAATATGATGTAAAGAGTCAAAATAACAATAAATGTTGCCTAAATAAACCCAATTTAGAATCCACTAGAGCCAAACCTAAGTTTTTTAATCAATTCAAGATTTACAGTGAATTTTTACATCACTAAATATATCGGCGATTATATCGGCTATCGGCAGCCCCAACTCCCATTATATCGGTTTCATATCGGCCACAACAAAATCCATATCGGTCGGGCTCTAATTGATATTATTACACTTACAACAATGAATAACATTTTCCATATAAAATGTAAATTTTTTTAAAAATTTTTTTCCCAAGATCGAAAATAATAAAACAAACCTGTAGCGTAGTCACATCCGCTGCCCATTTCCAACCATAACGCTGACAGGTTTTCATGTTTTTGTCATTTTGACGTTTGATTAAATTATAGGATAGAACCTTAATCTGTCTACAATCTATGGGTAGAACCTGTGCTAAATATTTATCAAAATGTTACATGAGTTATTTCAGAGGGTGGAAAAAAAGTTTTTTAAAAAAGAAAGTAAAAAGGGTTCTGAAACAAAAATACCTTTTCCATTAAAATGCAGAGACAATTTACTCATGGAAGACATTTTTCTGAAACAAATAAAACTTAGACAAGCATAAATAATAAATGCTCAAATGTTAAATAAAAAAGGGTGTGCCGTGCATGCACCATAATTAAGCATTTGAGCCAAAAACAAACTATAGTAACTGAAAAAGGACAAAATGCATTGGGTCAAAATAAAATGGGAGAGTAATCATACATTTTAACATACATGGGTACAAAGGGGGGAAAAGGACAGAATATAAAACATGTACATGCGTTATTTGCTGCGTATTGTAAAGTATGGAGATAATTCTTTATTCCTGTTGTAAGTGTGAATAGGTTATTATTATTATTGAAATGCTCCTGTCTCTTGTAGTTTGAATTGACGTAGACTGTGTTTGTGCTCACAGCATGGACCAAGACGGAGATTTCGACGTTTTCTATGAAAATGACTCCGACTCGGACAAGAAAGTGAAATGGACCCCAGACGAGGTTTGTTTAAGCAGCATTTTTCCACTCATGAAAACCTTCAAATGGCATACTGTATTTTGCCCATTATAGGGGCTCTGGATTATAAGGCGCACTGTCATTGAATGGTGTATTTTCAAAGTTTTTTCACATATAAACCACACCAGACTATAAGACGTAACACAACAGTTAGATAAGTCAGTCAAACTTTATTTAATGCGTTCACAATAACTCTCAACTTTGTTCACTTGTAATGTGTAAAAACAGTTGGGCGATTCCGGCGTCCAGCTCGCCCACATCCCTCTCGTCATTATCCGAGTCAGTGTGGTTACTGTTCCCTGGCAGTTCAGTGATGATTCGGGTCTTGGTGAAAGCTTGAACCACAGTTGATACTGATCCTTAGCCCGGGCGTTCACGATCCGTTGGCAGGTCGTGGCGTAAGTCGCTCGGCGCTGTCTCCCTGTCTTGGTGAATGTGTGTTCTCCTTCTCTCATCCACTGCTCCCATGCAGCTCGCACTTTCACTTTATAATAGCCTTGAATTTAAAGTGGGCGTTGTGAGCGTGTCTCTTGACGGGTGCATTTTGATATTAAAAGGAATCACAGTATGTATTACTCCACAATGCTCCTGACTACGGGAGCTGTAATGCTGCAAGTGGTGATGTAAAATGAAATTAAAAATCTAAATAAAACAACTGCAGCTTTAAGGTCCTCTATTGCCTCTTCTGAGCTTTTAGCCACATTTTAAAGCAGCTGCATCATCAAAAAACGTACCTGGAGTTGTGTTTTGCTTAATTCACCCATGTTTGAGTAATCCTTTATTATTAGTCTGTATCTCGGCTCTGTTCCACCTTGTGATGTCATAAAGTGGGAATAAAATAAACTTATACTATCCTCCATAAAAGTTAGAGTACACCTGCTTTCGTGCCTTTTGATGTGATTATTTAAACTGTGCAAATTGTGATGACTTTATTTTTGCTTAGAATAGACTCATTCACTGTGTTGTGGTGTTCACATGTTCATTCAAACTGTTTCTGTTCTGTTTAGGATGAAAACCTCAAAATCCTCGTCAATAAGTTAGGAAAAGACTGGAAAACCATTTCCACTTTTTTACCTGTGAGTTCAGTGAGAAGAGGGTGAATAACATCATCGTTATATATCGTTATATATTATTATATGTTGTTATTAATGTTTTTACTGCACATGTTTGTTTCAGGGGCACTCAGAGGCACAGTGCATGAACCGATGGACCACATGTCTGGATCCAGTTCTAGTGAAAGGCTACTGGACCGAGGAGGAGGACCAGCAGGTGGGAGCGCTATTGTTTATGTTAAATAATCGATAATGGCATAATTTCAGATGGATCATAGATTTTTAATTCATAATCCATCATGTGTGCAATATGTTTATGGATTTAAGTCCTTGGTGTTGGTGATGGGGTTGAATAATGGCGTCACTTCTGTAGGAATTATATTTTAAAAAAACACTGTGGTTTATTTATGCGGATAGAGGCTTGAATTTTATGTCCAGTAATTACAGATATTAACCATAAATGAAATCTTCAACCTGACAGATACACAGTCAACTCCAGACTAGAATTCTGAGCTGCCTCATTTTAATTGAGATTATAGAATGTTGTGAAGGCACTCAAATGAATGTAATCTATTAAAGACTTATTTTGTACTTAAAAGACATAAAAAATTATACTTAATCTGAACTAATACTGTTGACAGATCATAGACCTCGTGGCCAAGTTTGGGACGAAGAGCTGGCCTCTCATCGCCAGACACCTGCAAGGGCGCCTGGGGAAGCAGTGCCGCGAGCGCTGGGTCAATCACCTGGACCCTCTGGTCAACAAGAGCTGCTGGACCAAAGAGGAGGACCTGATCATCTACAAAGCCCAGGCCCAGATTGGAAACCGCTGGGCAGACATCGCCCGGCTGCTCCCAGGAAGGTCAGGACCATCACGACTCATGGTCATGACATAAAAATTTTTTGTTTACGTGCAGAAATATAGAAAGATTTAGTTAAACTATAATTCTTAAAGGCACCACAAAGAACAACACATTTTTTGTGTAAAGCTGAATTTTTTTCATTAATGAAATTTCAATAAATGACCCTGTTGTTTATGTGTAGTGTATGTGTGACTTGAGTTCTACACAAAGCACTTCCTTCTGTTTTTCAAACACATCATAATCTGTATTTTTGTTAAATAGGCTCTAGTACAGCAACACAAATTGTTGTATTGGTTGTTTTAGTTCATTTGGGCAATAAGATTCTTCTAAAAGTCTAGTTTATATTTCCAGTATCATCCCAATCAAAACTTTCTGGTCTTTCTTTGTATAGAACAGACAACTCTGTGAAGAACCACTGGTACTCTACCATCAAACGCCTGGCAGAGCAGGGCGAGTTCAAGAAGGAGGACCTGGACTTGAAGCTGGACTTAAGGAAGCTACGGAAGGGAAAGGTACCGCCTTTATAATACTAATACTTGGGGCTGGGCGATATGGGGGAAAAAAGAACCACGATTCCCCCCCCATATTGATCAATCTCGATTTTCAATTCGCTCTTCTTCCATCTTATCTCATACACAGACAGACATGAACAGAAACACATGCGATGTCCGTGCGCCATTAGAGGTCTTGAGTTTCACTCAGTCAGACAGTCGTTGTTTAGTTTCCATAACTTGTATTATAAAGAGAAGAACCAGAGGAGAGAAAGAAGAAAAGGTGAGGAGCTGGATCAGAGACTGAGGTGGAGCGCAGGGAGACGACACCGCACAAACGACAGACGCGCGCACACACACGTTGACTCTCACACACAGATTCGCACACACAGGAGAGACTGGACTACTAGTAAATTGTGCAGATTTAAGTGAAAACTTGTGAATGTGAGGAGACAAAGTTGACACGCTGTGGCTCAGGTGATTTTTTTTTTACTCAGGCTACAAGAGTCAATCCTCATCAGCACCGTGTGTTTTTACTGCCACACGATTGCCTCTTGAACTGTCCATTAAAATGCGCTTGCCTTATCGTTGAGATTGAGCTATGCAGAGATCATGATCTATTGGTCTTTCGAGTTTTGGCACAACCCTACTAATACTGAAATTGTAGGAAAATAGCGTATGAAATGAACTTCACTAAGAACCTTTTATAATTGTGTGTTTGTTTAACAGGAAGAATTTAAGTGTGATGTTGTTTTAGACACGGAGCCCATCACATCCAAAGTGAGTCCTCTCCTTTTTGGTCACATTTCACTCTGTCCTCTTCACCAATGGCATCTGTACACTTAATCATGTTCTGCCTGTGTGTGTTTTGTTTCAGACCAATGAGGAGACTCAGTCCGAATCAGGGGAGCCTCAGAAAGCCAAGCCAAAGCTTCTAGTGCCTCCTGCTAACAACCTCTCAGCCCAAGGTCCACCCAGCTCTAAACCTGAACCAGGCTCTAAACCTGGTCCCGCCTCCAAACCTGGTCCGCCTCCAAACCTGGTCCCGCCTCCAAACCTGGTCCCGCCTCCAAACCTGGTCCGGCCTCCAAACCTGGTCCGGCCTCCAAACCTGGTCCGGCCTCCAAACCTGGTCCGGCCTCCAAACCTGGCCCCGCCTCCAAACCTGGCCCCGCCTCCAAACCTGGCCCCGCCTCCAAACCTGGCCCCGCCTCCAAACTTGAACCAGGCTCCAAACCTGAACCAGACTCCAAACCAGCTCCCAGTCCCAGACCCAGTCCCAGCTCGTCTCCAGGCACGGCTCCCCCAGCAGTGGACCACAAGAATTTGGAGGAGGCTGCTCTGAGGATGATCTCTGAGGACATGCTGCCTCTCAGGTGATGGCGCTGCACATTTGTTTTATTTACATCTCTGATAGTTTGTTTTCTAGCATCAGGTCAATTGCCCCTGGTGGATGAAGAGTACATTTCTGTTAACGGCAATTAATCCAAATCTAAGCCATCCTTAACTCACACCTCACTTTGTATCTCACATTAATTAATTAATTTGACCAGGTTCTTTCTGCTCTTTGCCAAAGAGCAAATCCAGATGATCAATCTAAATCAAAATTCATTAGGGCAAGTTTGAGGAGCAGTTCCATAAATGCGTAAGAACATAAACACAGACCATAGCCTTATATTGACTGACATTGTTTTTGTCACAGTTTTGTGGAGGGCGCGGGGTTCCGCTCCTTCATGGGCATGATGTGCCCTCAGTACAGCAGACTGTCCCAGAGGGCACTGGGGCTGCGTCTGTACGGAGACGTGGAGAGGACTTATAAACCTCAGCTCATCCGGGACCTAAAGGCCTGCCTGGCTCAGAGTCAGGAGGGAGAGGGTTTGATTCATGTGTCTGTGGATCTGTGGACGGGCTCTGGCTCCTCTCCTCTGGACGAGCCCATGGTCTTGGTCCAGCTGCACTTCATCAGTGAGTCCTGGCAGCTCCGACGGCCGGTCGTGGCCTTCAGACACCTGAAGCATCAGGACCTGAGCACATCACTGCCTCGAGAACTGGAGGCAGTGCTGTTAAGCTACGGCATCTTCCCCCAGCGCATCGGCTACATCCTGATGAACAACGCCAAGCAGGCGCTGGCCGCTAACAGCCTCTTCTGCGACTACAAGGTGAGTCTCAGAGTCATTTTATCTTTTAACGCTCTCACATGTAACCCACATGAACGTCCCCCCCTGTGTCTGTGATGTAGCTGCTCCTGAACAGGGCAGAGGTGGAGGGAGAGGAGGTGGTGTCTTTTCTCACAGACCAGCTCTCTGAGGAGGACTCTCCGTTCTGCAGGCTTCAGATGGGCTCTGGGCTGAGCTGTGTGGGCCACACACTGCAGCGGGTCATACAGGAGGCTCTGAAGAGCTCCAGAGAGGTGGAGGACCTGCTCTCTCAGATCCAGCACGTAGTGACCTTCTTCAGGACCAAGACCTGCTGGAGCGAGGTGAGGGGAGAGCCTGCACACTTTAATTAAACTAACCAACTGCACTATTGGCCATCAAAATGTGTTTCTGCTACGCCTTCATATGGTCTTTCGTTCTATGGTTTTAAAGGTGCACTGTGTACCTTTTTTATTGCATTGTTGAGAAGTTCCACAGTAAGCCATTAAACTTCTCTATCTCCATGAAGACAAGCAAGTAGCATGAGTAGTAACCAAGTTACAAGGCTGATTTGTGGAGTGGTGACCATGATCACAGTAAGAGTGCTTCTTTTTAAGCAACTTGACACTTGAATAAATACTGGATAAGTAAGTATAATGCCATACTGTGGAACATTCCAGGTAAAGCAATAACATCTCCATGGAGACGACCAGGTGGCGAACCCTCCTCCAGAAAAGCTTTAATAAAAATATTGCAAATGGATATGATGACCGTAAAATAAACATTATGCCCACACATGATGATGTAAAGTTCATGTCTTGTGCCGTGTAGGTGCTGATGAGGGAGTGTGGGGCCCCCTTGTGGCCTCCGCCCGGCAGCTGCAGGTGGAACTCCATGCTGTTGTGTGTGCGGCGGCTGGCGCAGGAGTCCACGTGGAGCAGTGTGACAAGCGTCCTGACCCAGGCCCGGACAGAGGCGCGAGATCCGGCTAAAGCCCCGCCCCTCCTGTCAGTCACACGGGAGCAGGTGGAGGACGTCCTGGGACTGTTGAGGCCCTTTGAGACGGCCCTACAAGTACAAACTATATTACATATAATCATAGACTATATAAATGGACATATTCACTTTATACTGAAAAACTGTCACCAATCTCAAACCAAACTAAAAATAAAATAAATTCCTATTCCTAATATGAAACTTGGCTCCTCTATAACTTGAGCCGAACTCTCCCTCAGTCCACTTCTTTATACAGTCTGTGCATGTAACAGTTCAGTTTTATTTGTAAATACTAGTGTGAGGTGTTTATTTCATTATTTATTTTCAGGGACTAGGTCCAAACATATTGTAATAGCAGCTGTAAGTGTATTGACAAAATATATTGATTCACAAGAGAAATTATTTGGACACAGTAGCTCACACATCACAATATATTATAATAAAGAGTAAAAATATAAATGTTAATATTAAATTCTAAATAAGGAGCAGAGAAAATGGCAAGATACAGGTGTCAAATAAGGCATAATTGTATAAATGTGAATGTACAAGTCAAAATAAAATAGAAAAATTTGTAATAAAATATAAAATCTGTTTCATACAAGAGCAATAATTATTATTATTGACAAGACATAGGTTAGTTATTATCTGTTATAAGAAAGTATTATCTGTAAATAAGAACGGTGTGTGCTGTCAGCATCCAATAATAAAGCATTATATTGTCTGCAAACCAGGAAGTAATGCTGGTTTTCTGTTCTAGCTGTGGCTTTTCTCCTAAGCTGAACTTACACAAAAAATTCTGAAGTGGTTTAACTCTGCTCCAAATCTATTTTATGAAACTGGAAACTCAACCTTGGCCCTGTCTGTGTATAATAACTCTGAGTTCAGAATTAAACTCTGTAATTTCAATCTGTTTTGTGCATAAGGGACTCACTGCTTTTGTTTACCAACATTACACAAATGTCACACTCACACTGTTTTGGCTTTTGTTCTAAATGGTCTCTCATTTGTCCCCAGACTCTCCAGGGTCACAGCGCGTCCCTCTGCAGTCTCGTCCCTTCTCTGCTGCGGCTGGACAGAGCTTTGAGCCTCAGTAAGAGCAAATACACAGACTTCTGCCGAGCTCTGAGGACAGGTCTACACTCTCACTGTCAAACCCTGCTCCATCACAGAGACGTGCTCTTCGCCACGGTGCTCGACCCCAGGCTCAAACTGCAGGTACCGGCACAGAGAAACCAGGAGGAAACTACCGTAATTTCCGGACTATTGAGCATAAACAGCATCAACTCAATTTTAAAAGAGAAAAAAAAAGTGTACATATATATTCCGCACTTGTCTCTAAGCCACAGGTGTCCACGTCTTCAAGAACGTTTTCAAGTTCGGGCCGTCTGCTTTTATCGCCTCTGAAAGCTTTTGTTGTCTTTTTGCTTTGAGTCAGTTTGTCGCACTGCCATCGCCAAAGACTCACCATCGACTCACTGATGTCGAGCTCACATGCAGCAACTCTGTTTCCTTCTTCCACAGTCACATCAATCGCCTTAAACTTAAAAGCTGCATCATCTGTATTTCTTTGTGTTTTCCATGAGGAGGGTGTGTGCAAAATAATGGGCGCGTTCTATTGCGCATGTCTCCTACAGAAAGAGTCTCTGTCCTGTCTGTATCATGTCAGTGTCTTGTAGGATTTCAGCAGATTTCAAACTCTCTCGGGGGCGGGGGTAGTTGTATGGATCAGGTATGAGTGGATGTCCAGCTACTGAAGTTTGAGACATTTCTTCTCATCATTTATGCACTCACCTGTATTTAACGCATACGGGTCATTACGACATATCCCACTCACTAATGTTAGTTTAGCATCATAACTTATTTTATCAGACGGCGATAAACTGTTTTAGTGCTGCACCAGCTTGTTGCAGCTTCATGTGAACCGCCCAGGCAGCGACGCTTTCTGCACTCAGGCTGTGCTCATGTAGCCAGGCTGGCACCACCTAGTGCCTCCGCTCAATTTCATTTCTCTCCAGCGACTATGTCAGGAATCCGAATACACTAGACGGTTTGCAAGAACCCTGAAAGTGCAAGTTCGGGCACTAGCCAATCAGCGAAGAGCCATACATTCTGTGTTGGCGAGGATTCCTGAGATCGAGGATTTAAAGCTGAAACAAAGAGAATGTTTGAATTTTATCAAGGGGAAAAGACGTTATTGTCCTCCTTCCTATTTTTCTGGGATTTGGGAAAAGCTTAATATACCAGTTAGCCCCGTTGGCGGCGCATTACATATGCCACGACCAAATAACAGCGATTGGTTAAATGATAAAAAGTACCCGCCTACCGTCGAGTGAACGAATTCTAACGCTGCGAGGTCAGACGGTTTCTACGAAGTGAAACCGGCTGATGAATCAGGCTGCGCTCATTTGCACTGTGTTGAACAAATAATCCATCCATATATTCGTCGCATCGCAGTTTAAGCCGCAGTGTTCAAAGTGTGAGGAAAAGAGTAGCGGCATTAATTTCAGTCAAAAAATACTCTGCTGAAATGTACTAGTGTATGCCAACACTGAACCTTCTTCACCTAATCTTGTATATTGTCATTTTCAGCCGTTTTGTGAGAAGACCGAGGAGGAGACTGACTTCCTAACTCCACCATCCAAGTCTGAGGTCACTACCATCATCGAAGCAGCTTTATGTACTGTCCCGTCTTCAGACCATTCTTCTGTGGAGGAGAACGGAGACCGCACCAGCCCTGCCCCAGAGGTCAGTCTTTATTTGAGCTCAGAGCTGCGTTCAACAAAAAATGAGGGCATCAAAATATTATGTACGCTGTGTCCGAATATCCGCCCTAGTCCGTAACCCAGACCTGAGCATTGTCCAGCTCTTTGGCCACATACGACCCTTTTGTTGACTATGTCCAGCCCGTTTTTCATTTGGAATTACAAAAGAAATATATTTTATAATTTTACCTCATGCATGAACTAAAGCTGCATCGCTTTTATTTTAGGTGTTTTTTTTAATGACAACCACAACCTTTTCATAGCTTGTTCATTTGTTTTCAAAATAAAACCAAAAATAAGAAAATGAATTTTCTTATTTATCTCCAAAACCAAAATGAAAAAATTGACAATTCATTTTTTCAGTTTTTGATTTTGTGTTTAAAGGTTGTATAGAGGATTTTCCAAGGAACGAGAAATCCAGCGACTGTTTGTCCTTTTTCAAATGTTGCGCATGCGTGAAACCACCCCCCCTCCCCTACAGCTCCCTACGTAGAAACACCTCCTCCCGCCTCCTCCTTACACCAGAAAGTACTCATCGCTGCACATGACTTGTAAACAACTAACTACAGTGTTGGTTAGGCAAGGCGAAAAGGCAAGGGCGGGGGGGGTGCGCGGACATTTCGTGCGCGGAAAAGAAGTGAGGAGCAGGGGGAAGAGCGAAACGGGGAGAGGAGAGAGGAGAGGGGAGCAGTGCGCGGAGATTCCGTGAGTGGAGAAGAAGTGAGGAGCAGGGAGAAGAGCGAAACGGGGAGCGGGGAGAGGAGCAGGAAGCGGTGCAGAGAAGGGTGCGCGGAGATTCCGTGCAAATGAAGCTACTATTACAACACGCAGCAGTAAGCGGACTCTTTCTTTGCATTGAAAATTACGTTTTCAGACATAGGATATTCCATTCGTGTCTTGAAAAACGTTTGTCTAGCTCTTGGAAATAAAGTACGTTTTCATAATAAGCAGAAGTGACCTGTCCAGAAGTAATTTGGCGACCAGTGCGTCAGTCTTTAGACCCTTCGTCTGCTTCAATGCAAGCCATTGCTGGAATGAATCTTCAAGAATCACCTTAGTTTGGCTTCGCTGCTTTTCCCCTTGTCTTCTTTCAAATACAGACTTTCTTTTGGGGCTAACTGCTCCTGGATTCTTGTCTGCCATTGCGACAAACTTTGTGCTAACTGCGAGGAAGATATAGGTCAAAAAAGCCGCTAAGAACCGTTGCGTTGGTGAAGTAAACAGCGTCTGTGGACTGCGTGACAGGCGTACGTAAACCACGTAATGGCAGCGCGCAGGCAAGTCAGTTACGCTAGAAACGTAGGGAGTTTGATTGACAGCCTATCAGCTAACAGATAACGAGGCAGTGTCGTTATCTACTGGCAAATGTTTAGGTGGCCCCTCCACGTCCAGAGTTGATGAAATTTTTTTTTTTTTGGTCATCATAATTACAAGGCTACTGCATCTCTATAATGCTATCACTGACAATTTGAATAAAAAAAAAATCCTCCATACAACCTTTAAATGAATAATGGAAAAAACGTTTCCCGTTTCCCACTCTCATTAGCGCCCTCTACAGGGCACCCATTCACAGAGCGATTTGAACACGCAGCTTACTACTTTCAGGTCACGTGACGCTGGCGTCTAGGTGAAAAAAAAGTCCACTAAACTCAGTCTGATCTGATCATATTTTTGACAGAAATCAAGTTTTATCTAACACACAAGTGTTTATGGACTAATAATAATCTTACAAGTTTTTGCCAAGCTGGATTTCATGTATTGTATTTTCCGGACTATAAATTGCTCTGTAATAGAAGGTGCACCAGCCAAAAAAAAAGCACAATGAAGAAGAAAAATATATAAGTCACACCGGACTATAAGTCACCGGACCACCCAAACCATAAAAAAAAGTCTGATTTATAGTTCAAAAAATACCATAAACAGACTGGATTATTTGCTTTTTGTCTGAGAGGTGGAAATTATCACTCTTTTAATGCTAACATCTTTACAGCATAACAGTTTATTTAAATCCGACCTTTGTGAAAGTTGTCGATGCCCTGTCAGCCGAACACTGCAGTTTGAAGTCTCCAAAAACGCATTGCGCTCTACAGGAAAATTCTTTCTGGGCCCAAGCTCCTGGGAGCTGCAATACCTGGAAAGCCACTAGTTGGTCTGGAGCCAGGACAGAGGGGGAGGGGCTTATTCCATTTTTCTTATAGAACCATGGGTGGAACAGAGCATTTTGAGCTTTGGAAATGTAGACAGACTAACAAAAAAGGATTACTCAAACATGTGTGAATGAAACAAAACTACAAGTGTTTTTGTGGAGGTAATAACATTCTAACACGGTAAAATAAGACCTATAAATACACGTGCAGATTAAGTATAAACATTGTACTACTCTCTTTTTGCAGTCTTCAGCCACTTCTTCTTTGGACATGAATGGAGTCGTCACCAGCTCTGCTCCGGAGGTGAAACAAGAGAGCCAAGACACGCCCACACACCCACCACCCAGCGCCATTTCAGACAACGCCAACCCCGAGAACAAACTCAAACGCAAGTCTCCATGCAGCGTGCCCCAGCCTCCCCAGAAGTGTGTCAAAGTGTCAGAACTAGAGGCATACCTGTCCGAAGCGCCCCCTACTGGAAGCTCCTGTGTGGCGTTCTGGAAATCCGCGCACCGTTTCCCCGGACTGCAGAGGTTGGCGAGGAGGTTGCTGGCTGTGCCGGTGACCTCGGGGGGTTTGGACAGGCTCTACCCCATGTCCCTGTGCCTCATACGGGCTAGAAGGAACCGTCTCCCCCCAAACACCACAGAGAGGCTGCTGCTGTACAAGGACGCAATGAAAACGAGCGCAGTGAGGAAGCCAGCGAAGATATGAACTGAGATATGTGTCTGATTTTGAGCCAGACTATCACTACTGTAACTCGAGTTTGAGAATAAGGAATATACTTGATGCTCAGTACGGATTCTGATAACACGATGATGATGAAAAAACTGTTTATATGACAACAGAATGTGATTTTTCAACATTAAATCACAGCTCTTCTTTTTATATTACCATGTGTCTTATATCTGTGTAAGCCCGTCCATAGTCATATAATAGTCTGTGTGCTCTTATACTTGTTCTGATACAGCTCAAGATCGTTCTAAATTCATTCAGGGAAGGTTCATTTCTGTCCTGTGAATTTAACTTTTTTAAAATAACAGTGTTGGGAATAACAGTGTTTAAGTGTAATGGCGCTACTAACCGTGGCACCTTTTTTGGTAAGTAATCTAATTAATTACACTCCCCATCGTTACAATGTCGTTATCGTTATTGGGAAAGCAAAGTGGTGCATTATAGTTGGGTTGAATCGCGGTGTCAGGCTTCAGACAAACAACATCAGCAGGAGCGAGGAGAGCGAGGGACAGAGCAGGGACAACATGATTGGATAAGACATTGGTGGGCGGAGTCTGTTTCTTTCCTGCACACTTCAGCTAAATGAGACAAACTCGACGAGAATGCGACAATGGCAACGAGGAGCCAGGGACAATCAAAGGTGGTGTTGGAAATACAGTTTCAATATTTACATTTTTATTTTTATTTCCACGGTATGGCCAGTTGCAATCAGTTAAATTTGAAATAATACATGTTGAAATATACCGTTTTTATTCTTCATTCAGTTACTATAAACTTCCATGCAATAGTACATAACATGAAAAATAACTGGATAATTACTTTGCTGAGTAATTACTTTTACAGCAACAACTCAGTTACTTTGTGGGGAAGGAATTTGTAACGGTAATTACTTTTTTTAAGTAAAATGCCCAACACTGAATAAGAATAGATCGGTTTCATAATGCGCTTTTTACTGTAACTCAAAGGCGCTGTATCTTTGAGTCGATCAAATAGGAATGAGATCACTGTTGGATTTTTTTGGACAAAGTTTTTCGACCCACAAGGGAAATTTGTACACAGTAACTCTCAAATCACAATATAATAACAAAGAGAAAAAAACTAAATGGTAATAAATTCTAAATAAGTAGCAAAAAACAGCAAGAGACAGGTGTCAAATAAGGCATAATTATATAAATGTAAATGTACAAGTCAAAATAAAATAGAATTAAAGCCGCAAGCGGCGTCGAACGGACCTTGCCCGCCGCACCCGCGAACGTCGTGCCCGCAAATGGTGTGCCCCGCCAATACCATACCCTAAACGCCGTGCCCGCAGACTCCATGCCTACAAATGGAGAAATTACATGGTGCATTTTTAAATGTTCTTTTACGCCCTCTTCTGGCCAAACTTGAAAAATGCCCCTGTCAGTAATATATGTTTTTGCTTCTAGTCATTAATAGAATTGAATTCCCAAATTTGGTACAAATCTTATGTTGACGTTTTATGTCCATGGTAGGGAGCACTATAGTGTTCATTTTTCATTTGTTTTATAGTGTATTATATTCAGACTGAGAGCACGCATTAGTGATTCAAATTTCAGTTCAACTGGACTAAACATGTGCGTGTAATATAATATTTCATATGTTTGGGGGGAGTCTTTGCGCCCCTGCTGGCCAACAGTGAAAAATTCCCCATGTCCATAATATAATTTTTTGCTCGTAATCATGCATAGAATTTAATTCCCAAATTTGGTGCAGATCCGATAATGTTGACATTTCATGTCTATGGTAGGGGACCCTATAGAGTTCACTTTTCATATGTTTTATAGTGTATTATATTCAGACTGAGATCACGCATTAGTGATTCAAATTTCAGCACGATCGGACTAAGTCTGTGCGAACAGGAGCAAATAATGTCATCGTGAAATTCATCAAAATTTTGATCGAAATTTGCAGCTTCGCCGCACGTAAACCGTGATGGGTAACAAAATGAATTGGATAACGTTAAATGTTCCACTTCTCTAGATGTACGGTGATTTTCAGGCCTGTGGGTGAAGCGCCTTCAGAGAAGTGCGTTCAAACACGGACTCAAATTTCAATCCAAGATGGCCGCCTTCTGGTTTGTCAGGGGGCGTGGCCATAATAATATTTACCTCCGCCAAGGAGGTTATGTTTTTGCCAGCGTTTGTTTGTTTGTCTGTTAGCAACATAACTCAAAAAGTTATGGACCGATTTTGATGAAATTTTCAGGATTTGTTGGAAATGTGAAAAGGTAGAACTGATTTAATTTTGGGGGTGATCCGGAAGAAATCCTGGATTCTGGATCACTTTGAATTTTAGTTAACATTGTGGTAAATGGGGCCAAAAATTTTGTTTCTCAATATCTCGGTTAATTATTGACCAAACCCCATGAAATTTGACTCAGGGATGGACAATGGGATCCTCTTTCATATTCCAAAGGCGGATCCGGATCTGATCCACAAGACTGATTTTATCGCAATTTATATAAAAAATGGGGGTCGTCCTTGGCGGAGGTCTGTGCTCTCTGAGTGCTTTTCTAGTTTTTGTTTGTCTTCACATGATGAATGTGTGTACCGAATTTTGTGGCTCTACGACAAAGTTGTCGAGACGTCTCCCATAGGCGCAATGTATTTTGACTTTTCCAGGTGGCGCTGTGTCGCCATTTTTTTATGCCAGTGTACGAAACCTATATTTTATCGAATTTTTCGCCACTTCTGAATTTTGGGCAAAGTTTGGTGAGTTTTTGAACGTGTTTAGGGGTCAAATTAGAGCTCAAAGAGCATAATAAAAAAAATATATATTTTTTGCAAAAACAATATATCCGAAAACATTAGAACATATTATAAATTTTTTTTAAAGCTCTCGACCTTCCCCACGTCACTGTGGGGTCATTGGTGAGTGACGGGCACTGACGCGCTCGTCACTCACCATCTCGTCGGGGTCGCCCCCTGACCTCCCATTGACTTCCATTCATTTTAGCAGTAGTAAATATGGCTCAGGCCTTGGGCGTGGGTTACTGGGATACTGCTGTTCGTGCCGGGGGCGACCGTTGACATAGTTGCATGTCGTCCGGTCGCATTTGGCCATGCGCACGTCGCTCCCCATTCGCTCCGTGATCAGGGAACAAATATTGTAATAACTATCTCTTCCACACGAGTGAATGTACAGGGAAACGTTCAAATCGTGACTCCATTGCTCACTGACCCCATTCACTACAGTAAGTGCTTTAGTCTTTGTAGAGTTGCTCCTGTCCTTGCCAAACTGTGTCCACTTAACTCTATATAAACTATAAATTCCTGTGTAATTTTCCATATATATTGAATGGATGCTTGGATATTGGATTTGATATTGTCTTTTGACTTTTTGTCCCTCATAAATTCAACACATTTTACATAAAGTCATAATACAAGACCTGTATCCATTATAAAGGATAAGCCATTTCTGCAATTTCTGAATCATCTGTGGGCTAAAATATTCACCCAATCCTCACACAAGTTGGCACACACATGACCGGGGCACACTGGATATTACAGGTTGAAACCGGTCAAGGTCACTTGAAGGTCAAGGTAACCAAGGTCAAATATGAGTTTTGGTCATAACTCTGCGAAGGATCGAACTCGAGCAATGGGAGTGGTCTCTAAATCTCAGAAAATGTATTATCTATTTATAATTCTATGCATTTGTATAGTAAAATATGAATAGTTTTCAAGATAATCACTAATTATAAGTTCCTTTGTCTTTCAGTGTATGTCGTTAAAATTGTAATTGGAATGAAAATAATTTCCATTTCTTCTTTTTCTGGTGATACACAACACACTGATCTACAGTCACAGAACTAACATATACACAACTCATGAAAAATTACATTTTGTTTACACACTAGTAAACACAGACATTCTCCTGTGTGACCAATATCACACAAATGTTCATGGGCCTGTACAGATACACACATTGTATTGTGGATATAATGATCATGTAATATGGGCTGGGCTCCTCATAAACTGATTCTGTGGTGATGAACTGACCCCACCGATGCCTCATGGGGACCAGGTTGATAACTCTGATTGCGTTTGTTCTCATTTTTGTTTATTCTTTGAACACCTGAAGCACTTATTTGTACTTCTACTTGGGTAACGTTACTATTACTTGACTACATTTTATAAACCTCAAAAATGATTAGACCTGTGCACGTGTTTCATAAACCTGTCCTCTATCCTCTGTGCTCCTCTGCTTCTGCTCTTCTCATATTATTATATCTGCTGTTGCCTGTAGGCGGCAGTAACACTTTCTAAAAACTGGGTCAAACGAAGAAAAGTGCACTTCCTGCTTCCCTGATCCACACCAGAGCCACGTGAGTCCGCGCGTGAAGTGTCCGTGCGTGAAACACACCATGGCAGTCGAAAACAGCACTTTGGAGACATCACAGTGACCGCTGATTGACCATAAACAGAAAATTGCGCTGCGTCAAGACTGTGTAAAGCTTGCGTAAAAACTGCGTAAAGGCATCAACATGGCGCTGTACGTGAAAGCCGCAGAGATCTTGGAGAAAGCGGAAAAAAAACAAGGCGCGCTGAAGACGCTGGTGTACGACAGTAAGTTTAACAACGTCAAACAGCTTTTCGCGTTGGTTTTCGAGACGCACAAGTTCTCCGCGGTGCTGGAGGAGGTCATCAGCGCCACCAAACTCCTGAAGCTGACCAGGCTGAAGCTGCCCCTGGCCAAAGTGCTGGTGTACGACCTGCTCCTGGGACACGGGCTCAAGTGCGGAGGGGCGTGGAAGGCGGCTCTGCTCAAGAACCGGGTCCGTCTCCAAGCGGCTCTGGCCCGGATCAAAGTGCGTCAGGGAGTCAGCAACAACCAGGACCTGATACCCGTCAGTGCCCAGCCAGAGGAGCTCACGCTGCCCAGGTGAGGAGGTGCCCAGCTATAGGAGATAATTTGTTTCATCAGATTTTGACTGTTTAAATGCTGCTGAATTTCGCACTTTGAATTTTTTAACTCTGAAAAAAGATGTTTGAATTATTTTTATTCTGAATTTGAGTTTATAAATTTGACTTTTTCAATATGTTTCAAATTCAGAATCACCTTTTAATTATTTTCAAGCCCTCAAATTCAACAATAACATAATAATAAGCACAACTCCATGTCTGTTTTTAGGAGATAACAGCATTATAACATGACCAAAAGTTCACAGGAGTCAGATTTGTGTAATACAGGGCCTTTAAGTACTTTATTTTCCGCACTATAGGGTGCTCTGAATTATAAGGCGCACTGTCATTGAATGGTCTATTTTCAAACTTTTTTCACATATAAACCGTACCAGACTATAAGATGCATTAAATGAAACACAACAGTTAGATAAGTCAGTCAAATAGTTATTCAACACTTTCACAATAACTCAACTTTGTTAAATTGTAAAAAGCGTAAAAAAAATACTGCCTGAGAAATTGTTATCCTATTCACAATAACTCATAATTGCTCAGTTATAACTAAAATTAACACATTACACTCACTTTTTCAGTTCATTCCTCGTCCACTAATCCCTCAAATTTTTCATCTTCATTGTCCGAGTTAAACAGTTGGGCGATTACGGCGTCCAGCAGGCCCGCATCCCTCTCGTCATTATCCGAGTGAGTGTGGTTACTGTTCCCTGGAGTTCAGTTCAGTGATGATTCTGGTCTTGATCCTGATTCTTAGTCCGGGCGTCGACGATTCGTTGGCAGATCGTGGTGTAAGTCGCTCGGCGCTGTCTCCCTGTCTTGGTGAATGTGTGTTCTCCTTCTCTCATCCACTGCTCCCACCCAGCTCGCACTTTCACTTTGAACAACTTGTTGACACCAACTAGTGGCTGAAGTTCTTTAGTTAATCCACCTGGAATGATGGCAAGCACTGAATTAGTTTGCTTCACTTGTTTTTTGACAGCATCAGTGAGATGGGAGCGCATGGAGTAATGTATTTTCCGGGCTATTAGGCACGCTCTTAAGCCTCTAACCCCATCAAAAATCGACCGCCACAATCCAGAGCACCCCATACACGAATCCACTTGGGTGTCCCAGCACAACTTCAGTAAACTACAAAGCTGCACCACCAAACACACATGGAGCAGACAGCGACCGCGCAGCAAAAAACACCCACAGTCACACTCATCACTCCACGCCGACGAGGAACGGAACGAAGGAACGAACCGAAAAAGCGAGTGCAATGTGCCACTTCTAGACACAACTGAACAACTGAGTCACTGCAAACACGCTGACAATCCAGTGGTCCCAGACAGCACCCTCCCTACACGCCACAACTGAACAAAGCCCAGAGTCACCGTGAACGTCACAAAGTCCCACTAACCCATCAAACTGTTGTGTTTCCTTTAAAGTCCGGTGCGGTTTATTTGTGAAAGAAGTTCGAAAATAGACCATTTAATGACAGTACGCCTTATAATCCAGAGTGCCTAATAGCCTGGAAAATATGGTAAATCGTACTAAGACACCGGAATAAATTCATATATAAGGCGCTCTGGATTATAAGGTGCACACTCGTTTTTGATTAATTTAAAGGCTTTTAAGTGTGCCCTATAGTGCAGAAAATACAGTAGAGTTACACAGTAATCATGGTTCTCTCTGCAGGTACGTGCGCGTAAACACTCTGAAGACCAGTGTGGCAGACACAGTTGACTACCTGAAGAGAGAAGGCTTCACGTACCACGGCCAGGCCAGGAACACGGACGACCTCACACTCAAAGGAAAACACTTCGTACAGGACATGGACATACCCGAGATCCTCATTTTCTCCCCCAAAACCCACTTTCACGACCACTTCCTGTACAAGGCGGGGCACGTGATCCTCCAGGACAAAGCCAGCTGCCTCCCCGCCCACCTGCTGCACCCGCCCCCCGGCAGCGTGGTCCTGGATGCCTGTGCCGCCCCTGGCAACAAGACCAGCCATCTCGCCGCGCTGATGGAGAACCGGGGCAGGCTCCTGGCACTGGACCTGGACCCCAAGAGACTGTCCACCATGTCCACCCTGCTGCTGCGGGCGGGTGCCACCTGTCAGACCCTGCAGCACCAGGACTTCCTGAAGGTGGACCCCCAGAGCCCAGAGTATAGCGAGGTGGAGTACATCCTGCTGGACCCCTCCTGCAGCGGATCAGGTACCAGCACAGAGCTGTTCAGAGCAGGTTTTATCAGAGCTCAAATTACACTGCTTTCTGATTTATGTTCTATTTTATATTGTTTTCTCTTCAAAAACATACTTGGAGTAGGGGATGTAACGATATCCAAATCTCACGTTACAATATTATCACAATATACATCTCACGGTACAAGTACAATATTAATTGCGATATTTTGGAGAGGCTGATATAATTAAAAATGGGACACTTTTTTTGCTTTTAAAATACCTTGACAAGATTTTGGTGTGAATTATTTCCATCATAATCCCAAGAATTCAAGTAAAAAACATATTTAATCCGTGTATCATTCGTTCATTCGTTTCTGAAAATAAAACCAAAAATAAGAAAATGAAAAAACAACTATTTTCTTCATTATTTTTCTGCAAAACCAAAATGACAAAACAGATAATGATTCTGGGACTAGACCAGGACTGGTTCTGGTCTCAGTCCTAGTCTCAGTTCTGGTCTGGTACTGGCCTGGTCCCAGTCTCAGTCTCTGTTCCGGTTCCAGTCTCAGTCTCAGTTCCGGTCTGGTCCTAGTCTGGTCCCAGTCTGGTCCTGGTCTCAGCCCTGATTACCCGACAGTCTACGCAGGTGCACGTCCGAGCCTGTCACGACACTCAGGCCTGGTTCAGTCCAGCAACGGGAAACGTCTGTTATCCGTTTTTTTTCCATTTTTCATTTAAACACAAAATCCAAAATATGAAAAAACGAATCATTATCTGTTTTTTCATTTTGGTTTTGGAGACAAATAATGAAGAAAATAGTTGTTTTTTTTGTTTTCTTATTTTTGGTTTTATATTGAAAAACGAATGATACACGGACTGTATTTCCTCATGTGGTCTGCGCTGAAATTAATCATGGGATCTGTAGTTCCCGATGTTTATAAGCTGTTGCTTCTATAAAACCTGCATTTAAGCAAAGAAACTTGTGATTCGACATATTATCACAACCCATGATATTATTGTGAGATTTTTGATGATACAATGTCACGATATTTACTTGGAGTTATGTTTCATTCACACATGTTTAAGACAGAAACGCTGCATATTTAGGCTGTACACACACAAAAAATAATAATAATAATAACTTCCATTTATACGGCGCTTTTCGATGAAGGCGGGCGATGTTGCGGTGGTTTTAAAAGGCAGATTTTGTGATTGATTTGATAACAAAACAAAAGGTCAAAGGTAGTTGTTGAAAACTGCTGCTTCATGACATCACAAGGTGGAACAGAGCATTTTGAGCTTTGAAGATGTAGACAGACTAATAATAAAGTGTTAAAACATGTGTAAATGAAACAAAACAAAACTCCAGGTTTGTTTTTGAAGAGGAAACTCTATAACATGGGTTTTACCAAAAAGAAAAAAAAAAATTGATTTCAGTATTATCTTTTATCATAATATTTACTAAATTTATTCTAAAATATCGCTTTTCAAAATGTGTTTATCCTGACAAACCTGCATGTCCTTTTGTGTGTTGTCAGGTATGGTGTGTCTGAGGGACGACTCTGACGTAGATCCGACTCGGCTCTCATCTCTGGCCGCATTTCAGCTCAAATGTCTGAAACACGCACTGAGCTTCCCCCGTGTGGGCAGACTGGTCTACTCCACCTGCTCCGTCCACCGGCAGGAGAACGAGGACGTGGTCTCCGCTGTTCTGCAGGAAAACAAAGACTTCAGGTAAAACGGCTGATTAGTAGAGCTAGAGCCTTAACTGTGTGTGAACAAAACAGTCTAAACTCTGGAACTGACACTTTGTTAGACTTAATTTGAGCTTTGTTTTAACACAATATGAGCAGAAAGAATGGATTTAATTGGAACTACAACAGGTGATCTGATTTTATGCTGTACAACAAGTCTCTCAATAACATTACAGTTACAGTTACAGTCAGCTTTAGAGATCAGTACGAGCGTTCATGGTTCTGTTTAGGTGTTTGATATTTAACAAAAATGTGAGAGTGAGTAACTGAAAAACTGTTGGATTATGCTTGCTAGTGTGTGACTCTAACTTTATTTAATGTCAAAAATGATCTTATCTTATTAGTTGAAGTTCCAACTACTGTATTTTGCAGATTATAAGTCACACCAGCCAAAAAATGTGTAACAGAAGAAAAAATCATATGTAAGTTGTACTATTGTGGGGGAAATGTATTTTATAAAATCAAAGACCAGGAACCGACATTTCATCTTGAAAGGCAAGTTCTAGTAAAAACAATAGAAGAGAGAACAACAGACTGTTAACGTCACATATGAACAGTTCTTCAGATAACTATAACATAAACAACAGAACAGAACAAGTTTAACAAACTCTCCATGTCACTCCAAATCACTAAATCCATTCAATTCTTCATCCTTGGTGTCACTTCCTCTTCTGTTTAGCTGTTGTCAGACTCAGCATCAGTTCCAGTTAGAATTATTCCGGCTTTTCTGATTTGCGACAGCATAGTTTCAGTGTAACTGAAGTCACTTAAAATTAAAATTTTCAGTGGTGCAGAAGTAATGGTGCGATCGGCTGATATGATACAGCAGGACAGAGGCTCTTTCTGCAGGAGACATGTGCAGTAGAGCCAAGTGACAGTGGTACAGGAGGAACAGGAGCAGCAGATACTGACACACAAGACTAGAGTGCCCTCTCATGGCTGTCAGTGTGAAAATTTTAATATATAAGTCGCAGGACCACCCAAACTATGAAAAAAAGTGAGACTTATTGTCTGAAAAATACTGTAAATCAGCTCTTTATGGTCAGATTGTGTTAAAGTCCAGCCTCAGCCTCAGACAGAGCAGTGCTTACAGTCAGCATCACACCCCCAGAGAATGTTGATGATCAGTTGCAAAGTATCAGTAATTATGAATTATTAATTCTTAAGAATTAATATCACAAAAATCAGCTGTTGCTTTGCTCTGCCTCACCTCCATGTGTCCTTCTCCAGGCTGGTGCCAGTGCTCCCCCATTGGCCGGAGCGGGGACTGCAGCCCCTCACACAGTGCCTCAGAGCCAGCCCCTCGACCACACGCACACACGGCTTCTTTGTGGCTCTTCTACAGAGACGCACTGGAACAGAACCAGAACAAGAACCACCTGCTCCTATCAGGTACATGCTCCTCTGTGTACACACATATTACCCTCATTTCCGATCTCTTATAATGTTATTTCCTCATCAAAAACAGACCTGGACTTGTGTTTTGTTTCATTCACATGTTTAACTCACAAACTGCATATTTAGTTCTTCTCTCAAACTGAAAACACGCTGTCCCACCTTCTGATGTCATGTGGTAATACAGGAAGTGCTTTATTGTAGGGCTGGGCGATATGGACAAAAACTGCTGAGAAACTCTTGTTTCTGAATAAAATTGAATAAAATTCCCCCTGTCCTGTACATTGTCCAAGTTACACAAGCATAATCTGTGCCCTTTGCCTAGTTCCACAAGCACTTTCACTGTCCTCTGCCTGATTACGTCCCTGTCATTTTCAGAAAAACAGCTTAACCTGTCATATTATGATATTACCATTTTGGGAAAATTCACACACAGAGAATACATATAAAATGTATTATACACAAATGTGATGTTACATGTACAGAAATTATTTGGTCATACATTTTTTGTAATTCGTAATCATTCCCAATAGACATAACAGACACAAAAATTCAATGCATCACACATGATGTGGTTCAGATACAGCTGCCTGCGATTACACACTTGGCCAGTAGGTGGTGTCGTGCGAACATGAAGCTTCGAGAAATTGAACCCTTTCTTGAACTAATTGGCTCAAGTGGTTCAATGCCTCATGAGGTTTCATCTCACTATCACTAGCTCCCACAATTTTATCATTTTATGTATTTTGTGTTTTTAGCAGTGCTGCTGTTGGCAAGTCTGTCAGTCCGACTTTAGGTCAGAAACGAGCGGCGGAGTCTGAGTCTGAAGCTTCGGACACAGAGGACCAACCTGACCCCTCCTCTGACCCCACCAATACCTCCGCTGACCCCACTACTGACCCCTCCGCTGACCAGACTGGACAAGTACCTGCTGTGAAGAAGAAGAAGAAAAGGAAGAAGAAGAAGAAAAACAAGACGTCCGGGGCATCAGGTGTAATTACACAGTGATTTATGGACTAAAAGATTTAAAAACATTAGTGAGTGTTTGTATTTATTACTACAGGGGTCACTAATAAAGTTATTTTGGTAAATGAAATTGAAATGTGACTTTCTTTAACCGACCTGCACTTATTCAGCTGTGATGTGAGGTTTGTCCACCAGAGGGCGCTGTCTGTCCTAAGTTTAAATGAAGTAAAAGGAACTGCGTAAGATTTAACTTTAAACTAAGCTTTTACTGATAACAATTCTATAACTTCATAGGTTCTTTTTAAAGACAATGCAGTAAAGTGTATTTACCTTGTTGACATGTTTCGGCTGCTAGCTCCAGCCATCTCATCTTGCAGCTAGCAGCCGAAACATGTCAACAAGGTAAATACACTTTACTGCATTGTCTTTAAAAAGAACCTAAGTAGTTAAAGTATACAAGAAGACAAAATGAACATCATTGGCTTGATAACAATTCTAACTTTGATTTATTCTTAATTACAAAAACATGTGATGGCCAAGCTGTTTGATATAATTTATTAAAACATTTATCCAATCAGAAAACAGAATGAACCTCACATGACTCATTTGTGTTGCCAGGTTCAGAGCTAAAATCCAGTTGGTTTAATCTTAAAATACATCGCTCTGATCTGAACGGTCTCTACCTAAACCCCAGCACTTGCACCAGTCATGAGTCTGTGCTAATGCAGCCTCTGCAGCTCAGGGAGGGAATTCTGGAGGTTCTGAGCTTCACATGAGGCCTGCACATAAACTGAGAATGAGACAAACTTGGATGTGTCTCTTTCTGCAGGTTTAGGCTCTGGCAACACAGTTCAGTTCAAAGTGATTGTAATAATTTAGCCAAATAATTTCTCTTGTGGATCAATAAAGTTCAAAGATTAAATAAAGTCTTAAGTCCAAGTCTACAAGAGCGCAGGCGACCTTTCCTTACCTTACCTATAGTTTCCTTTTCTTACCTTTCCTTAACTTTATTTCCTTTTCTTTTTCTTTCCTTATCTTTAGTTTCCTTTTTTCTTTTTCCTTTCTTTACCTTTATCTCCTTACTTACTTTTTGTTTACTTTACTTTCCTGTCTTTTTAACTTTCTTTTCCTTACCTTACCTTTTCTTTCCTTACCTTTTCTTTCCTTTCCTTACATTTTCTTACCTTTATTTCCTTTCCTTCCTTACCTTTACTTTCCTTACCTCTATTTCCTTTCCTTACCTTTCATTTTCTTTATTTCCTGACCTTTCCTTTATTTCCTTTCCTTACCTTTTATTTCCTTACATTACCTTTTGTTTACTTTCCTTTCCTATCTTTTAACTTTACTTTCCTTACCTTAATTTCCTTTCCTTACCTTTCCTTTATTTCCTTACCTTACCTTTTCTTTCCTTTCCTTACTTTTCCTTACCTTTATTTCCTTTCTTTACCTTCATTTCCTTTAAACCCGAAAAGATGACCACAATGAAATATTACGTTAATACTTTCACCTGCCTGTGGAAATCTTTAGTAAAAGTAGAAGTTGTGGTTTCACTAGTGACCGTACAGGGAGGTGTATCTTCTGATTCCTTTGTGTCTGAGAAAGTGGCCGTGGGGGAGACGCTGTGATTTCCAGGGCGGGGGGAGGTCAGTGAAGTGGACATAATGATAAAGCCCTGCAGCCATGAGTCCCAACCCAAAGACAGTACAGAGATAATTGGCGTCTCCTGTGTGTGTTTATTATTCATTGTAGTTTTACAGTGACCTAATTCGTTACTCAATTAAGGACAGCTGTGCTACGATACAATACAGAGCTCAATACATATGATACAGACTTTAATACGTAGGACACGATACGATGCATATCTCGATACTGTGAGCTTTCGATTTGATTTTGAAGATTCAATATGACATACAGTATTTCAATTAATTAATAAATAAAGTCTAAATCATGGCTGTGATACTGAAAGTCTTTGTTAAACCACGTCTTGTGCAAAGTTCATAACACAGCAAAAGGAGAAATTCAACTTGTCAACTGGACGAAAGTTTATTTTGTCGAATACATTTCCAAGCTGTATCCAAGCTAAACTTAAGCAGCAGCTTCGATGAGCTGCAAAATGTATTCAACCAAATAAACTTTTGTCCAGTTGACAAGTTGAATTTCTCCTTTTGTCATAGATTCTACCTGTACGACTGAGGGATTTTAACAAATGTGAAATGCGTTGAGAAAGGAAACTTGTTTATGCAACAAAACTGCAGCTGTAACAAAATAATTTGGTAAAATATACCAAAAAATCCTCTTGGCGATATATTGATATAGCAGTCCACGATATCAATACTGTATCATCACATTAAACAATATGATATATTGATATTTCAATATTTTTGCACACCCCTAATGTCCATAGAGAATGTTCCAAAGTGTGGTTTTAACTTTCCATTTCTAAGGGATAATGCAAACATAAATAATTGTTTTTGAGCTTGTCAAACCCTACAGACAGATGGACAGATGGACAGATGGATGTATGGAGTGTGTTTGTGTCTCGTACAGAGGAGGTGACAGCTGTGCTCATGTGGGGTTCATACTGTATGGTTCAGAAGGGGAGGGGATGCCCATCTGTTCAGAAAGTTGTGAGGAAAGGGTCCGGGGTTGACATTTTTTATAATATTTCAACAATACTAACACCTCACCAATACACATTTTGATATTGTTTACTGCCAGGTTTGTCTTCAAAAAAGCACTACTCAATAGGTTCAATCATAAGTTGTGAAATTATCCAATTAAACAAACTGTGCATCTTAACATTTGTTCAGAAAGAGAAAGCTCCAAACTGGGATTGTCCCGGGTAAACAGGAACGTCTGGTCATGCCACCCCCAGGGAATATTGACGGCATCAGCTGCAAAAGATCGATTAAATAAAGACGACGTACAAGCGCGGTGAAGAAAACCTCCCTTTTATTGTGAATGCTGCTGGTACAGTCAGGGCTGCACAGCGTCTCCTCTGAGAAAACACGAAAACAGAGTCACGTTTTAAAGCCACATTCACAGTTTGACACGACAGCAGAGGTAGGATCAGGGCCAGTGCTGCAGGTGCCCACGAGAAACTCCATTTACACACATGACTCAAGCTAACAGTTAACAAGACAGGATTTGGTCAATTTAAAGATGCATTGTGTAACTTTTCTGGTGGAGGGTCCATCACTGTGAGAAACAGTTCTACCTTACATTTATTCAATCACAGGTGGTTTTATAGTAGCCAGGCTGGCGCCACCTAGTGCCTCAATTTTATTTCTCTCCAGTGACTAGGTCAGGAATTGAAATACACTAGATGATTTGCAAAAACCCCAGAAGTTGTAGACCGCGCACCGGCCAATCAGCGAAGAGCTGTGAAGCCGTGACGTCAAACTTGAGCTCCTGTCTGTGTCCCTTTTGTGGAACAGCACAACAGTAAACAAAACGGTCCAGATGGATGTAGACAAAGACCGACATTCTGTGCTGGGAACGATTCCCGAGATCAAGGATTTAAAGCCAGAACAAAGAGAATGTTTGGTGAATTTTATCAAGGGGAAAGACGTTATTGCCCTTCTTCCTACGGGATTTGACGCATTACATACGTCACGACCAAATAGCAGCGACTGGTTAAATTAAAAAGAAGTACCTTCCTACCGTCGAGCGAACGACTCGTAATGCTGCGAGGTCAGACGGTTTCTGAAATCAGCTGATGAATCAGGCTAGTTTTAGGGCCTGTTTACACGAGAACGCTTGCAGATAAAAACTACAAAATATTTTATCGGAAGTGCCTTTCATTTAGACATTGGCGGTGTTTTTGGGGCTTAAAAATGCAAAAATCTGAAATCACCCTCAGAGTGGAAAAGTTGAATACGCTTCTTTGTCGCGTTTCCGTCTACACTGCCCAAGACGCAAAACTCTGGTCAGATCTGCTCACGTTTACATCACATACATCAACACCGAGCGTCGCCACCTAACCGCCTGGCATGCATACACAATCGAATTCCACACACTTTTGCGTCACGGTATGCACGCAGATTTGTTCCTGAAAACGCTTGTTTAAACGCGGAATAAAAAGTGAAGATGCAACGCCACTTTTGCATCTTCCGTTCAGACCGTCGTCCTGTAAACGTAGCCTTATAGCTCAAAAACACCAAGAAACATGACCTGTAACTTGGTCTAGTTTGGTTGCCATGACGATAGACAGGTTTAATGCTGCACTGTGAAACATTCCTGATAAAGCAATAACATTTACATGGAGAAAAGCGTTTGACAGACCTTCCACCAGAAAAATTACACCATTACGCTTTAAGACTACAAAAGAATTCATGTTTAAAATGACAAAATGACATGGTTATAGAAAGAATCAACTTTGCAACATGTTTGAGAGTTCTTCAGTCAAATGTTTGTCTTATATTTTGCTAATCTATGAATAAAAGAGCTAAAAAAAAAAGAGCTATTCTAGACACACAAAACCGTACATATAGTGTCTTACATTTGAAACAAACTCAGACTAACATGTTCCCGACCATCAACATTAGACCTGGGTTAAAAACGAGTGATTTTAGCAAAATACGAGTAAACATAAAAAATTGTAAAGGTTCTACATGGGATAGAATAGCTAAGAAAAAAAAAACTATTTAAATCACATCACTAAGAGACTCAACGCTTAAAAAAAACCTTCTTCGGTTTTGATCTCTGCAGTGCACAGAGGTCTGAGAATCCATGTGTCATTTGTTCATTCATTTTTCAATATAAAACCAAAAGTAAGAAAATGAAAAAAATAACGGATTCCTTCATTATTTGTCTCCAAATCCAAAATGAAAAAACAGTTTTCGTTTTTTTTACGGACTGAAGCAGGACTAAACCAGGGCTAAACCATTTTCAGTCCTGGTCCTGGTCCCAGGCTCAGTTCTGGTCTGGTCCCAGTCTCAGGCCTGGGCTCAGTCCTGATCTCAGTCTTGGTCCTGTTCCTGGCCTCAGTCCTAGTCTCAGTTCTGGTCTCAATTCTGATCTGTTCCCAGTCTCAGGTGTGGGCTCAGTACCAGTCTTGATCTGGTCCGGGTCTAAGTCCTTGTCTCAGTCTTAGTCTGGTCCTGGACTTGGTTTAGTCCTGGTTCAGTCCTGGTTCAGTTCGGCGTCACGAAAACGGGAACCGGCCCTTTTTTTCCATTTTTCATTTAAACACAAAAATTGAAAAACTGAAGAAAAAACAAACAAACAAAAAAAACAAATCGTTATCTGTTTTTTCATTTTGGTTTTGGAGACAAATAATGAAGAAAATAGTTGTTTTTTCATTTTCTTATTTTTGGTTTTATATTAAAAAACAAATGAACAAATGACACACAGATTTCTGGGGACTCCCTAAAAGCTCGGCATTTTGTTCTATTACAATCACAGCAAACCACTTTAATACTTTCCTGTTTTCTTATTTATTTGAGCTGTTAAACTGGACCTAAAATTATAATTATAATCAGTAAGCATCTCTGAACTAGTAAGTGGAAAATAAATCTGGAAACAAGATGAATAACCTGATATAAGTTTTAAAATCTTGGCCAGATCAGAGAAATTTGCTCAAACAAAACGGCGAGCTTTCAGCGAGTCCCAGCGGCGCACCGAGGCCTGAGGTGTACTTCCTGGTTGTGGGTGTTCGCTGTGGCAGCAGTGAGGTCAGAGGTTACATGGCATTGGCGGCGTTGGTGAGCATCCTGCGTACGGCCTGAGCGATGGCGTCGCGGTCGATGGCGTAGAGACGCAGCAGCTCCTGAGGTCGCCCACTGCGCGGCACATGACTCACCGCCAAACGGTGCACCGAGAAACCGGGTTCATTCACCACAGCCGAGCACACGGCCTCGCCAAGACCACCTGAACCGAGAGAGAGAGGGAGGAGAGAGGTGTGGAGAGGGGGAGGGAGAGAGGAAGGAGAGAGGGAGAGAAGAGAGGAGAGGAGAGAGGAAAGGAGGAGAGAGAGAAGAGAGGAGGGAGAAGGAGGAGAGAGGTGTGGAGAGGGAGGAGAGAGGAGAGGGAAGGAGAGGGAAGGGAGGTGTGGAGAGAGATGTGAAGAGGGAGGTGAGAGAGGGAGGGAGGAACGAGGAGAGAGGGAGGAGGAGAGAAGCATGGAGGAAGAGAGAGGGAGGAGAGAGGGAGAAGGAGAGAAGTGTGGAGGAGAGAGGTGAGAGAGGGGGTGAGAGAGAGGGAAGAAAGAGGGAGAATGGGGAGGAGTATGGAGGAGAAGAAGAATAGAGGGAATAAACAGAAAGAGAGGGAGGAGAGAGGGATAAGTTATTAGAGATGGGTTGGTCGAGTGTCAGATGCTTCTATAGTTATAATCTGTCTGAGATCTTTGTATGTATGTAAGTATGTGTGTGTGCGTGTATGTATGTGTGTATATATATATATATATATGTATATGTATATGAATATGAATATATATAAAGTAAGTTCATAAACGTGTATGTGTGTGTTCTGTCACTCCATGAACAGGTTTTATCGTTACAGATCAGAACACACAGGCTTTTCTTTCTTTCTGATCCATCTCTTCTACAGTTTATGATCACACCACAAGTTCACAAAGGGTTAAAAGAGACGAGATACAGACTGACAGCTCTGACAGCGGCTCACACTTTACTCCTCCTCCTCCCTCTCCTGCATCTTCTTCTGTCTCCCTTCTCTCTCTCACTCACTCTCTCCCCACCCCTGCTTCCCTCCTCCTCCTCCCTCTCTATCTCCCCCTCCTCCTTCTCTCTCTCACTCTACCTCCGCTCTTCTTCCCTCTCTCCTCCTCCCTGTTTTTCTAACACCCTCTGCACTTAACACTCAATAACGCAAACACTGCATTTTACAAACTCTGCAATCCTTCTGAAATAAAAGCATTATATGTCTTTTTTTTTTATTTTTATGAAAACCACCAAATTCTTTTTAACTTTACATAATATTTGAGAATTATGTTGACTATGATATAATATAACTGTTTGCGATATAAAAAAGTGAATTACAGGTGTAGTATGTAACCTGGAATGTTCCATAGTACGGCATTAAACATATATACCAAGCATTTATTTACTTACAGAAGCTCTTATCACCCAGTACATTTAAAACTGTGTTCGTACTGTGAAGGGTGTCACCTCTCCACAGACCTGACCTGGTTTAATGCCACATGGTGGAATATTCCAGGCAAAGCGTTTACATTAAACTTTTAATGATAAAAAAACATGACAAAAACTCCTCTCTACACACTCTGAGCAAGTAGGAAGCATGTCACAGTCCCTTAACCTCATGTCTCCTAAGCACTTCTCTGTGTCCTTGCGACCTTGACTGTGAAATGCTGACACCACAACCTCCACTTAAACCCCCCACGACCCCTGTACGACCCCTGCGTGACCTCTGACCCCGCGGTAAAGCCTCCATACACATGCGACTCTCTTCTTTACATAAGCATAAGCAGTTCAGCTCTGTTTATAGATGACCTCATTTCCGAGCAGCTAAAAACCTGCAGACATGTTTACAGGACAAACCTCCTCCTGGTGCCGCAGTGGGGTCACAGTGGCAAAAACTGTTGTTGTGTTCTTAGGCAAGACACAAGAGAGATCACTTTAATGTACTGAGGAATAAAAGTACTGAAGACCTTTTATTGAGAGCGTCCATGGAGACAAGCACGTGACAAACCCTCCACCAGAAAAGTTACACAGTGTTTTTCTTAAGGCCGCCACACACTACAGGATTTTTCGGTCTTAAACGAGTTTTAAACGTGCAACAAAAAGCAAACACCACAGACAAGAGGAGAACTTTATGAAACTTAAAATCTCTGATCGCAAAAACTGCAGCGGGATCTGTCTGCGAATACACAGGATACACAGGGAGCGTGATCTCGTCGGCGGTTTCTTCCATCCATTCATTTTCTTACGCTTATCCAGGGCCCAGGTCGCGGGGGCAGTGGTCTAAGCAGGGAATACCAGACTTCCTTCACCCCGGACACTTCCTCCAGCTCCTCCGGGGGAACCCCAAAGCGTTCCCAGGCCAGTCCAGAGACACGGTCCCTCCAACGTGTCCTGAGTCTTCTCCGGGGCCTCCTTCCAGTGGGACAAGCCCGGAACATCTCCAAGGAAGGCATCCAAGAGGCATCCAGAACAGATGCCCAAGCCTAAGCTGCTCCTCTCGATGTGGAGGAGCAGCGGCTCTACTCCGAGCTCCTTCCGTGTGACTGAGCTCCTCTCCCTATCTCTAAGGGAGCGCCCAGCCACCCTGCGGAGGAAACTCATTTCGACCGCTTGTATTCATGATCTTGTCCTTTTGGTCATTCAAGCTGTTCCCTGTCTATGGACAATTTCTATGAATAATGTGGATGAGATGCTGCACTTTAATTTTACAGCTTTACGAGAGATGAGGAATGAAATCTTCTTATTATTTTCCCTATTTCCTGAGTTTGTATCTTGCGTCTCTCTGTGTCCGTTGCTCCTCTGCCCCTGACGTTCTGTTTTATCGGCTGTTATCATAGCATTTCTGATGTTTGGTTCTGATCTGACAGGGCAGCTCAGAGTCACACTGACACCACACATGAGGAAAGATCACACACAAAGACAAAAAGTTGGGTCACGCCTCCCCAAAATTGAGGAGAAGCAAAGCTCCTGTAGCGTGGGGCAGCCATAAGTTTACATCTCACACATTCAGTCTGAAGTAGTGTCTTGCCCAAGAACACGATGGTAGTAAGTTTAAGTCCTTTCTAAAGACGTCTTACCTTCATAGTAGTGATCCTCCACAGTGATGATGCGCCCCCTGGTGGCTCGTGCGTTGTCGATGATGGTTTTGGAGTCCAGGGGTTTGATGGTGAACGGGTCGATCACGCGGACGTTAATGCGCTCTAAAAAAGAACAAAAAAAAAGACTCAAAAACAAGTTAGAAGAATCTGTAGGCCCTAACTAAGAATTATCTGATTAAAATGTATATCACAAGTTAGACTGTTTATTTTACTAAAACATGGGCTGTGTCCGAATCTTTAGGCTATGTTCACACTGCAGCCTGAAGTGACCCAAATCTGATTTTTTTGGCCCCTATGTGACCTGTATCTGATCTTTTAATGACAGTCTGAACGACACAGATCTGATTTTTTCAAATGCGACCCAGGACACTTCGATGTGGCTGAAACCAATATGTATCTGATCTTTTGACATGCGACTTCAGTCTGAACGGCCAAAGCGCATTCATCCGACCTACACATTATCAAAAAGCGACAAATGTACACAAATGTTCTTCTTGTCATATGAAAATTGTTAATGAACTCCGTGTCACTGAAGCTAAGCAGATCGCTATCCCACCACTCTTGGCTACGTCTGCACATCCACACGTTCCTTTCAACGGACTGCCCCACAAAACGCCACGGCCAAAAACCTCGTCCTTCTCTTTCTCAATCTCCTCCTTAAAACAAGTAAGTTGTTCATGTTCTGGCTCCGGTACGAGAGGAACTTTAAAATCTCCAGGTGCTCAATGCTCGTGTCCATGTTTGGACAACTTCCGTAAACACAGAGCACGCTCGCTGCAGTTGACGTCGCTGTGTCCTCCAATGCTCATGCGGGACACTTTTGGGCCGTTTAAACGTTCACACTGGAGATCACATACAAGTCGCATTTAATTGGAAATGTGAACGACCTCGCAAAACATTGGATTTCACACAAAAAAAAAAAATCCAAATTGAGCATTAAGCCCTGCAGTCTGAATGTAGCCTTAGACTCCCGGACTCCCATTGACTTACATCGGAATAATGTCGTCACTCTTTCTGTGACTGCTGCTGTAAACCTTGTCAGTTTGGTCTTAAAATGTTTGGTCTTAAAATTTACCCAATCCTGGGGTTTTATTTTGCTATTTTGTCCGTTTAAAAAATTCTATTCCTAATAGACCTTTTTCACAACAGCCGGAAGTCCCACTCGGTCAGGTTGCAGAACTTCCAGTTAATATTTTTCTGTGGCAAATTGTCTGTTTAAATGTCTTGGGTATTTTCAACGAGCTTCATAAATCTGCCCCGTCAACAAATTTTCAACCAACAAGGTCCATAAAGGAAATGTTCTGTCCATGAATAATTTATCCACAACTATCAAGGGAAAAAAGACGAAAGCTTAAAGGCAAACGACGAGCATTAACATTGATAGATTTGTGCATTTCAACTGCACAAATCTCTGTTTATGCAAATATCGACATAATAAAAACTTTTTTTTTATGTTAATTGTAGAATCAGTCTGAGCTCACAAGTTACTTTTGACTTATTCATGACCATAATGTTAGTTTTGCTCAGTAGTTCACTAATGCGTTGACATTGTTTGCCTTTACGTACTTAACTTTGATAATTGTGGATAAACAATGTTTATACTTTGTCGACCTTGTTGGTTGAAGATTTGGTGATGAGGCAGATTTATGAAGCTGGTGGAAAAAACGCGAGACATTTCTACAGATATTTTGCCACAGAAAAGCATTAACCAGAAAATTTCAAACAATACACCTTTAAGTAATTTCCCTTGTGGATCAATAATGTCTGAGTCTAAGTCTTGAAAGGTATTGGGCATCGGTGGGCACTAAAGCATTCAAAATAGACCAGAATGCATAGGAAGAGTCAAAAAAACAACCGCAGACAGAGACAGGAGTTTAATTGGACACAACGCGACTGAATGAAGCAGATAAAAGCGCTGGTTTATGTCTCTGTTGATCCCGATTATGAAGAAAACACTCTTAAATAAACTGATATGGTGTAGGAGCTGTTAAAAGATCGATAATTTCCACATCTCAGACAAAAAGCCAATAAAGCAAATGTTTGTAGTGAGGGCTTTGGGTCGTACCTTTCTTGAGGTTTTCTGCAGCGGCCAGAGCTTCGTGGAGGGTGACTCCTGCTCCGATCACAGTCACATGGTCCTCACTGGATTTACACACCACCTGAAGGACACAGGAGATAATGCACCCTTAGAATATGCATGAGTTTACTGTATTAAATATATAACTGTAACACAACACTGACTCCTGTGAACTTTAACACAAGTTATAATGCTGTTTCCTCATCAAAAAACAGACCTGGAGCTGTGTTTTGTTTAATTCACACGTTTGAGTAATCGTTCATTTGACAGCTCCAGGTATTTGTGATGAGGAAACAACATTATAACAGATTAAAAAAGAGTAACACGGGCTCTTTAAAGATCATTCTCGCTCCAGACCTTGGCCTGTCCAATGTGGAAGTCCTCGTTACAGTTGTAGATGATGTTGTTTTCAGGGCGGCTCGTTCGGATGAAGCACAAACCCTGAAAAAGACAAAAGACGTGAGCTGTAGGAGCAGAATTAAACAGACTTTCTTCCGGTTTAGTCCAGGTTTAGTTCTAGTGTAGTCCTGGTTTAGTCTAGGTTTAATCCTGGCTGGTTAGGGCCTAGCTGCTTGAGTCCAGGTTGAGTCCAGGGTCGTTGAGTCCAGGTCGAGTCCAGATTGTGTCCAGGTCTAGTCCAGGTCGAGTCCAGGTTGAGTCCAGGTTTAGTCCAGGTCTAGTCTGGGCCTTATTCAGGATAAATTCAGGTCGAGTCCAGATCAAGTCCAGGTCGAGTCCAGATCAAGTCCTGGCTGAGTCCAAGTTTAGTCCAGGTCTAGTCCAGGTCTAGTCTTGGTTTAATCCAGGTTTAGTCCAGGTTGAGTCTAGGTGAAGTCCAGGTCGACTCCAGAATTAGTCCAGGTCAAGTACAGGTCTAGTCCAGGTCGAGTCTAGGTTTAGTCCATTTCTAATCCAGGTCTAGTCCAGTTCTACTCCTGGATTAGTCCAGGTTCAGTCCAGGTCGAGTCCAGGTCGAGTTCACGTTGAGTCCAGGTTTAGTCCAGGTTCTAGTCCAGGTCAAGGTTAGGTTGAGTCCAGGCTGAGCCCAGGTTTAGTCCAAGTTCTAATCCAGGTCGAGGTCAGGTTGAGTCCAGGTCTAGTCTTGGTTTAGTCCAGGCTGAGTCCAGGAGGTTGAGTCCAGGTTCAGTCAAGGTCAAATCCAGGTTGAGTCCAGAATTAGTTCAGGTCAAGTGCAGGTCTAGTCCGGGTCTAGTTCAGGTTTAGTCCAGGTTTATTTCATTTCTAGTCCAGGTCTAGTCCAGGCGTGGGGTTATGTACCTTGGTGTTAGCGGCGAGCTCCACAGCCTTCTCCGTGGAAACGCCGTCGCTGGGGTAAAACACCGTTGCCGTGGGGATGGCTCTGAACATGGCCAAGTCCTCGAGGCCCATCTGAGACGGACCATCCTCTCCTGGAAGAACCGGAACAAGACCAGATCACACAGAGGGCACAAAACTCAGACTAAACAACGAGGTCTGGACTGGACTGGTCTGCATGCATTCAGAGGGGCTCATATGCTTTAGTTTTATCACGGTTTGGTATTTTTAAAGATTTACACTGGGACGTTTAGAGCAATACGGCAATCAGTGGTTCTCAGCGACAATTACGAGTCTACATTACTTAAGGTTTAAGTATCGTGTAATGTGAAATTAAATAACAAATAAATAACAGATAAACAATATACTGTATTTTTCTGACTATAAGTCGCACTTTTTTTCATGGTTTGGGTGGTCCTCCGGTGCGAATTATATATGAAAATTTTCACACAGCCGTGAGAGGCTCTAGTCTTGTGTGTCAGTATCTGCTGCTTCTGTACCATTGTCACTTCGCCCTTAACTGCGCATGTCTCCTGTAGGAAAAGCTGTTGTCCTGCTGCAAATAGTGAAATATTCAGCCAGAAACAGTAATCGAGCAGCAGACAGAAAGTTTGGAGTGAGCCAGAAACTTGTGAGGGACTGGTGGAAAGCGGGGATGGAGAACACAGCTTCACTGCACCATGCGACTTTCCTGAAGTCACTGGATGGATGGACAAAGCCTGGACTTCAATGAAAACTGAAACCAACCTGTCAGGATTCAGAAAGGCCGGAATAATTCTAACTGGAACTGATGTTGAGTCCGATGACAGAGACACAGAAGAGGAAGCAGCGCTCTGTTTACCTCCAGAGGTTATGGAGTTGCTCAGAAGTGACACCGGGGATGAAGAATTGAATGGATTTAGTGATTTGGAGTGAGATGGAGAGTTTGGTAAACTTGTTCTGTTCTGTTGTTTATGCTATAGTTATCTGAAGAACTGTTCATATGTGACATTAACAGTCTGTTGTTCTCTGTTCTATTGTTATTTCTAGTAGCATTTCAAGATAAAATGTCAATTCCTGGTCTCTGGTTTTATGAAATGAATTTCCCCCCAAAAGTGCGATTTATAATCCGGTGCGATTTATATTAGAGCCCGACCGATATGGATTTTGTTGTGGCCGATATGAAACCGATATAATGGGAGTTGGAGCTGCCGATAGCCGATATAATCGCCGATATATTTAGTGATGTAAAAATTCACTGTAAATCTTGAATTGATTAAAAAACTTAGGTTTGGCTCTAGTGGATTCTAAATTGGGTTTATTTAGGCAACATTTATTGTTATTTTGACTCTTTACATCATATTTACATACAGTAGATTGGCCTAATGGCATTTTTGCATCACATTCTAGCTACTGTTCCTGTCACTGCTAGTGATGGGTATTCCAGTTTTTTTTGTTTTTTTTTTGGAGAACCGGCTCGGCTCATTAAAGCAGCTGGCTCTTTGCTCCCAAGCGACTCTTGGTTTTGTTGCAAGCAGGACTAAACCAGAACTGAACCAGGACTGAGTGTCGGGACTCGGTTTCTATCTCTCTCCTGCACTCGAGCCCAAGATTAGTCCTGGTTTATTCATTTTATGCTGAACTGCAGCCAAATATGCACTTTTTTATCCTATGCACACGCAGATTTCTGAAAGTTTCGTTTTCAGCCGCTGCTGCTGTCAAACTACGGGTCTACATGCGGCATGAAGAGAAAAAGTGAGAAAAAGAGAAAACACAGCTCCCAATAAGAAACATGCTCCCGTTGTTCGCTTCAAAGAGCCGCTTCGATCGCGACCGACCCACAACTCCTAGCTAGTAAACTATCGCTATTAGCCTTTAGCCGTAAAAACGTGCGCACCGCGGTAGTTAATTATATGCATAAATGTGGATCATTCACACGTCTATTCACAGCTCATTTACATATCAATACTGGTCCAGTAACAAATATACGGCCAATATAGTCACTTTACAATAGACCAATAGAAAACAGCCTGTTTATGTGTGGGAGCTACAGCAGCTAATCGCTAATAACAAATTGCGAAAACTAGCTTCAAAGTCGATGTATTTCCAACACTCACCGCTCACACAGGCTCCTCCTCACATCACAAGTCTGCACTAATAAATGTCCTTTTAATCCAGACTCAAACCGATTGTCCGAAAAAGAAATAATCTCAGTGTTGCGCACCACTGCCGGTGTAAACAAACACACGCGAGTGAAGTGACGTCACTCTGGTGGTGTGTTCAGGGACAGTACGGACACAGACACAGACAAATTACACCGTAGATAAATACTGATGCGGAGCCACATATTCGGACATTTATCTGTCTGTAAATTGGATTAAATGAACATAATGTAGAGAGTTTAAGCTTTATAACGAGATATAACATGCCCACGTGAAATATCGGCCAATATCAGCAAGCATATCGGCCGATAGCCGATATGTCTCCAGGTGCCCATATTGGCCGATAATATCGGCCGGCCGATATATCGGTCGGGCTCTAATTTATATATGTTTTTGTCTTCTTCATTACGCATTTTTGACTTGTGTGACTTATACCCCAGAGTGACTTATAGTCTGAAAAATACAGTATTTAGAAATCGTGTGGTGAGTGTCATAGAAACCAGGGGATAGTTGGTTCAAATCCCCCCTGATTCATGTCCTGATGTCGTGTCTCTGGAAAATGTGACAGTATCGTTTAATTGTGACACAAACAGTCAGAATCTAGAACAAAAGCATATGACCCTCAGATCGTTTCAGAGCATTCAGAGAGGAGCCGTGAGCATGCGTGTACCTGAAGGGGGAGTGCAGGAGCAGAGAGCAGGGAGGGGCATCTCCACAGACAGAGAGGAAACCAGGGGACAGGACTGAGCCCCGACCCCAGAGACGGGTGAGGAGAGGTGGGGAGGAGGAGGAGGCAGGGACCAGAGGGCAGGAGCAGAACAAGAATGATCAACACAAGATATTATCCTACATTTACTTTAGTTAGATCATGATGGTAAAATGTCATTTAAAGGCTTTTGAACATTATTTCTCCACATTTTTAGGTAAATAAATAATATATAAGTGTGGAAAGTGGATGAAATTCAGCTCTGAATATTCTAGAATCACTATAGTTTAAACTGAAAATCAGCCGAGGGGCAGATTAAACATCTTGGAGGGCCGGATCCAGAACACAACTCCAGGTCTGTTTGTGATGACGACACATTATAACTTAGATCAGACACAGGTGCGGTGTGGTGGAGACAGGTGCAGTGTAGTAGGGACAGGTGCGGTGTGGTGGAGACAGGTGCAGTGTGGTAGGGACAGGTGCAGTGTGGTAAAGACAGGTGCAGTGTGGTTTGGTGTGGTGGGGACCGACCGATGGAGACTCCACAGTGGGAGCCGCACAGGTTGATGTTGCTCTCGGAGATGGCGGCCATACGCAGCTGGTCGTACGCTCGGCTGAAGAAGGTGGCGAAGGTGCTGGCAAACACCACGTTCCGGTCTCGCGCCGCACAGCCCATCGCTACGCTCACCTACGGCACAGGGTACAGGGCACGGCACGGGGGGGGGGGGAGACACCATCATTTAGTTGGGATTGTAGCATTTTGAATTGGTATGTCACAATCACAATTTCAATCAGAACGGGCATCGAACAACAGCAGCAACTCAACTTTCATTCTCCCAGATTGTGTGCCCTCTGCTGGTCATAGTGGGTAGTGAAAGATTTTGAAATGATAAATTAGCAGCACGGCTATTCTCAACATGATGTTAAGAGAGAAAAAGCGAGCCAAAACCAACTGAAACAAAAAAAAAAAAACCCTACTATTAAAGTTGATAGGCCTCACAGTCAATACCTTTCAATTCCAAATTCATTGTTCTGAATTAAATAGTTCTGAATTAAAATATTATCCTTCGAGTTTACATGGAAATAATAATTCTGAATTGAGGTTTACATGGAAAACACGTTAAATTGTCTTTATTTAATTCCACTCAACATCTGGAGGTGGGGAAGTGTTCTAATTGGACAGGGACACAAACGTATTTACGTTGACCGGGAGAAAACACACACTTCAGCTGCTACCGGCTTTTTTATCATCTCGGTTTGTCGTTACGCCACGGACACAAACATGATCCAAACTTTTTTCGCAGTTGTTCTGATGACAATTGCGCAGCAGCTGGAGAATTGTCTCATCACATTTTACATTTGTCTGAGGAGGAGAGGGGAGGAAGAAGACAAACAAAGTCAATGGCTGCTCTACCTCAGCCCACTCCCGCATCCCGCTCACAAATCCAAAGAGACGTGGATGAAAGTCCGAAGAGAGAACTGGTGGAGCCGGATTGTTCAGATCGCGTCATAAGTGGGACACAACGAGCATGCGCTGAACGACCGGAATTATTTTTAAGAAGAATAAACGTTTACATGATTAAGGAATAAATTAATTTGACTTTAAAATCGGAATAAACCACTCACTTATTTATAATCATTTTCATTAGTAATTAAGTGTTTACATGGTCTTTTTAAAGCAGAATTAAATTTTATTCTGAATTAAATTATTTTATTATTGAAGCTGAAGTGTAGCAAACCTGACCACTGAACTGATCGAAGCCCAGTTAAGGTCTATGTACTTTAAAGGAAATGCACATACAATTTTAATTTCAAAGTCCATAAGCATGACCCAACAGTGTCCCAGACTTTGCAGCTGAAGTCATCAACATGTTCTGTTCTGCGGCACTAACTGGAAGCACTGCTCTGTCTGAAGATCAAGTTAGACAGCCAGATCTGGGCTTTGTTACAACATGATCTGACCAAAAAGAACTGTTTTCAGGGAATTTCAAGTTGATTTGTGAACTCTCAAATAACTTTACAGTCACTCTCACCTTTTTGTTAACAATCAAACTCCTAATGTGTTGTGTGAATCCATTTTGTATTTGTTTTTGACCTTTCAGACAGTTTTAAAGCTTTTTCAACAGTGTTTGTTCATGTGTGCATTGCGTCACCATGGTAACTGTTGAACATTTCACCACAGAGACACATGTAAAACACTTGCAGCACGATGTCACTGTAAAGTATAGATAATAAGTTGGGGCAAATCATCTTAAAAAAACCAAACAAAATAAACACATAAATACATGGAACCTTCCTGACCATATTCTGTTCGGCGATGTAGCACTCCACGTAGCGGTTGGGGTGCTCGTTCCTGAAGAGCTCGGAGAAGGTGGAGTTCTTGGTGTCTCCGTCCAGGACCACCACGCGCTCGTTGTACCGGCCCAGTTTGGCCAGAGCCATGCCGTACGCTTTCCTTGTGGCAATCTGACACAGAGAGGGGAGGGGAAGTATTGGGATTAGAGTTAAATTTGTGATAGAGATTGTGTTTTTTTTCACAGAGCAGATTGTAAACAACTCCAGGTGCATTAATGTCCCACAGAAGACTGAAATATGAACTGATACAAGAGAACATAGAGGTTGAAAGGCAGGTACAATAATTTTCTATAAAAGAACAGTATTTTTTGTAATTTGCAGAAAACATTAAATTAAAGGGTAATGGTAAACGGTCAGATATTTATACAGCGCTTTTCCACTTTCAAGATTTAAAGCGTCTTTAAGTGTCTTGCCCAATGACAGCATTCATCATCAGGAATTACATTGCCAACCTGGATCTGATCGCTCTACTATAGACTGACCAGACGTCCCTATTTACCCGAGACAGTCCCAGTTTTAAGCCCTGTGTCCCCTGTCCCAGCAGATTTATCCAAAACCAGCGATTTGTCCCAGTTTTATACAAGAAATGTTACAGGTGTCCCTATTTTGGACAAATTTGATCCCTGCCAACAGTAAAGTGAGGCATACATTGTCATTTTTTTAGGTAAAATACAAAAAAGGTGCTTAAAAATGATCAAAACACAAAGAAAATGTGACTACACTGATTCACATGTTAGTCATAAACTAGTCATGAATGGGCAACAATAATTTATTTCGCACTTGTTTCACCATTTTTTTTTCACCAACCACCGAACCAGGGGTAGCCTGATTCATCAGCCGGTTTCACTTCGTGGAAACCGTCTGACCTCGCAACATTAGGATTCATTCACTCGACAGTAGGTGGGTACTTTTTTATTTAACCAGTCGCTGCTATTTGGTCATGATGTATGTCATCAGCCAGTTTCACGAAGTCAAATCTGATGAATCAGACTATTGAGTTTAGGGATGGGCATTTGATAAAATTTTCTTAATCGATCGTCGAGAGAACTAACGATCGATTATCGATTCATCATGAATGTTTTTATATTAAAATTATCATCATTATTATTACTATCTGCACTCCTAATCTGCATAAATAAATTCAACTTTACGACAAATAAACCGTAACCACTCTAGAGCCACATCAATCCGTTTGAGATTATAATGTGTTTAATGCAGCTTTGTGCAAGTCTCACAGAAACTTAAAACCGCATGACTACTTTGCATAAACTAAGCGAAGAAAAAAAAAACAGCTCTTGTGCACTGATGCAGCACGACTCAGTGGAATACAGGTTAGTGTGACCATATTTGCGTTTGTCAAAACCAGGACACCGTACGGGATGTGGGAGGTGGAGCCTCGTCGTCGACATTGAGCGACTCTCACCTGGCAAAGATTTTTCATGTTTTCGGTGTCCTGATGAACTTTTTCCCACTGGACACCGAAACATATGTGCTGCTTTGTACACTGTGCACATGGCCTCACACGACCGGAAAGGAAAGCGTGACATTTTTTTGTACAAGTCATCGATAAATACGCATTTGAACTTCGGCATGTTGCAGACTGACCGACTGTCTGGGTCTGCTCGCTCCTTCTGAGTGCAGAGAGCTACATGTACAGACCCCTGTTTGTCCCCAGACACGGACGTTTGGTCACCCTACGCTACGCACAGCAACCTACATTCGGTTTTGTACTTCAAAATTTACTGTAAAAGGCCCAGAATGTTTATTAAAGGTGCATTGTGTAACTTTCCTGGTGGAGGGTCCATCAAATGTTATTGCTTTGTCTAGAATGTTTCACAGTGTGGCATTAAACCTTTCTAACTTCATGGAGATCAAACCGAGCTGTTTCCTGTCATACTTTGGAACATGACAAATCCATGCCCGACCCCCAACCAAAAAATTACACACTGCACCTTTATTATACACTGTCCCTGTAAAATGGACAAAACAACAGAGGATATGCCGGGAGGGGGGTTGTACCTTATCTCCAGGGTTGTAGTTGGGCGCGTTGGGCATGTGGACGTTCCTCAGACTCACAGGCAGAGCGTCGTCAGAGGGCTGGGCCGGGTACATGCGTTTACTGCAGCTCACCATTCGAGCCTGGAGGTCCCGGATCACGCTCTCTGCCATCTCTTTGGGCAAAGGCTTCCCGTGCCAGCCCATCTTATCCTCCACACCTGGACAACAGAATCACACGAGGCTGGAGATTAAAGACCATGGATTCTGATTTATGTAATAAGGATGTTTCCTCGTCAAAAACACCTTGGGTTGTGTTTTGTTTCATTCACACATGTGAGCCTCCTCTTAGTCCAGGTTTAGTCCTGGTTTAGACTTGCTTTTAATCCTGATTTTAGTCCTGGTTTAGACCTGGTTAAATCCTGGTTTAGACTTAGTTTAGATTTGGTTTTAGTCCTGATTTAAGTCCTGGTTTAGTCCTGGTTAAATCCTGTTTTAGACCTGGTTTTAGTCCTTATTTAGTCCTGGTTTAGACCTAGCTTAGACTTGGTTTTAGTCCTGATTTTAGTCCTAGTTTAGTTCTGGTTTATACCTGGTTTAGACCTGATTTTAGTCCTGGTTTAGTCCTCGTTTAGACTTGGTTAAATCCTGGTTTAGACCTGGTTTTAGTCCTGATTTGAATCCTTGTTTAGTCCTGGTTTATACCTGGTTTAGACCCAGTTTTAGTCCTGGTTTAGACCCAGTTTTAGTCCTGGTTTAGTCCTGGTTTATACCTGGTTTAGACCTGGTTAAATCCTGGTTTAGTCCTGGTTCAGTCACGTAAACGAGAAACGGACATTATCAGTTTTTTCCATTTTTCATTTAAACACAAAATAAAATAAAAAAATAAATCTTTATCTGTTTTTTCATTGTGGTTTTGGAGAGAAATTATGAAGTAAATAGTTGTTTTTTCGTTTTCTTATTATTGCTTATTATTTTGAAAAACGAATGAACAAACGATACACAGATTGAGGACCTTTAAAAACACAAGAGCTTCATCGATTTGGACAAACTGACGAAGGCAAGTCACAGGGTCACGGGGTCATGGGGCGGCGTTTTGAACTTTGGAGAAGGAAAGAAAACTCCAGGTATGTCTTTGATGACGGGAAAGTTCACGTGGAGCCTCGACGTGTTTTGTGTATCGACCCTTTAACGCTGAACCACCACGACTGAGTGAACTCGCGCAGACACGACGCATCACTTCTGCTCCACAGGGTCACACCAGGCCCCTCCAGAGGTCAAAGGTTAAACCCTAAACACAACCCCACACGCTGTTATGTCACCACAAAATCACGCTCCCGTCATAACACAGCCCCTCACTGTCCCCCGTCCAAACCAAAGCACGTGCTCCTCTTATGACAACAGCCCCAGGGATGGACGGAGGAGAGGAGGGAGGACAGAGAGAGGGAAGAGAACAGAGGGATGAGAGGAGAGGACTATGGGCCATGTCATTTCTCTTTATCGCTTCCTTTTCCTTGATTCCTCTCCTCGATTCTGTAGGAAATGGGCGAGAATGTTCTACCCAGAGAAGAGACACAGGGAGGAGAGAGGAGCAGAGGAGAGGGAGGAGACAGAGAAAAGAGCAAGGAGAGAAGAGAGGAGCAGAAGAGAGCAAGAGGAGACAGAGGAGAGATAGAGGAGAGAGAGGAAAGAAGACCAGAGGAGAGCCAGGAGCAGAGAAGAGATGAAAAGAGAGAGGAGAAGAGAAGAGAGGAGCAGAGGGAAGAGGAGCAGAGGAGAGAGAAGAAGAGAAGAGAGAGAGAAGCAGAGGGGAGAGCAGGAGGGGAGGGAGGAGAAGAGAAGAGGGAAGCAGAAAAGAGAAGAGCAGAGAAAAGAGGAGAGAGAGGAAGAGAGGAGAAGAGAGAGAGAAGAGAGAGGAGCAGAGGAGACAGAGGAGAAGAGAGAAGAGTAGAGGAGAGAGAGGGAGAGGAGAGAGGAATGCAGGAGAGAGGAGAAAGAGATGCAGAGAAGAGAGGAGGAGAGAGAGAAGAGAGAGGAATAGAGGAGAGAGGAGCAGAAAAGTGAGGAGCAGGAGAAGAGAGGACAGAGGAGACAGAGGAATGAGGAGAAGAGAGAGAAGCAGAGGAGAGAGTAGTAGAGAAGAGAGGAGTAGAGGAAAGAGGAGAAGAGGAGAGACAAGCAGAGGAGAAGAGGAGAGAGGAGACAGGTGAGACAGGATCAGAAGAGATAGGAACAGAGGAGAGGAGGAGAGGGGCAGAGAAGAGAGAGAAAAGAGAGAAGCAGAGGAAAGAGGAGAAGAGAAAGGAGCAGAGAAGAGATAGGAGGAGGGGGGGAGGTGACACGAGCTGAGAGTGAATGGGACAGACTTTCCTCAGGCCCTGGTTCTGACCAAAATCAAACTTTATTTATAAAGCGCTTTTTATACAAAAAATGTAACCCAAAGAGCTTTACAGTGACGAAAAACAATTCCACGTTTCCTTCCACCCACCAACCCGACCCCCACACAACCAAACAACTCAGATTTTTCAAACTATTTTTTAATGATTTTTCAGAGCAGCAGGTTTGTTTTAAAATAAATGTGTTTTAAAGTCAAATTCTGGATTATTTTACACGTCACACCTCCTTTGCTGCTGTCCATGTACTTGTGCAGCGACGATACAAACTCTTCACCGTGAGACAAATACAAATACCTGAGGGGAGGGCTGAGGGAGGGTCTGGTCCAGGGTCTTACACAAACTGGGATTATGGATCTGAACTGGGCTAAAGCACTAACCCACTGTCAGGATTACAGGATTAGAATGTACGGAGGTCCATGAACTACACACTACTTTGCAACAGGCTGTTTAAAGGAGCTGTACCGGAATTTACTATCTTAAAAATGTGGCAAAAAGATCTAGTTTAAGTTTGTTTACAAGCGCCATGACTGAAACAGACGGCTCGTAGTGACTGAGCAGGTTGTACAATATAAGACACACTGTTCAAATACTTAAAATTTTTTTTTAATGCATTCCAAGCATCATAATTATTCACCACGATGAGTTTATAAGCACTAATATCCACATAGGTTTGCCATCAAGGTCATCGCATGAGTAAAATTGGATTAAAATGTATTTAAAAGGAACTTATTTATATTTTAGTTGGAGCCCTTATCTTGACTTGAGTAATTTTATCACCATGAACTTATTATGTTACAACAGTCTGGTTTGTTTACAGAGAGAAGAGAGAGAGGAGACAAAAGAGAGAGAGGAGACAGAGGAGAGAGAGAAGAAAGAAGAGAGAAAGAGGAGACAAAAGAGAGAGGAGATGGAAGAGAGAGAGAGGAGAGAGAGGAGAGGTAGAGGAGAGAGGACATAGAGAGGAGAGAGTAGAGATAGAGGAGACAGAGGAAAGAGGACCAGAGGAGAGAGGAACAGAGAGAGGAGAAGAGGAGAGACAGTAGAGCGAAGCAGAAAAGAGAGGAGCACAGGAGAGAGAGGAGAGGAGAGAGAGGAAGAGAAGCTGAGAAAAGAGGAGCATAAGACAGAGAGAAACACCACGATGAGTTCATAAGCACTTTCCAGAGCATAGTTTTGCCATCACGGTCACCGAATGAGTAAAATTGGATTAAAATGTACTTTAATTTATTTATATTTTAGTGGGAGCCCTTATCTTGATTTGAGTAGTTTTATCACCATAAATTTAATATGTTATTACGGTCTGGTTTGTTTACATTTACAACCATTTGCAAGTGTGAAAAAATACGAAAATATGAGCACCTCACCCCCAATTTATTTATAGTGTGTGTAGAACAGGGGCTGTACCTGGGATTCCTTTGCCTTTGATGGTTTTGGCGATGACGGCGAGCGGCTGGTGACGAGGCTGACTCAGCACTTTACACAGCTCCTCCACACTGTGCCCGTCCACCACCACGGCCTGCCAGCTGACACACACAACACACAATACAAGAGCACACATTCAAGAGGAGCTCAAAATATCAAGGACAAATCTAGTTTGGATCTAGTTAGTCAGGCCTAAACCAAAGCTGCCATGTTGACGAGAACTCAAGAGGCAGAACTTGGGTTACGGTAAAAGACTGAGCTCATGTAGGTCATTGTAGGTCCCTATTTACCCGGGACAGTCCCAGTTTTGAGTCCTGTGTCCCCTGTCCCAGCGAATTTATCCAAAATCATTGATTTGTCCCAGTTTTATACAAGAAATGTCCCAGGTGTCCCTATTTTTGACCAATTTGATACCTGCCAACCGTAAAGAGATTCATGAATTGTAATTTGTTTTGATAAAATACAGAATAGCTGCTTAAAAATGACCAAAACACAAAGAAAATGTGACTATTTTAACTCCCATGTTCATCATGAATGGTCTCTGCATAACAATTTTTCTTAATTTCAAGCTCGTTTTACAATTTTATTATTACCAACCACCAAAAAATGAGGATGTCCCAGTTTTTTATTTTGCAAATCTGGTCACCCTGAGCATGCTGCCCTACACAGAGCCTATTGTACCTAGTCATACCTAAAAAATTACCTAGTCATATTTTGTTATTTCTTGGTTTCAAACGACATCACAACAATGTTAACTGTCATTTTTACATCTAAAACCTGTAAAGTATTGATAGTAAAAGTAGTGACTGACCCGAAGGCCTCACAGCGTCTCTGGTATTTCTCCACGTGGTGCTGCAGGGGGGCCGGGTCACTCTGGCCCAGGCGGTTTATGTCCAGGATGGCCACCAGGTTATGGAGCTGGTAGAAGGAGGCGAAGGCCATGGCCTCCCACACGGAGCCCTCGGACACCTCGCCATCACCCAGCAGACAGAACACCCTGTAACTGTGGACGAGACAGGAGTTAGTCTTATCACACATTCAATCACACACTCAATATTAGTGTCTCTGATTTTACATTAGAGCAGACATATTATTCTTTTTGGGAGTTAGTCGTACTAGTATTAAACATACATAGAAAATTATTTACATTTACATTACATCACTGTTTACCTCTGTATTGTTCTAAAACAGATAAATAATAGAATAGAAGAAACTGAAAAAATCTAAAAGCAGATTGCATTATATTACAAGTAATTCCTCAGTGTAGTGTACAGTAAATTCTTCTTTCATATAACTAGGGACAGCAAGTGAAGTGAACTTTAGTTTTCATTCACTGAACCCATACTGTGAATCTGTGCCAACTAATCAGTCAGTTCCTCAAATCTGAAATATGTACTAACCTTTACTTTGAGAGTAATTTCATCTTACTTGGTAAAACCATGGAAAACGATGATTTATTAAATCTTACTTTAATACACAAGTTAGAGTAAAATGGGTTCCATTCTGCAATAATGCCATCTAGATCTAGCCAGGTTGGTGCCAGGCCAGACCTAGTGCCTCCGCTCAATGTCATTTCTCTCCAGCGACTAGATCAGGAATCAGAATACACTAGAGGGTTTGCAAGAACCATCATGGCTTCACAGCTCTTGTCAAACTCAAGCACCTGTCTGGGTCCCTTTTGTGGAACAGCACAACAGTAAACAATGCGTCGAGATGGATGTAGACAAAGACATACGTTCTGTGTTGGCAATGACTGCAGAGATCGAGGATTTAAAGCCAGAACAAAGAGAATGTTTGGTGCATTTTTTCAAGGGGAAAGACGTTATTGCCGTTCTTCCTATAATTTGGTGCATTACATACGTCACAACCAAAAAGCAGCGATTGGTTAAATAAAAAAAGTATCTGCCTACTGTTGAGCAAATGAATCCTAATGCTGTGAGGTCAAAAGGTTTCTACGAACTGAAACCGGCTGATGAATCAGACTGATATAGATTTGCATCAGGTACACAAGGATTTGAATATTTATTAGTCTTGGGAAAAAACATAGCAAAACTTATGTTCATTTTAAGTTCAAAACGCATCATAACATGTGTAACAATAAAATATTAAAGCTCGGTCATTCCATGTCAACTCAACCAAGGTCCCCGCACATACAGTAGGTCTCAAAAAAATACTGTAAGAAACAAAACAGAAGTGCAGGTGTAATCAAGCAAAGACTGAATGAACAGAGGGAGGATATAGACACGGCTCTGGGATGATTCAGGGAATGAGTGGCGGCTGTAGGAAAAACAGGGAGGCAGCAAAAGGTGGACCGGAACAGACTGGGAAATGGAGCTGGACTCTTGACAATAACACGTCACTGTTGAAGTTACTCGTCTCATTCTAGTCGACCTTGGTCTAATTGACAAATAATGTGCTTTTTTCACCTTGAAAGTTACTGTTACTTTACCACAATCATTAAGATCCACAAATTTGTAGCTGTGAGTAAAATAAACAAGCTGAATGCAAGTTAACCCTACTGTTAGATTTTACAGTGTAGCTCAGTCTTGTTATCTTGGGGTAAAACTCCCAACGAGAGCAACTTAATCAATTAAAATACAACTTAGAGTAAGACAATGATGAAATACATTTTTATTATTTCATATTGTATCTCCTTAAACATTAAATGAGGCTTAAACTGCAAATCTGAAAACTAAAAGATCAACTGTACTTCCCCAAATCACGTGAAAGTTGCACCTTGTTCTTTTGTCTCTGCAGCGTTATTCCTCCAGACCTTTAGGTAATTTTCCATCCCTTCTTTCTCGATGTGGCAGCTGACCCTCACCCCCTCCTCTTCCTCTGCCCCTGCCCCCTCCCCCTCCTCCTCCTCCTCCCCTCCTCCCTCTCTCACCCCGGGATGTAACTGCTCCTGACAGCTTTCCACTCGGATTCACGCAGGAGCACTTTAGCGAAGGGACGTGCAGAGGGGCGGCCCATTACCACACGCATGCCAGACCCACACACAGACAACACACGACGAGAGGAGAGAAAGAGGAGGAAAGAGAAGAGGAGGAGAGAAGAGGAGGAGGAGGGAGGAGAGCAGAAGAGGAGGGCAGGTTGTGGATGTGAGCACTGGGTCTCTGGGACAGAAATTGGGAGAAAGAGGAGAGAAGAGAGGATGGTATGTTTCCATTTAGATTAAATCAGGGTGTCCAGACGTCCCTATTTCCCCAGGACATGCCCAGTTTTGATTCCTGTGTCCCCTGTCCCAGCAGATTTATCCAAAATCCAGTGATATGTCCCAGTTTTGTACAAGAAACCTTCCTGCTGTCCAGTGGTGTAGTGGGGATTTTTTAAGTGGGGGTACATGTAGGGCTGTCGCGGTTAGGGAATTTCTATAGCGGCTCAACAGTGCGGTATGTGGTGATATCGCACCCCCTCCCCCACCCCACATCCCCCAGAGTTACAATATTTCCAGCGGCTCTGAAAACTCTCTCCGATGATGCGCTTGTTGCAAATGCACATGTGCCTTGGTTGTCGTGTGGATATAGTGTGTGTAGCGTGGGAGAAGTAACATTTGGCTTTGGAACAAATGTCGCAGCATCTCTCCAGCTCTCACTGTGGCAGCTCAGGTCAGAGTCCTGCACTAGGTCGGGTCAGAGTCCTGCACCAGGTCGGGTCAGAGTCCTGCACCAGGTCGGGTCAGAGTCCTGCACCAGGTCGGGTCAGAGTCCTGCACCAAGTCGGGTCAGAGTCCTGCACCAGGTTGGGTCAGAGTCCTGCACCAGGTCGGGTACCCATGGACTTAAGAGAGAGACAACCCTGAGCAGGGTGTCCGCAAAGTGCGATCGGGCGACGGCTGCACTTTACTCCATGTGGCGTGAAGCTCGACGCGGGTCCTTTCGTCTGCGGTTACCCGATGGTCTGCACGGGCGCACCTTAGTCCTGGGTTAGTCCTGGGTTAGTCCTGGGTCAGTCCTGGGTTATCACGGGCACAGGCGGGTAACAGGTTAACGGTCCAGGTGCGGGTCTTTAAAAATGGACCCGTGCAGGACTCTGGGTCGGGTCACGTTGGTCACGTGCGGTGATCATGGTGGCCTAACATGCACTGTGGTGGGCCTCTTAGTACCGCGGTGATTCATTTTTGCGGTTATTGTGACAGCCCTAGGTACACGATTTGTGACTAAACTAGGAGGACTAAACCAGGACTAAATCAGGACTAAACCAGGACTGATCTTGGACTTGAGAGAGAGAACCCGAGTCCGCGGAGCAGGGTGTCCGCAAAGCACGATTGGATGATGGCTGCGCTTAGCTCCATGAGGTGTGGAGTTCTACGCAGGTCCTTTCTCCTGCGATCACCCGACGGTCTATGCAGGCAAGCCCATCCTGATGCGTAGTCCTGGTTTAGACCTGCTTTAGTCCTGTTTTAATCTTGGTTTAGTCCTGTTTTAATCTTGGTTTAGTCCTGTTTTAGATGTATATATGTACCTATTAATGACACCCAGCCTTGCACATGATTAAAAAATATTATAGAGTGCTAAAATGATCCATAGTATTGAAAAAACGTCAAAAAACACAAGCTCCTCAGGGGAAGCTGTGCTTTTCTCACATTCACAAATTGATTTAAAGTGACGCTTCCGAGCCCCCCACCGCCTCTCCCCGTGTGTCTGTGCTCGTCTCCACTGCACACATACACACACAGACACAGACACAGACACACACACACCCTGACACACTCACAGAGCACACACACAAGACACACCCGCCATCTTTGAGCTGGACTCTTACTTCACATCACTGCACAATTCTTACAATGAAATCTGAATCTTATTTACTGTTTACTGGTTATACACTCATTGTTTTCTGTTTCTGTTTCTGATCTATGACCTTATCGTCATTCTGGATCAGCATTTGGTCAGAATATCCTGTCATCAGTAGGGCCAGTGTTTCTCTGCTTATTCCTTTCACTACTATATATACAGTTTGTGTGAATTGGGATTTTCTGTGCTCACAAAAATGAAGACAAAGCTCAGAAACAGACTGAATGCTGCGCCGGATCTGCTGCTGCGCTCTCCTTTCTGTTTCTGCCTTTGGCCTTTGCACGGCTCCTTATTTTTGGCTCATGATACAAGGGCAGAGCACAGAAACTGACAAATAAGGGTAAAAGGTCAATATTTTTTGCATACAAATATTTCTTCATTGTAGCAGCTAGATGTGAAATTTTTGGAGCCCGACTTATTATACTTTTGTCTGGACAAAATAGAAACTTTGAGGTCATTTTTCTCAGTTTCACACTTTCACTTTCACACAGTTTCACCAGGACTAAAACAGGACTGAACCAGTACTAAAACAGGACTAAACCAGGACTGAAACAAAACTGAAACAGGACTGAACCTGGACTAAACCAGGACTCAATCAGGACTAAAACAGGACTAAGACAGAACTAAAACAGGACTAAAACAGGACTCAACCAGGACTAAAACAGAACTAAAACACAACCAAAACAGGACTAAACCAGGACTAAACCAGGACTCAACTGGAACTAAGACAGGCCTGAAACAGGACTCCACCAGGACTAAAACAGGACTAAAATAGAACTAAACCAGGACTAATCCAGGACTCAACCAGGACTAAAACAGGTCTAAAACAGGCCTGAACCAGGATTAAACCAGGACTGAACTGGTCTAAGGATCGTTATCCGTTTTTTCATTTTGGTTTTGGAGACAAATAATGAATAGTTGTTTTTTTTGTTTTCTTAATTTTGGTTTTATATTGAAAAACAAATAAATGAATGATACACGGATTATTAAACAACATTATAACATAGATTTAAAAAAATAGCATACCACGGGACATTTAAACAGTAAACCTGCACATCTGATTTTGACGAGACAAAAGCCCCATTACGGAGCTTTACATGATATTTTCGGGGGAAGCCGTGCCCAGCTCAGGCAGCGTGTGGGGGTAAAAATGCCCTCTGACATGTTGTGCGTTTATTGGAGCAGAAATAATTGGGTGATTCCACAGGGCAGAGCCAGAAACACAGCGCCAACCCCAATACTCAACCCTAATGTAAATATCACGAAAAACTATTGAACAGTTATATCATTACACTGTTCTAAATCACAAATACTGCTGTACCTATGAATATTTCAGAGGCTGGTTTATGTAACGCAGTGAGACGTTTGTCGCATTGGACCACGTGGCTGAACTGCACCGAGCGCACGGAGAGGACAAAGGAGCCACGAGGAGAGGCCCAGGCGTGGCACGACGAAATGTGGCATCAACGAGCTCAACAATACGATGAGAATAAGTAATAAATATAATATACTGTAGATTATTATTAGTAATTATTAGGAGTGTGCAAAAATATTGAAATATCGCTATGTCGTATTGTTTAATGTGATGATACAGTATTGATATCGTGGACTGCTGTATCGATATATCGCCAAGAGATTTTTTTTGGTATATTTTACTCACTTATTTTATCATAGCGCTACAGTTTTGTTGTTTGCTCAGAGGAAGGAAACTTATTAAAGCAACACATTTGATATTTTCACTGTTTTGATGATTAAAATGACATGAGTTAGGATTTTTTTTAATTGAACTGTATTGCATCAATTTCAAATATATCGTATCAAATCGAAAGCTCACTGTATCGAGATATGAATAGTATCGTGGCCTATGTACAGTGTTGGGGAGTAACAGATTACATGTGCCGGAGTTACGTACTCAGAGTACAAATTATGAGTAACTGTATTCAGTTACATTTACTGTTTTAATGAGTGGTAATTGGTTTATAGTTACTTTGTCAAAATAAATGGATTACATGGCGGTATGTTCCTGGTTTCACATTTTGGGCTAAACTAGGACTAAAACCAGGACTAAAACCAGGACTAAACCAGAAGTAAACCAGGTCTAAACTGGGACTAAACCAGGACTAAACCAGGTCTAAAGGCAGGACCAAACAGAATTAAACTAGGAGTAAAACCAGGTCTAAACAATATGACACCTAACAGTAGGGTGGACATAATTTAAAGTAGCAGTGATCTCATATAGAAATAAATTCTATATCAATAATATTTTTAATATGTTTAAGGAAATACTGGACTTTTTATTGTCTTTGAGCAGACAAAACTTCTTATATTAAGATAACTTAGTCTCTGTTTCTCTACAGTAAACAAAAGTCTGTTCATGGAGATTTGGGCTCAACAGACAATTTGAAGAGAAAAACATGAATTTTCAACAACAAACAAACAAAATGATCTTGCTACATGGACAGATAATTTCACTACTTTTAAGTCATTTTCAGAACGATTTAAGTGTTTATATCTTAAATTCTGGCCAAGTTTTTTCGCAGTGTAGTGAAAGTACTGGTGTTCCTTCAGTACCTGGCCTGGTCGAAGTACTTGGCGGTGTAGGCCATTCCACAGGCTGCGCCCAGACCCTGTCCCAGAGACCCGGTGGCTACATCCACAAACTGCTGCTTCTGTAAAAAAAAACAGCACAAACAGAGACTTAAATAAATGACAACATGTTTCAATGAATGTCTGTGATGAAAACAGAAAAATATAGCGAAAGTCTTAAAACAGGGGAGTCCTACAATCTATGCCAGATCTATGTAAAAATGCATCTGTCTGCCTTAATTTGAAAGACTGCACTGCTGAATCTGTCTAGTGATCTGTGAAGTCATTAAATTAATCACACAGTGGTGATGATAAAAGTTTGCTCAGCTTCTTTGGGTGTCCATGTTTTTTTTTTCACAGTTTTTACATATTGGCACAGAAAATAAATGTCAAATGCATGTACATATTTACATATACGTATAAGTGTGTGCCTACTGTGAGATAATACTTTAAAATTGTGGAAAAAATCAAACGGAAATTGAATAAAAAAGGGTATAAAGCGAGCATGTTCTGCCATCTCTCTGACAGTATACACTTCTTATATTTACACTATTTTAAAGACATGCTGGGTCCTCACCGGGACTGGGTGACCTTCCAGGATGGAGTCCACTTTTCTCAGGTTCAGGAGCTCGGACTCTTTGAGGAAGCCCACCTCAGCCCACACGGCGTAAAGCACCGGGGCCGCGTGACCCTGACAACACAAGACGGAGTTAAAAACACACGACTATTAACACTGAGATGTTTTCAGAAACACAACTGTCAACAAACTTATGTTTTACCCATAGACTGTATAAAGAAGTGGACTGAGGGGCTGGGACGTCGCCCAAAGTGTTCGGCTCCAGTCAAACGAAGCTCATCGAGGCCGCCAGCTATATTAGGAATTCCAAGACTGTTAAAGGTAATGCCCCTACACCTGATTTATCTGCCTTTTTTGTTCATACCTCGATTTATGGACAAATAGTGAAATAAAAAACCCATCATGTAGAGCAGGTTAATATGGACATTTTAAGACCAAAATGACGAGAGGGTGTCCTATCAATCTGAGCTACCTAGTGGCCGACCCCCAAGTGCTGTTATAGTTTAAATGCCCGTTGATTTGAGCTCCCAAGACAGAAGTGGAGTAACAAGTAACATTTTAAAAGTGTATTAGTTTTATTGTATGTTTTGACCAGTTAAGCAGCGACATGTGAGTGTTAGATTTGCGGCAGAATACCTACGTTAGATGATTGAATAGTTTGGATTTAATATTTGATTTTATCGTTATCATTTTTATTACATCGTATTTTATTTTGTTTCCATGTGTAGAAAACACTGTAACTTTATTTAGAAAGGCGCTGTATAAATAAAATATCACTGTATTATAAGAAGGTTTCACTTTGTGGAAAGCGTCTGACCTCGCAGCATAAGAATTCATTCGCTCGACGGTAGACAGGTACATTTTTTATTTAACCAATTGCTGCTGTTTGGTCGTGATGTATGTAATGCACCAAATCTTGTAGGAAGAAGGGCAATAACGTCTTTCCCAATAATAAAATTCTAAACATTCTCTTTGTTTCGGCTTTAAATCCTCGATCTCGGGAATTGTCGCCAACACACAATGTCTGTCTTCATCTACATCCATCTCAACTGCTTTGTTTACTGTTGTGCTGTAACACAAAAGGGACCCAAACAGATGCTTGAGTTTGACGTCATGGCTTCACAGCTCTTCACTGATTGGCCGGTGTGTGGTCTACAACTTCCGGGATTTTTGCGAACCGTCTACTGTATTCTGAATCCTGACCTAGTCGCTAGAGAGAAATTAAATTGAGCGGAGGCACTAGGTGATGCCAGCCTGGCTAAGGAAATTCATTATGTAGCCTATGATATTAGTAATTAATAGAAAGATTTCAATGTTTCTAGTCATTTCTTTCTCTTATATAGTGGGAGTCTTATTTGATAGAAGATATAAGTCTGTCAAAATGAGCTACCTTTACCCAAATTCATATAAATGAGTGAATAATGGAGATTCTACAGTGGAAGCATTATTCGATGGCTAAATTGTCCTGTCGATATGTACTGCCTTTAGTCAGACCTCTATTTCAGTAGAATATGACTGTCGAAACGATCTACCTACGCATATTCATATAAATGAGTTGAAATTTGACATAACTAAGGTATAAAATTTGATCATCCAGTGTCTCTAATCCAAAGAAATATGTTGTAAAACTGGGGAGATCAGCTTCATTGGATCTATACAACTGTAAACAGAAAAACGTAAGGTTGCTTATTTTGACGAGGTAGCGTGAATCGATAGACGCCGCTGCCGATTTAGGCTGCGGGTAGCTCATTTCGACGGGGCAGCCCATTTCTATAAAAGAACGCAGTGTCTCTCAGGTTATCTACATCCATTTCTATATACAGTCTGTGGTTTGAGCAGCGAATCGAATCAAAATAAAGTGAGCACAGGAGCTGAACCTTGGAGAGGATGAAGCGGTCATTGTTGGGGTTCCTGGGTTCTTCGGGGTGATACTTCATGGAGTGGAAGAAGAGCACGGACATGATCTCAGCCACACTGCAGCAGGACGTGGGGTGACTGTGGAGAAAACACAGCAACGACACATGAACTCAAACTGTAGAGCTGCACGAGAGAGACTAGAACAGAAGCTCATACGGATGGAACAGCTACTGGCAAGGGCGTAGGTTTGGTCTAATTTTTCTTGGGGACATTATCAACTAACCCCCCCATGAAACCAACAGATAGGTTACTTGGTTAACAGAATAATTATATAATATTATTTACTTTTCGTATGATGCACACTGCAAAAACCAAACACCACATCTTTATAAGAAAGGGTAAAATGGGTAAAATGGGATAAGAAGTTGCGGATAACAGCGATGTAGAAGTTTGTATCAGATTTCCCTTTGCTTGTTGGTGATGAGATATTTGTGTGGTCATGTCCGTACATTTTTCCATGGAATATTGTCAGTAGAGTCGGGGTCTCACAGCGCACGAGTAGAGCTCTGTTTGGGAGGTGCACTTGTGCTGATAGTCGCTCTTTTTCCGCGGCGACTCATTATAAGACAAGTTTAATTGAAGATAAAGCCAAGTAAGTTCCTTTTGAAAAGTTTTTCAGAGTTTGGTGGAGCGTCTTCACTCATGCTGCTCAAGCCGACATCTTCAGGTGCGGCCCTGTCCTGCCGCTTCCCCAGTTTAGGCTCTTGGCTCCACTAATGACATCACTCTGTTGTAACCCTGTCGTCACATCACTGAATACATCTCAGAAGGTCTAATAAACAAAATGTGAACTAAAATGTGTTAAATTAATACTATTGAGTTTGGAAAAATATGGGAACAAAGTTGTAGTTTTGTTTACTAAAATAAAATGTCAAATATTGGTAGGGACTATTTTGTCTTCCACAAATATTGGTCCCTATGCAAACCTACGCACTTGACTGCTGGTTTAGTCTAGATGAGTATAATTTAATAGAGATGGGATGCAGCTTTTTGTTGTAACACAAGTAGTTAATTGGTCTAGTTATTGGCAGAAATCATCATTTGTGAATTTAGCTTTTGGACATTTAATCAGAAAATACAGGATAGGAAATCTCTTGTCGCTCATCTGAGAGGCATCTTCACATTCTAAAACCTAAAAAATACACAGCAAATGTCTCTGATCTGGCCAAGATTTAAAAACTTAATCAGGTTATTCATTTTGTTTTCAGATTTATTATTTACTTACTACTAGGGATGTAACAATAACTGAAATACCATGATATAGTATGGTCAAAAGTCTCACAATAATATCGTGGGCCATCTCAATATATCGAATTCCAAGTCTCTTTGCTTAAATGAATAGTTATGGTGAGTTTTACGTCTTTCTCATTCTTTAAAGCACTTTGAATGACTTTGTCTTGCCTCGCCATGGTGCAGCAGTAGTTAAAAATCAGAGGCAACAGTTTGTCGCTCTCACCTTTTTGTTCAAAATCAAACTCTTAAACAGAACCATGAATGCTCGGATTGATCACAGGCTCCTGAAAATGTGCTCTTTAAATTAGTTTTTTGTTTTTTCTTGAGTTTTCAGACAATCTTTCAGATAGTTTTCTAACATGTGCATCGCCTCACTTCAATCACTACAGAAACATTCCACCATAGAAATACACGCAGAACACCCCCAGCGTCATGTGATGGACACTGTAAAGTATCAATACTGGAGGTGGTGGCGGTGATACAAAGTGCAGCCGTAATACGTGAGCAGAAAAGTGAGTTTTGCTGTACAGATGGTTCCAAAGGTTCTCCGGAGCCACAGGAGGAGTCAGTGTTACATAAGCGCAGAGACGGGTCAGTGACAGTCTGCTCCACATATCACACACACATGCACACACACACACACACAATTGCTCCACACATCACACACACAAATGTTCAGCTCAGATACAGACCTGCAGGACTGTGGAACATTGTAGTTACTAGAGCTGTAACAATAACTGAAATATCATGATATCGTATCGTCAAAGTTCTCACAATAATATCGTGGACTATCACAATATATCGAATTATAAGTCTCTTTGCTTAAATTAAGAGTTATGGTGCAACAATAGCTAAAAAAAAAGACAGAGGGAACTACATAGACCATGATCCTTTGCTGCATTTCAGTGCAGACTACAAGAAGAAATAACAGTTCACACTTTTAAATCTTTGGATTAAGTCTTGTCAAGACATTTTAAGAGGAAAAAGTCGCATATTAACAGTTTTGTTCGCAGCCTCCACAAAATATCGCAATAAATATCATACCGTGAGATTTATATTGTTAAAATATCGCACCGAGAGATTTGGATATTATTACATCTCTAATCATGAGCCTCCCCAACATATCATGAGCTTTCCCACGATATCACAATAAATATCGTACCGTGAGGTCCATACCGTGACAATATCGTATCATGACACTTGGATATCGTTACACCCCTATGTAGTAATCATCTCGTTTAGGGCTGTCGCAATAACCACAAAAATGAATCACTGCATGTTGGGCTGCTGAGATCACTGCAGGTGACCAACATGACCCGACCCAGAGTCCTACACGGGTCCATTTTTAAAGACCCACACCCGCCCGGACCCGTTAACGTTCCACCTGTTACCGCGCAGCCTGTGATAACCCAGGACTAACCCCGGATGAACTCAGGACTAACCCAGAACTAACCCAGGACTAACCCAGGACTAACCCAAGACTAACCCAGGACGAATCCAGGACTAACCCAGGATGAACTCAGGACTAACCCAGAACTAACCCAGGACTAACCCAGGACTAAAACAAGACTAACCCAGGACTAACACAAGACTAAACCAGGACTAACCCAGGACTAACCCAAGACTAACCCAGGACTAACCCAGGACTAACCCAAGACTAACCCAGGACTAACCCAGGACTAACCCAAGACTAACCCAGGACTAACCCAAGACTAACCCAGGACTAACCCAAGACTAACCCAGGACTAACCCAACACTATAAAATTCCCTAACCCTTGAATCCCTTGAATTGTATTATCACCACAAACATGAAGCTCTTAATTTTTGAACTCTTACTGAAGTACTTTATGATACTTATGTCTTAACTATGCCACTATGTTTGCCCTCCAACCAAAAAGTTGCCGGTTCAAAGCAGGTGCATGCATACTAAAAACTAAAAACTCTCTTGAATTCTACAACAGTTAAATGAAAAGCTTAATCATGTTTTCTTTATTGTTATTAGTGAGTAGGTTATGCTTACATTTCTTATAATTAGTTTTAGATTTTTTTCATATTTGTTGTTTTTATAGCACGGAAAATCTTCACAAATCTTACTCTTATTTGTCCTGCTTGCGTGTATCCATGGAAATGTTGTTTCTTTAACTATAATCTTACACAGTATTGAAAATGTGCCGAAGTATGACTTTAACTCTTTCCATGGAATCACACAGGTGAAAGTTACACACTGTGTCTCAAACAGAAAGATGTTGTGAAAACTTGATGAACAGAAAGCAAAAAATCTTAAAGGTGCATTGTGTAACTTTTTGTTTGGGGTCCATCACCTGCTTACTTCTATGGATACATCACTGCTCTGCCTGGAATGTTCCACAGTGTGACATTAAACAGATCTACTTTACATTTATTCAATTACAGGTGGTTTTATAGCTCAGAAACACCTAGAAAAACAGGAATTCTGACTGTGAGCGGGGTCACCTCTCCACAGATTTGACCTGTAACTTGGTCAAACTGTGAAACATTCCAGACAAAGTAATAACATCAAGCATTTGACTGACCCTCCATCGGAAAAGTTACACAGTCCACCTTTAAAGCAGTGCCCGATTCAAATTGAGTTTAATTTTAATTTATTTGATCAAATTTGGGCATGTCTGAATAGATAAAATGAAAGATTTTATATACTTTAAAATGACTTTGACTTCTTGATTATAAATGTGTAAAACCTGAACATGTTATACAAACCCAACATGGTGAATTTCTTTAGTACCCCCTCAACAAACTGCGTCCTGCGTAATACTACGTACTGCGCAATTACGCACAGAAACAGATTATTGTACACATTCTTATTCGGATTAAACCATAATAACTGAGTCATTTATCGTAGCATACCTCAAATCTAAAAGCGTAAAATGCAAATAGACATATAAGTAATCTGTAGGACAATTAAAGCAACGCGTAATTTGGCACTTTTACGCACGCGATAGACCAGATCAAATTTATTTTCCTGGATAATCTTTGGTCATTATTCTAATGCATATTCCTGGATTATCACACCTTTCCGCTCCGGATTACACCGCAGACTCTTCTTTCATGAGTTTAAGTGCCTTCAAGTGGACATCTGTGCCACTCTAAAGCCTCGTTTACGCATTACGTAAATCCAAGAGCGCGTGCCAAATGCATAGTAACCACGGGATGTAAAGGGCTTTTGTTTCTGCTGAGTTCACGTGAATTGGACACAATACTTGGAATTTTATAATATTGGTGATGCTTTTTAGGAGCTATGGCACAGTTTACGCGCGCTTGGATGCAAAAACATAACGTGTAAAGTTGAGTATTCTTGGAAAGATCTCGTATGTTCATTTGCACATGCACGTAACTACTCCCCCTTTGTCTTATGTCCGTGTGCACGACCGTCAACTGCACGCACGCTCCACCAACTCTGATCTCGAGACACCGCACGGGCGCGTCGATTTTTTACCACGTGGACATTTGTGGAACGTTATAATATTTTAACATTTTATAAGCACGTAATAGGCACAAAACTGGATACGTTGGGGTATATTCTCAGGATTATTTAGCAGAATAAAAGCATTTTTACAATTTTGAAGAATTTGAAGACTAGTTATTACCAGTGTAGCGTGTCCAGGCGTCCCTATTTACCCAGGACAGCCCCAGTTTTGAGCAGATTTATCCAAAAAACATTGATTTGCCCTAGTTTTATGCAAGAAATGTCCCAGGTCTTCCAATTTTTGACCAATTTGACATCTGCCAAAGGTTAACAGAGGTATACTTTGTCATCTATTTAGCTAAAAAACAGAAAAGCTGCTTAAAAATTACCAAAACACAAAGAAAATGTAACTATACTGGCTCACATGTTCGTCAGAAATGGTCTCTGCATGACAATTTTCCTTAATTAAGTACTCATTTCACAATTTTATTTCTACCAGACACCAAAAAAACCGGGGATGTCCCAGTTTTTTGTTTTGAAATTATGTTCACACTAAAAAACGTGGATGTTCGTACAAATTCAAAACTAACTTAAGTTGTAAATTGCCGATTGCATTGAGGTTAAATCATGCACGAAGTTTTAAAACGGTGTCCCGTTTTAAAATATTTACGTATCTGGTTATCCAAAAGATCATATTTCCAATTCTAGCGTTTAAAACCAAGACATTAGACGACTCATTTATCAAAACCTGACCACGTGAAAAGCCAAGAAACGCGCAGGTGCATGTGTTCGTGTTCTAGTTCTCACCCGCTGCCCGCCGCCGTGGTCGCCCGGATGGAGTTGATCCGGAGCCGGGCAGCGATGTTCCGCAGCGCCTGCACGGTCTGCTGGTCCGGTTTGTGGTAGTCCTCCATTTGCATCATTTTAGAGAAGCGAAGAAATGCCTGGGGAAAAAAAGGACCGAGGATGAATGCAGAAGCGTGGCCGTGCAGCGGGAGGGTCGAAGAGGGCGCAGATAGAGAGCGGAGCTGCGGAGGTACGAGGGGGGCGTGGAGCCGAGCTAAAGCCGCTGAATATGGCTAATCTTGCGCTAAATGGATCGCACTGTACTCCAAAGTCGTCACGCGCTGCAGGTAGCCAATGAGAGGCCGAGTTTAGACCGACGGGACATGCACGGACACGCACAGATACGCATGCATAATTACGCACGCACCACGCTGCAAATTTCTCTGATCTGGCCAAGATTTTAACTTATATCACGTTATTCATCTTGTTTTAGTTCTGAGATGTTTAATTCTAGTGTAGAGGAAGGTTTAGTTTAACAAAACTTGTCTAATAAATTTATCTTGCTGCAAAAGACAACATCCAGCCAAGTTAAGGTGACTATAATTCAGAAAGTTTTAACATGATTTGAGTAAATTTCACTTGAAAAAAATCATTATCACGATTATTTTGGTCAATATTGAAATCCCGATTATTCAAACCATTATATTTTTGTTACACGCTGCATTTATTCATCTTCTCTCTCAAAAAAAAAAAAAAAAACCCAAACAAAAACACTTTGTTATTGATAATTTACGCAAAACTTTAAAATTGAAAATTAATATAGGCAACACTGCAAAAAACTAAATCTTGCCAAGTTAAAATGACTATAATTAAGAAAGTTTTAACAGGATCTGAGTAAAATTCACTTGACAGTAAAATTATCTGCCAGAGGAACTAGACTTTTTGTGCTTAATACATCTTGCTGCACTTAAAATAAGAAAAACAACAACTATTTGCATGTAAAATAAGAAACAAAATCGAATGTTGCTTGAATTAAGAAACACACATTTCTTCCATTTTATTTGTCAAGTTCGACTCAAATAAAGTTAAATGTTCTTAATTAAAGTAATTTTAACTTATCTAGTTATTGTTTTTTTGTCCAGTGTTGCGTAACTAAGAAGTGGCACCACGGTTTTTATTATTGGGGAAAGTTAATGTTTATCTTGTTTCTTGTATATCTGTCCTTGTATAAGCTTGGTTATTATTAGCCTATTTTATTATCCCTTGTTACCAACAGAGCTGATTACATGGGCAAATTATGGCACGTTCTCAAGCCTGGCGAAACATTGGGTCCTTTCAAACCAAATCTGTGGACTGATAAGAGTCTGGAGAGAGTCTGATATTCAGGAGTGAATGAACTGAATGATGATTTTGATAAAGGATGATGATTTTAAGGTGCTGAGAGAAGTGATTGATGAATTGTTATGATACTCCAGTCATTATAAAGACATTCTCTTTGTATGTTTGATTTATTTTTTTAATAATCATTGTGGTGTCAGAAACAGTATTGAGTACTGAGTCTATTCTTTAGTAGGGATGTGCAAAAATATTGAAATATCGATATATCGTATTGTTTAATGTGATGATTTAAGTATCGTATTGTGGGCTGCTTATTGATATATCTCCAAGAGTATTTTTAGGTATATTTTACTAAATTATTTTGTTACAGCGCTACAGTTTTGTTGCTTGTTCAGTAGAAGAAAACTTGTTTATGTGACACATTTGACACTTTTCACTGTTTTGAGGATTAAAATGTTTGTGTTTCATATGAACTTTGCACAAGAAGAGGTTTAACAAAGACTTTTAGTAACACAGCCATGATTTAACCTTTATTTTTTACTGAACAGTATCAAATCTATTTGAAATATATTGTACTGAATCGTACTGAATCGAAAGCTCACTGTATCGAGGTATGATACGATCATAAACGAAAAATGCTGTGCCTTCTTTATCATTATTATTAGTTTGTAAGATCATAAATGAAAACAAAATTGACATCTTTAAAAAATGAAGATAAGAACCAAAAAAACAAAAAATAAATAAAAGTGATTATATTTCTTTTAGAGAGGTTAGTTTATGGAACAATCTGAATAAAAAAAAAAAAGTCTAACACTTTAAAAGCCTTTAAAAAAAGAGTACAAAGTGTTATGTTTTGAAAGATACAGAGCTGTGACATTAATGAATTATGCATTACATTTTGTTTGTTTTAATTTATATTTTTGGCTCATGTATCCAGTAAGTCATAAGTGAAATTGTAAATGCAAACTTGCTGTCCATACGCTCCTTTTCTTTCTTGGAATTCTGTCATTGTTTAATAGGGTTTGGTGTTATAAGTACTTTTTACTTCAGTTTTCCTGTAGTCCTGTGATCAGTCCTGGTCTCAGTCCCGGTCTCAGTCTCGGTCTGGTCCCGGTCTGGTCCTGGTCTCAGTTCTGGTTCAGTCCAGCATCACAGTTTAAGTGACAGAAATGGGAAACGGTCGTTATCCCTTTTTTTTTTCCATTTTTCATTTAAACACAAAACCAAAAACTTTAAAAACAATTGTTATCCATTTTTTCATTTTGGTTTTGGAGACAAATAATGAAGAAAATTGTTTGGGGTTTTTTTTTTTCTTATTTTTGGTTTCTTTTTAAAAAATGAATGAACAAATGATACACGGATTTTGTAGTCTACGTTTTGTTTTATTTTGTAGTGCTGCAAAATTACCAAATAAACTACTAGTACTACTATGTATCGTATCATGGCCTATGTATCGAGGTTTGTATCGTATCGACAGCTTCTGAATGACACCCAGTCTTGTCCCTTGGTGCTGAAACAGAGTCTTAAGTTTCAGTACCATGACCACATTAGTCCTGATTTAGTGGGTTTGTGGGTCAGTAGTATGCCTATGGAGCCGGTGTAAAGAGATCTGCGTAATCTCACCTTTAAGCACATTACGAGAGCGCGATCTCAGCTAGTGCCTTACCTCAGCGCTTTACTACACATCAAGAGGCGGAGGTTGATGGTTCAATTCCAGTTTCTGCGCTCTGTCGTTGTGCATCTGGGCAAAACACTTTCCCTTTGCAAATACGCTGGTGATTTCATAGTGATTGTAGAACGTCCGCTGCAGCTTCAGAGCCAAATAGGATCTAAAAATACAAATAAATATAGTGATTTATACAATTTTATCTGTTTGTAACATGATTATAAACACTTTGTATAACATTTTCCTCCTAAAGTCACGTCTGATGTTCTGTCTGGACACTGAAAGGTTTGGCTGCTGGCGCCCTCTGGTGGACAAAGAGAGTAACACCACAACAATCCTCGTGTTCAATCGTACGGGTAAAAATAGGAATAGACATAAATAAATAAATATATATATATATTATATCTATATCTATATCTATAATATATATATATATATATATATATATATATATATATATATATATATATATATATATATTATTATATTATAGAATAAATAAATAAGAATAATATTTTCATCATCATCAACATTCCCTGGGGGTGTGAAGCTAATAGAAAACACCGCTTTGTTAGAAGCTCAGGGCGTCCAGATGTTCCTATTTACCCGGGACAGTCCCAGTTTTGAGCCTGTGTCCCCTGTCCCAGCAAATTTATCCAAAACCAGTGATTTATCACAGTTTTATAAAAGAAATGTCCCAGGTGTCCCTATTTGTGACCAGTCTGATCCCCGCCAACAGTAAAGAGAGCCATACATTGTCATTTGTTTAGGTAAAATATAGATAATCTGCTCAAAAATGATCAAAACTCAAAGAAAATGTGACTGTTATGACCCAGCTCGCTTGGGGTGAGGGAAGTAACATATATGTATATTAAAAAAACAAAAAAAAACCAAGATGTTAAATGGAATAAATTAAATAATGTTTAATTAACGGGGTTAATGGAATTACAGTTTTGTGTCACGCAGGCTTCCACAAAAACGAGTGATTAACTAAGGGACACACACAAAACTAAAACACAAGTGTCCCAAAGTAAAACCACATAAACCCACAAACAGAATCAAGTGACCAAATTTTAAAAAAGACACAAAACAGAACTAAACTATACAAAACTAGACACACACATACAGACAGACACACACGCACGGGCCTGGTGTGTGTGGCCTGAACCACTCCACCAATCACAGATCAGGGTTCCCACAGCAGGACTTCAGGACAGCCAGCAAAACAATTTAAACACAAAACAAATTACTACTGAAGGCCTGGGGCCATAACAGTGATCCTGCATTTGCAACAACAATTCCTGACACCACGTACTAACCAGGCTCGACCCTGCTCAGCTACTGTTGGCAGGGATCAGATTGGTCAAAAATAGAGACACCTGGGACATTTCTTCTATAAACTGGGACAAATCACTGGTTTTGTTTAAATCTGCTGCGACGGGGACACAGGACTCAAAACTGAGACTGTCCTGGATAAACTGGGATGTCTGGACACCCAACTAATATGTGCATTGTGTCACCATGGTAACTGATAAACATCCCGCCAATAGAGATCCATACAGAACACCCCCAGCACGATGTCACTGCAAAGTATCAAAAGAAATTCTATCACATTTCAACAAAGAATTACAATTAGCTGTGACATTTATTTATACCTCTTTAATATCACAAAATAGTCATAATAAACTAAATTACACACAGAGAAAGAGATCGAAGAAAATTAACATAATCTTTGAAAACAATATATACTCTCTCTGTGAGAAATAAGAACTAAGGCGTAAAACAACCTTAAAATGGTAAATACAATCGTGAGTTAAAGCATTCTCCAACACACTTGAGTCATGTTGGAGAATTAAGAGCCCAAAAGGTACAAATCTAAACACAAAACAGATGTAAACACACAAAAACAGGTACATCCACAGACATTCAGAAGAGCATCCGGTCAGATAATCTCATGTACAATTTGACTTTACTTTGACTTAAAATGTTTTATGCTTAAATCAAACTATGAATCATCACCACAAGACTTTGAATAAGGTTTATTTAGCAAACCACAGACTGTATAAAGAAGTGGACTAAGCGAGTCAAATGAAGCTCACAAGGACAGCAGTTATAGGAAAGAATTTGGAGCCAGTTCCATATTAGGAATTACAATGTCAAAGGCCATAGTTATTCTGCCACTAAAAACAGTCTGACCCACTCCACAAAACACCCGAAGAAAATCTAATTATTACACCAGACTGTCGATGTGAATATCTGTGTTGATAGAATAATGTTTGAAATAAAATTAACCTTGTATCGCATGAATCGTCGCATGTTGAGGGACTATTTTCTCATATATCAGTGCTCTATCAGGAAGTACAACTCGCTGCTGATGCTCAGACATAAATCCTTCAAATGCAAGGTTGGTTTTACTTCTAAAATTATTCTATTGACACAGACATTTACATCTAGCCTGATTCAGTTTCCACAAAGTGAAACCTGCCTGACCTTGCAGTGTTAGATTTCATTCGCTCGACGGTAGGCCGGTACTTTTTTAAACTGAACCAATCGCTGCTATTTGGTCGTGATGTATGCAATGTGCCGCTAATGGGGATAACTGCTAGCCAGGCTGGGACCACCTAGTGCCTCCTCTCCATTTAATTTCTCTCCAGTGAGTAGGTCAGGAATCAGAATACACTAGACTCGATGATTCACAAAAACCCTGGAAGTGAGAGTTCAGGCACCAGTCAATCAGCGAAGACCAGCAGCGATTGGTTAAATGATATAAAGCACCTGCCTACCGTCAAGCAAACGAAATCTAAGGCTGCGACGTCAGACGGTTTCTATGAAGTGAAACAAAATAAAACCTCTATATTAAGCTTTTCCCAAATCCCGTAGGAAGAAGGGCAATAACGTCTTTCCCCTTGATAAAATACACCAAACATTCTCTTTTTTTGTTATGGCTTTAAATCCTCGATCTTGGGAAGCGTTGCCAACACAGAATGTATGTTGCCGAACTCACACTTCCGGGGTTTTTGCGAACCGTCTAGTGTATTCTGATTCCTGACCTAGTCGCTGGAGAGAAATGAAATTGAGCGGAGCCACTAGGTGGCGCCAGCCGGGCTAATTCACTTTGACAGTCTGGTGTAAGTGTCTCCACACGTCTCCAACACTCTGGCTCACAAGGAAATGAGACCCTATGTCCAAAATTCCAAATTGTTCCTTTTAACACTTGCAGCTTTCAGAGAGCGGAGCGAAGTAGTTGTCTGTAGCTGTTTATACATATAAGTAAATGTGGACAATTTTAGTTTAGCCACCATTTATGTTACAATATTTTAGTTTATTTGTGTCTTTGTTTTTCTTTCCCGTGTAGTTAATGTGGCTTAAATCAGTAAAATATTAGCATCAGTTGAAGATCTCTGTGTCTTGATTGAATCTGAATCTGTAACAGCAGCAGTTACAGAGAGAGGGATGACGATTTTTCAATGTAAATTGAATTGGAGCCAGAGTCGATGGAGTCTGAAGCGCGCCCACGCTCACTTCCTATTGTCCATTTATATAAACAGTCTACGGGAGGAACACAGCTGTAGTGTGAATATGAATATTAAACTCCTGTGTGGTTTTGTACCTGTTGTAAACAAACCTTTAGTCGAAAATAGTTTAACAAACATTTAAGAAGCAACAGTCATGATCCCTGCAGTAGTTTTTACTGCAATAAACTTGGAAAACAGGTAGAGTGTAACTTTTCTGGTGGGTGTGTCCAACTCCTGTTTCTCACCCTGACAATTTTGCCTTAATTATTTCATAGTATATAAATAAACTTGGTAATCACACTGGAGACAGGTTAATAGTCAGATCAGATCAGATTTATGGAGAAGCGAGTCTGCACATGTAAGAATTCATGTTTTTTAAGGTATTTTTGAGCCATAAAACACCTGTAATTGAACAAAAGCAATTAAGATATCTTTAATGCCTTAATGGGGAACATTACAAAGAAATAATATCGAACAGAAAAAAAGAAAATGCCTTTAAATTTATGTTTTAAGATTGTAGTAAAAAGTAAACCATGATGAAAGGAAATATTGATGGTGAAAATAATACTAGTTGCACAAATGTTTATTAAGAAATGTGGAAAAAAAAGAGAGAAATTAAATTAAAAATTGGCCAAAATATAAATATAAGTGGGCCTAGCAGTGTTAAAAGTGTGCTGCACTAACACATCATTTTTTATTTTATTTAATTGAATTTGTGTCTGTGTTTGGGCAGTTTTGTTGTTTTTTATTTGTTGTGGATATTGTTTTATATTATTGTGTTTTGTTTTTATGTTAATTATTGTATTTAGTTAAATGTTATATTGTCTTTAATTTAAAAAAAAATAAAAAATTCTGTCTAGGTTCAAAATCCACAAACTGAAATAAACTGACTTCTCAATGAAAAAAAAAAAGAAAAAAGAAAAGAAATAACATCTCCATGGAAACAAGCAAGTAGTGGACCCTCCACTTTAGAAGTTACATAATGCAGCTTTAAACAGAGACATTATTTTTTATTTATTTGTCTTTACGTAGCTCATATCTGTATTAACCCTTACATAATAGGCGTGACAAATTTGACCCGTTTTGACATTTAAGAGTAGTAAAAGTAATCTAAGCATCATTCTTTAATCCTGAAATTTGGTGACTTTTCCTAAATTTTGCCAAAATGCACAGAGATGTTATAGTTTTGTACAGGTGCTACAAATTTTTGGACACTGAGGTTGGTTTGGGTCCAAGATGGATTTTAGCTCTATCAGTGCGGATCAAATGAAGGAAAATTGAAGTTTTAGGGAATCTTAAAACTGTGAAACTGTACAGACCATGTTTGAGGTCAAGAGTTCTCTGTTTTGTTCCCAGAATTAGACCCCTGTTGGTTTTTGAAGGGTCATGGGGGAATCTCAAAACAGTGAAAGAAGCGATCATCCTGTATATGGAGCAGATAAGGGACAGAAGTCAATCAAGGGGCAGAGAGTGTGAAAAATCCCTCAGTCGTCCAAATAGAATCCATGGCAGAGGAGAAAAATCTGTTTGTCGACTGAAGAAAAGTTTGTTTGGTTGAATAAGTTTTGCAGCTGCTTCTTCAGTTCTGGTCAGACACTGGTGGACACTTCGTTATATCTGTCTGCAGGGAGGAGCTAAATAACTACTCTGAAACTAACACACACACTTGTTTACGGTTTCTGTTAGTTAGCTCGGCCTATTTACTTGTAATGAGTGGGTGGTCTAATTAGTATAACCTTTCAGGGCCATAATGGAGCTCCCACACCTCTTGACCAGACCTTGCAACACCTATTGTTTTCTTGTTTGTTTTGATTTAGGTTTGAGTGTAACAGTGATTACATGGTATTTGATTCCACTTGTCATTACATTTATTGGACTAATGTATTTTGGTTGAGTAGCGCTCTGTTGTGATGACCGGTAGTGATAAGTTCCTCTGGTGCCGAGAGCACGTTGCCAGTTCATGAGAGATGGGCACGGTGGGTCAGTGATTTTAGCTCTGTCGGTAAAATTTGTGTATTTCTGTAATTAAAATAAATGTAAATAGGAGAGATGGTGTCGGAGGCCTCCATTTCTGTTTACAGAAGGCCCTGAAAGGTTATACTAATTAGACCCCACACTCATTACAGGTCAATAGGCCTATCTAATGAACAAAAACTGTAAACAAGTAGATGTGTTAGTTTCAGAGTAGTTTCACTATAGTTAGCTCCTCCCTGCAGACAGATATAAGGAAGTGTCCACCAGGATTCTGACCAGAACAGATTTTTCTCCTCTGCCAGGGGGGAAAGGTCTTTCCTTCTAAGTTTGTTTTCACTTAGGACACCACAATTGTCTTATACAAGCAAAAGAAGAACAAGAAAATATGAAAAATATGCTCTTCCTGCTCTTTTAAACATAATGTTTAAATATTACATGTATTTATTAGTGTGGGATAGTTGATTTAGACATTCTAAATAGATATGTTGTTCAAAATTTGGTATTGACACTTACTATGAGAGTATTCTCGGTCCGGGTCAAATTTAACCTTAACCAGACTGTGTTCATTTCTTAAGTCTTCAGTTTGTAAAGTTTAAAAGTTTAAAACATTCTTTTTCACTACAACGAATTGTGCTTTATCATTTTTGGAGTAGAGCATTTTGCAACATTCATTAATTAGATGATTTCTACACAGGCTTTGTTTTGAAAGTTTAAACTCAAATCTTCACCCTCTGAACAGAACTGAAGCGCGTAGAGAGACTTAAAGCTGCATTGTGTAACTTTTCCGGTGGAGGGTCTTTCAAATGGTTTTCTCCTTGGAGATGTTATTGCTTTGTTTGGATTGTTTGATAGTACGGTATTAAACCTTTCTATCTTCATGGAGACCAAACCAGACCAAGTTACAGGTCAGATCTGAGGAGAGGCACAGTCAGAATGCATTTTTTCTTGATATTTTTGAGTTATAAAACCACCTGTAATACATGCATCACAAATTTCGGACTTCTGGTCATTGCGCAGTGCATACGGGGAAGGATTCTCTGAAAAAGTGAGCATCAAACCGCCATGATTGTTTTCCCAGTGGGATGCGTCTATTGACAAATTTGATCTTTTCTAGTCTTTTGAAGCATATCGTTTTTGTTTCTGGTTCTGATAGTCATATTTTAATGTGTGGTTGTTGGATGTCCTAACAGCGGAAAACAGCTTTGGAAGTTTGCGAACTCCATAAATGCAAAAGGATTCAGATGTGTGTGACTGCAAACCTCCGTTCAAACTGTTTCCCTTCCCAATGGAATTGAAAAATAGTGAAAGGCGAAGGCGATGGGCAGGATTGATTCACAGGAAGGACAAAAAAGGAAACCTTTGACTGACTAAATCATCCCAAGTTTGCAGCGAACATTTTGTATGTGGGGTGCCAACAAATTGGGATCCTGTTTGTTAAGCGAGAGGTACAGAAGACAAACAGACTGAGCTGCACTTTCTTGTTCTTGTTTAACTTTACAGCAACGTCTTGGTCTCTTTGCAGTGGAAGGTGTTTCTTGGTGAACAGCTGGTGCCTTCTGCTTTGGCGTTGACTTTTTAAATTTGTAACTAAGGTTGAGCAAGGGATCAGGACTTTGCTTTGATGGCGCTCCACATACAAAATGTTAGCTGCAATCAAAGGTTTCCTTTTTGGTAGAACAATCCTGCCCATCGCCTTCACCTTTCACTATTTTTCAATTCCGTTGGTTGCTAAGTCCATTTCTCGAGCCGTTTTCCTGCTGTTAGGATCCAAGAACCACACAATTTCGATGTCTGAATCCCCAAACTAAAATATGACAATATCAGAACCAGAAACAAAGGCGATATGGTTCAAAAGACTAGAAAAGGTCGACTTTGTCAATAAACACATCCGACTGGGAAAACAAACATGGCGGTTTGATGCTCACTTTTTCTGAGAATCCTTTCAAGTATGCATTGCCGGAAGTCCAAAATTCGTGATGCATGTATTGAATAGATGTAAGGTAGAGCTGTTTAATGTCACACTTGTACGATCTCCTCCAGCAGAGTCAGGTACAGACCGCAAACGATGGGATTTTGAGAGTGGAAAAGCAAAAAAGTCAATATTTTAAGAAAGAATCTGTGCATAATCCTTGTCCAAAATGTGCTGCTGCAGTTCAGGGCAATAGCTGCAAGACTTTAAAGGTGCACTGTGTAACTTTTCTGGTGGAGGGTTCATTAAATGCTCTTATATGATATTAAACCTTTCTATCATCATGGAGATCAAACCAGACCAAGTTACAGGTCAGAATTTCTGTTTGTTTTTCTATGTATTTTTGAGCTATAAAACCACCTGTAAGTAATTTAATAAATGTAAAATAGAGTTGTTTAATGTCATACTGTGGCACATTCTAAGCCGAGCAGTGACATATCCATAGAAACAAGCAGGTGACGGACCCCTAACCAAAACGTTACGCAGTGCACCTTTGCGTTTGTCGTCTCTGAGAAACAAAAGTCACGTTTATATCACCTCTTCTTTATTTAAAAACACAAGACAGCAGCCTCGGCCAAAAGGAGCTCCTCTTTGAAGAGCTAGTAGTCTTTCCCAAATCATACACAAAATCCTCAAGTGCAAAAAGTTCAAGTTCAAGGTTTTAAAATGATACAACTAAACGTGTGTAGAAGTTTTTCGTTCGGACAGAGGGAGCGGGAGAGCCCAGAGCGAGTGGGACATGATGGTGATGACAGACAGAGCCTCTCAGATCCTGGCGTGGGGTCTGCTACAGCTTCATGTTGTTCAGATCTTTGGAGAGGGTCTGCAGATAGGCGTTGTGGATCGCACCGAGGAAGTCTGGATCATTCTGGCAAAGGAAAGATACGTTAAAGGGGCATTGTGTAACTTTTACAGTGGAGGGTCCATCAAATTCGTTTACCGTATTTTCCGCACTAAAGGGCACACTTAAAATCCTTTAATTTAATCAAAAAACGACTGCGCGCCTTATAATCCAGAGCACCTTATATATGAATTTATTGGAGTGTCTTAGTACAACTTCAGTAAACTATAAAGTCGGTCCACTTGCAGCATTACGGCTCCTGTAGTCAGGAGCATCAGGAGTAATGCATACTGTAATTCCTTTTAATATCAAAATGCACCTGTCAAGAGACACGCTTACAACGCCCACTTTAAACTCAAGGCTGTTATAAAGTGAAAGTGCGAGCTGCGTGGGAGCAGTGGATGAGAGGAGGAGAACACACATTCACCAAGACAGGGAGACGGCGCCGAGCGACTTACGCCACGATCTGCCAATGGATTATGGACGCCTGGGCTAAGAATCAGTATCAACTGTGGTCCGAGCTTTCACCAAGACCGGAATCATCACTGAACTGCCAGGGAACAGTAACCACACTGACTCGGATAATGATGAGAGGGATGTGGGCGAGCTGGATGCCGGAATCGCCCAACTGTTTGAACTATTATGAAGTTATTGGGAATACACGAACAATCTAGTGTCTCAGACAGTATTTTTTTTAAGTGTTACAATTGAACAAAGTTGAGAGTTTTTGTGAACGTGTTAAATAAAGTTTGACTGACTTATCTAACTGTTGTGTTTCGTTTAATGCGTCTTATAGTCTGATGCGGTTTATTTGTGAAAAAAGTTTGAAAATAGACCATTCAATGACGCCTTATAATCCAGAGTGCCCTATAGTGCGGAAAATATGGTACATTACGCTGTACTTTGCCATGAAATGTCTAAAAGGTAAATGCACAAATGTGGAACCTCGTCACAGTTCTGCCATTTGTTTTGTGCTTCTCAGGCTACGTTTAAGGTTTTGCGTCTATGTCACAAAACCACGTGACCAGGTGTTTATGCCGCCATATTGGAGGTCAAACTATCCATCTGGACCAACGTGTAGTATTTGTGTGTGATAAAATTTGTATTGAATAACAATGGTTTTGACCTGTGTGGCTATTGGATGTTCTGGCCGGAGTCAATCTGCTAAAGAAGGAGGCCAAAGTATCTTTCTACTGGATCCCGGCTGATAAAGATCACAGACAGAGGTGGATAGTGGCCATAAAAAGAGAGGAATGGAGCACACTGAGTACAATCATCTGTCAGTCAACATTTCACTTCTGGTGAGGGACACAAACGAAGAGATTTACAATAAATGAAATGAAATATACCAAAACTATTTTTCTCCCCCCCACTTCGGCCTCTATTTCCACCGTCCCGGGTCGCTCTGGCTCTGATTTTTGACCTCCATTTTACTTCCCCTGGCTATTATCAGGAACAGATGTGATGTTTGGTGATCAACAAAGATCTCACACATACCGCTACAAAATATTTATAATCCTCTAACCCCGTGTAGCTTTTCAGTTCTTGGTTGGTGTCGGACGATGTCGAATGAATTAAGCAGTTGGGTGGGCGACCCAACGAGCATGCGCTGAACGAACGGAACTATTTTTAAGAAGAATAAACGTTTACATGATCGAGGAATAAACTAATTTGTCTTTAAAATCGGAATAAACCACCCACTTACTTCGGAATTAAATTTAAGTTTCATGTAAACGTGGCAACTGTGAAACATTCCAGACAAAGCAACAACATCTCCATGGAAAAATGTATTTGAAGGTCCTGTAAAATGTTGTGACGTCGACAGAAACCGAGCAGTACAAAATAAACCACACAAACTGACCTTTATCAGATGCACCAGAGTGTCCTGTAGCTGTGCTTTGGTGCAGAGGCTGGGCTGAGCGTCTCCGGTGGACGAAGGCTCGCCGTGGACAGGAGGGAGGACAGCAGGGACACTGGGGAGGACATTGGGGTGGACGTGGACGGGGGGGACCACGGCGGCAGGGGGGGGCTTGCCGATGGATTGTTGAAAGACGCTGGGGGACAGGAGCAGAGACGCTTCGGCTGCACTCAGACTGGGACTCATGGACACAGCCTGGGGACACACACACACGGGTCAGAGCACAGAGACTTTTACAATCCAGCTGAGGCCGTTACAATGTATGGACCACTGCCCATTAGAAAAAACAAAACATCAACATGAAACAACTCAAACAACAAGAAATATTGCCTTTTTTTTGCTCATTTATTATTGGTCTCATCTCTTTTAATCCCTGGGCCTTGAGGAACAAATTTCATTCTGTCAAATAAACAACACTCTGCTGATTGTTTATATTGTCTCATCACTTATTTCCAACATTTAACTTATCACACAAAGATCCAATTGTGTAATTCATGCCTCATATATCATGACGGAACTGTGTTGTATGAATAAAAGTTAAAATATTTTACGTTCAAGGCCAAAATCAGCCTGTTAATCGTCTTATAACATGCGATTAAAAGCCCAACCAGGTCTGAACAGATACCCGATCCAGCTAATATTTCAGCATCAACACCGATATTCGATACGAGCATAGGTATTTTGTGCATCCCAAGTTAAGATTTGGGCTTTGTTTTAAATCTGATCCAGATTCACATTTCAAACATATTCAGGGAAGACTAATACACTTAGGGGACTCAGTGATTTATCGTGATACTTCATTGTTCAATTCTGGAATCAAATTTTTTAAATAATATTTTACACAAAAAAAAAAAATAAAAAAATCACTACTTGCATTCACTTTTCTCATGATTTTAAACTATTAACAAATTATATTTCACACAGTTGTGTTCTCCTGAAGGTGTAGTTGACTGTATTATTAGAAGTAATTATTGATAAATTGCAATATATCATCCATTGTTTTAGTATTGAGATATATTGTGATAAATCAAATCGTGACGTGCATATCATGATATGTATCATATAGTCAGACACAAGGCAGTGCACACCCCTAATTACACTAACACAAGAATTCAATGTATTTTGTAGGTTTTGTAGAGACATAAACTTCTAGATCAGCAGTTTTTCCACAGTATAACGAAAATAATTTCCAAACAACATGAAACCAGTCTCTTACTATTTTTTATTGCTACCTATTTAGAAGTTTATTACCATTTAAAAAAAATATTTTTTACTCTTTGTTAAGCTACTGTGTCCAAGTAATTCAATAAAGTCTTTCTAGGTCCCAGTCTAAGTTGAACATAATGTGCATTCCTACTTAAATAATTACAGCTATAGCAAATTGCTAATTACAACCTATCAAGAGGATTTTTTAAATAAAATTGCTATAAACTTTGCATCACTTCTAAAAAATAAATTGCTACATGCCCCTGGGCATTCCTAAAGCTCACACAGCTTTGGGCCGCTCTTCATTTCAGTTTTCTGCAGCAAGTAACTGGAACCACGAGTTAGTTTTTACCTCTGTCGATTTTTAAAAACTCCATCCAGAGAATTTACAGGATCACTGCTCATGCTTTTAACACTTTAAAATCTTTAATCTACAAATGTTTCACTGTCTCATGTTTCTATTCACTGTTTTATATTATAGTTGAAGTGTGAGTGTTTTTTTGTTTGTGCTTTTGTTTTCTTCTGCCTCTTGACCAGGTCGTCATGAATGGGAAGGTGATCTCAATTGACTTACCTGGTAAAATATTGAATAAATACATTAAAAAATATATGTATACTTAGCTAAACTCAGTCACATGAAGTGCCGGTATGCATATGGACTTACGAGAATTCAAACAGGCAACACACTGGTCTAGGGTTAAAAATTTACTGACTGTACCATCGCCTTTTATCTATTTAAAAATTACAATAAAAACCTTTATACTAACCGACAGAGGTTTGACCAGAGCGGGCGTCTCGTTGTGTGGCAGCAGAGGCTTCCCCACTGGCTCCTGGAAGCTGTGGGGCGGGACTAAAGTGCTGGGCAGGAAGTTGGGAGCGAGGATGGGTTTGTGTACTTCTGTGTTCACTGCCGGTTTGAGCGAGTTGAGAATTTCCTGCCCCAGAAACGCCCCCGGAGGCTGGGGCTGCGGAGGGGCAGGCGGAGGCTGACGAGGACCCAGCGGAGAGGCCGGGAGGTGGGGGTCCGGTCGAGGGCTCAGGGGCTGGAACACAGGACTGGGGTGGAGGGTGAAGGAGGAGGGGAGGACGGCGGTGGGCTGCTGGGGTCTCGGAGGTTGGAGGTGGGGGTTGGCTGGAGCGGGGTAGGCCTGGGGCTGGAGGTACGCGCTGGAGGGGTCAGGGGCGGAGGCGGCGGGGGGCAGAGGAGGGTTGGAGGTGGGCATCGTGGGCAGGGAGGGGTCTTTGGGGAGCGAGGAACCAAACAGCTCCTCTACGGTAATCTGCTTCACGATATGAGATGGCTGGGGAAAAGAGAAATAAAATTAAAATGTTAAAGTCCAATAGATTGACTCTTGTGATCTTTAAGCCAAGTTATAATTTTGTTACCTCCTCAAAAACAAATCTGGAGCTGTGTTTTGTTTTATTCACATGTTTGAATAACCCTTATCTGTTTACATCTCAGAATGCTTTGTTCCAACTTGTGATGTCATGATGCAGCAGTTTTCAAGCTACATTTTACCTTTAGTTCAGTAGAGATTTGCAATTCCACATGGGGTTCTTGATGAAGAGAGACTGTCTGATTATGTAAGATCACGCACGCATAAATTAAACAAAACATAACTCAAAACTCCAGGCACACTGGAAAAAACAATATTTAGGAAAGTTTAAATGACTTAAATTAAGAACATTTTACTTTGAGTAGATTCAACTTGACAAGTAAAATGATCTACCAGTGGAACCAGTGTGTTTTTGTTTTTGTTCAAGCAACATTTGATTTTATTTCTTAATTTAAGTGCAAAAAGTTTTTGTTTTTCTTTTCTTTTTTTTTTAAGTGTAGCAAGTTGTATTTTCATATTGTAAGTATAAAAAGTCTTGTTCCACTGGCAGATAATTTCTCTTGTCAAGTGAAATTTACTCGAAGATAAAATTTTCTTAATTCACGGCATCTTAACTTGGCTACATTTTGTTTTTTTGCAATGGATGTTTATGAACAGTGGTGGGTTTTTTGTTTTTCTTCAGACAAATTCGCTAAAATCATCGCGAGATCAGCAGCGGTGAAACGCTGGAGATGCGCCCACGTAAACCGTCGGGTGACTGCCGGTGAAAGGACCGGCCCAGAACTCCACGCTCCATGGGGCTAACCGCAGCTGACACCCGATCACGCTTTGCAGACACCCTGTTCTCTCAGGGGTGGTCCTAGATTCCAAGTTCTGGTCCAAGATTAGACCTGGTTTAGACCTGGTTCAGTCCTCTGTTCAGACCTAGTTTATTCCTCGTTCAGTTCTGGTTCAGCTCTGGTTCAGCTCTGGTGTAGTCCTGGTTCAGTCCTCAGTTCAGACCTGGTTTAGTCCTGGTTTAGACCCAGTTTAGACCTGAATTATTCCGTGGTTCAGACATGGTTTAGACCTAGTTTAGTCCTGGTTCAGTCCTGGTTTAGTCCTCCTGGTTCTGTCCTCAGTTCAGACCTGGTTCAGTCCTAGTTTAGTCCTGGTTCAGCCCTAGTTCAGTCCTGGTTTAGACCTGGTTTAGTCCTGGTTCAGTTCTTGGTTCAGTCCTGGTTTAGTCCATATACGGTGCAAAAGTTCAGCATCTTCACACATTTATTTTGTTGAGAGTAACTTAAAAGTACTGTAATAGTCATGTAATATCTTAAATTTTATATACAGAAATTTTGTTATGTAACTTGCCCAACAGTGTTTATGAACTATCGTAACATCGTTTAGGACTTGAGCTGCTCACACTCCTCACCTTGTCCGGCTGCGGGGTGGAGTGGGCGCGCTCTGTGGGGGGCACCAAGGCTCTCACTGTGGGCTCTGCAGAGGTGGGCACATCTGTATCTCCGGCCTGAGCCTACGAAAAAACAAACAGCACATGACCACATGAGCACAGACAGGAGCCGGAGGTCGTGACCGCTGAGCCTGAGAGCAGAGATCGGTGAGAGCGAGAGGGCTTAAACTAAATGCACAACAAAAATAATCCCACATTTAGTGACGATGTAATCTCCGAAGTGATGCAGCGTTCGTAAGCTTTGTAGTGCAGAAAATGTCAGTACATAATGTCCAAAAACATCACATTACTCCTGAATAAAGGCCACAACTGAAGCTGTATTACACTTAGATCAGGAATGTTACAGTAAGAAATACTTTTTATTGCAAGTTTTTCAAGAATCTACCTTGATAAAGCGAATATCAATTATTTGTCAGTAACAATTATTGAAATATCGTGATACCGTATCGTCAAAAGTTTTAATGCCATACTGTGAAACATTCCAGACAAAGCAATAAAATCTCCATGAAGAAAAGTAGTTGAAGGACCGGGAAAGCAAGCGGTACACAATATAATATCAAACATTTAGTGTCATATTGAGGATGTAAGTATGAATAAAGGTCAGGTGTGTCAGTGTAACCCTTTATAAATGCACATATCTGCATGAGTCCTCTGTTTTATCTGTGTTTTGATAAACAGCTCTTGTTGAAAAAAGTTTGGACATTCTTGACATAGTACAACCAATCAAAAAAACAAAAAAAAAACCCCCAAAACAGACAGATTAAAAAACACTATGTCAAAGTCCACTTTTATTCTCTGGCTTTTAATATCGCATGAACTATGTGATCCTCTGTGTTTTTTTATTTATTTCATTTATTTATTTGTTTCATTTGTTTATTTGTATTTATTGTTTTTATTTTTATTATTATTATTATTTAGTACTGCTTTTATGTATTGATTTGAATATTATTATTTTATTTATTGATTCTATTAGTTTCCTCATGATTGGAACATAATTCTGCTGATTTTTTTATTTATTATTTTTAAGTAAAATATTTTACATTGCTATGTGAAGCACTTTGGACTTTCTTATTTATTATATGTGCTATAAAAATAAAGTTGGAAAGTTTAGACTTAGCCAGACTTAATCCACAAGGGAAATTATTTGGACACAGGAGCTCAAACATCACAATATAATATAAAAACAATGAGTAAAATATATAAATGGTAGTAATAAATTCTAAATAAGTGGCAAAATAGAGCAAAAGACAGGTGTCAAATAAGGCACAATTATATAAAAGTCAAAATAAAATAGAAAAATAAGTTTCAAAAAAAGTTAAATCTCAGCTATATACAAGAGGAAGACCACTTCAAAGGAGCTTTCACACACTGAAGTCGATAAAACCCCCTCACCCTCTGGTACTCCTCCTTGGCTTTGCTGAGCAGCTCCAGGATGTCGATGGAGCGCGGTTCCGGGACCCCATTGGTCCTGGCTGGGTCCACTCTCTCAGGGGACGGTCTCTGGGCAAGCTCCGCCTCCTGCTTCACAATCCTGAAAGAACACGAGCACACGTTAATAATCATATTTAAAAGGTCAAATATTACACAAAACTGACTCTTGTGAGCTTTAAGGCATGTTAGAACGTTGTTACCCACTCAAAGGTTGTGATGAAGAAACTACATTATAATATAGACCAGAAAATAGCCTAATATTGGCCATTTAATAATAATTTAATAATGCTTTGTCACAGCAGAACAAATGGAGTGGTACAGATATTAATGCAATCTGTACTATTTGAGTCCAAGATTGAGTCATACAAATGAAAGATTAATGCTCAAAATGGAGGGGGAAGAAATGAGACTTCTTTGAACCCACTCCAGTGTCAGAAAAAATTAAAGAAAAGCTGCTTCCTTGTTCACAGTCAGTATACCAACAAAACAATACAATACACACTCCTCAAAAAAATTAAGTAAATATGGACAGGGAAATGTCTTAGGAACCAAAGGATGCCACCTCATTTTATGGAAATAACATTATCAGCGACAGAGGACTTTTATAGAACCCTTGTGGAATCCCAGATCAGTGTAAGGGCATCACTGAGCTCCTGTAAAGTCTGAGAAGCAACGTGGCGACATCTGATGGACCCAAACATAATGTCCCAGAGGTGTTCTACCAGGTTTAAGTCAGGTAATCATGAGGGCCATTCAGTTCCTTCATTGTCCAGGTGCTGCCTGCAGACTCTTACCACATCAGGAGGAACACAGGACCTACTGCATCAGAATCTAATGACAGTCAGACTGCTGTTTTCTAGCCAGTAGAAGTCTGTGTCCCTCCATGGATATGCTTCCCCAGACGATCCCACCACCAAACCACTCGCGCTATTGCAGGCAGCATAGCACTTCCTGTGGCACCCTCAAGCCACCCTCTTGAAATCTGTTTCTGATTTGTCCAGACATTCACACCAGTGTCCTGCTGGAGGTCATTCTGTAGGACACAGGCAGTGCTCAACCTGCTCCTCCTCGCACAAAGGAGCAGATATGAGGTCCTGCTGATGGACTGAGGACCTTCTATAGCTCTGCCCTGCTCTCCTAGAGTAACTGCCTGCCTCCTGAAATCTCCAAATTTTAGAGATTGTGCTGGAGACACATTAAATCTCCTCCCAACGACACATCTGAATCTGCCATCCTGGAGAAGTTGGACAATCTGTGCTGTTTTTCTGTAGGGTTTAAGAATGGCTACATACTCCCAGTAGTGATAATTACTCTAGCCAAAGCAGCACTTGTGGAAAAAAAAGCCAAAAAAGACCAAGAGGGAGAAACTCTGACCTCCACATGTAAGAGCAGTCCTGTTTTATGGTTTGTTTCATTGTTGCTGCTCTAGTGCAGCTGTTGTTCATTTCCATTAAAACGAGGTCCATCCTTTTGTTCCTTTTGTGCCCTGTCCATAATTGTATAGATATCCAACAGATTTATTTTTTCACAGTGAGATCAGATGTGTTTTCAAAGTCTTTCTTGATATGTAATGGATAAAGAATAGAGCGAGTCAAACATGCAAACAGAGCAAACAACTGGCAACATGCAGCAACTACAATGTGGACACTTACTTCACCATGAGCTGGGCGATGCGCTGACAGTCCCTTTTGTCATAAAACCAGATACTGTAGATTCCCACTGTAAAGTAAACAGACAGCAGAATATTAGCACTGGTCCATTGCATCTACAGCAAAGAGGCACATTTCATTCATTCAGACGTGGACCAGTCTGATGCAGGACTTTTAATTCCACTACCGTTCACATTTCTACGCTGGTATGTGTTAAAATAGAGACAAGGAACAGAGATAAAGCTTATTGCCTCCATGTTTGTAGAACAGAGTCTAGAGTGAACAGCTTCTATACTTAAACCTCAATGCGTAATGTGTAATGATGAGAGAACAAATTTAAAAGGCCAATATTACACTATTTTCTAATCTGTTGTAATGTTGTTTCCTCATCACAAACAGACCTGGAGTTGTTTTGTTTTATTCTCACGTTTAACACACAAACCCTGCATATTTAGACAGGATGTGTGTTAAACAGAAAACCCTCTGTTCCACTTTTGATGTTGTGGTGACACAAAAAGTATGGAGATAGGTTAGCGTGTTTATTATCAAATAAATATCATGACATTCACAAATACATTTCTTGGTCCAGAAACGAATATAACAACATCCACAAATATAATTCAGGACTTACAAATAAATATAACCACATTCACAAAAGCATTTCTCGACTCAACGAAAATGTTACACGATTCACAAAAGTCAGTGCAGTTATATTTATTTGCAAACCGATAAACCTGCATTTACAAACCACCGTACAGATTTGAGACTACATTTATTTGTGGATTTTTGAGACCTTCCTGACAGTGTTTGATCCACAAATATGTGTATGTTGTTTTTTGTAAACAGCCAATCACATTAAGTGAGGTTCGAGTGTGTGGTTTATGGTTGACAACATTGCACTACTATTGTGCACACTGCAGAGTAATAGTCAATAGGTCCATAGGTTCCAGATAACTGGCAAAAATGGCAGGGTAAGGAGGTTCGTCAACTGTAAGTATAACTTGTTTTTAACTTGTGGTTTGTAAAAGCAGATTCAACGTTTTGAATATAAATGTAACTGCACGTAACATTTTCTTTTGAGTCGAGAAATGCTTTTGCGAATGTTCTTACATTTAATTGTTAGTCATGAATTATTTTTGTGAATGACGCTTGCTTCTGGACCAAGAAATGTATTTCTGAATGGCGTGAAATTTATTTGATAATAAAGGCACTAACCTAATACAATAAAAAAAGTGCTCCACTGTGTTTTTAAACTGCACACACATTCACTAAAATCATTTGGATAATTTCAGCCCTGGAATTACCAATCTCTACTGAACTAAAAGGTAAAAGGAAAGTGTTAACTTGAAAACTACCACATTACAAGGTCGAACAGATTAATTTAAATGCAAAAATATTTAAATACTGATATATTAAGGCTGTGCAATTAATTCAATTTTGATCACAATTTCGATTTGTGTGTCAAACGATCTCCAAACTCATAATCAAGTTGAAATGATTTAAGATTAACAAAGTTTATTTGGGGATTTTTATTTTTTATTTTTTTATTTTAGCGTTTGTAGAACAGCTGGATATATAGTTTATTTTAAATACATTTATGTTTTTCTATGCCTTGTTTCATGTTCAAAGTATATTTTATTAATTTTATGAACTGAAAACTGCTCTAAGGTTCATATTTGTAGTGTATATTTTCAATTTGAAAGTTTTACGTAAATTATCAATAACAAACTTTTTTTTTGAGAGAGAGAGAGAAATGCTGAATAAATGCATCATGTAACTAAAAAATAATTGTTTGAATAATAATAATTTCAATATTGACCAAAAAGATTTTTTCCATAATCGAGCAGCCCTATGACATATCGTATCGTTTAATGTGATGATACAGTATCGATATCGGGGGCTGCTATATTGATATATCACCAAGAGTATTTTTTGTAATATTTCACTTAATTATTTTTGTTACAGCACTACAGTTTTGATGCTTGTTTAGAGGAATGAAACTCGTTTATGTGACACATTTCACATTTTCACTGTTTTGATGATTAAAATGTGTGTTTTTCATATGAACCTTGCACAAGAAGTGATTTAACAAAAACTTTTAGTAACACAGCCATGATCTGAAATATATCGTATTGAAATATGTATCGTATCGGCAACTTCTTAATAATACCCAGCCCTAATTCTGGGTATGTTTTTGATGAGGTAGCAGCATTATAACAAGTCTGTTTTGAGTAATATATGACCTTTAAGCAAACCTACTCATCTTTTCTATGGTAACTTAGTATAATGTTTGTGTTTCATATTGTGCATCATTAGTGTGGGTGAGGTCTTAAGCCCCATGAGACCAGCCTGTTACCCAGCAGCCCCTTTGTTTGTCTCTGCTCCCTCCAGAGTCACAAGGGACTAAAGAGCCAGTAAACACCTACCACACTGCACCACACTGCCATCATTATCATTATCCAGGCTCCCAGCTAGTACAGATTTAGTCCTGTTTTTCTATTTTTTTTTACCACTATAATTTTGGCTTTTTGGGGGGAATATTTTCGTAATCGTTTTCTGGCTCACATTTGGCCCTTTCTCCTCTAACTTTGCATCAGTGAGAAGACATTTTCAACACCTCCAACTCTCAACTGTTACAATCTGGACAGCGCGAATGGAGTGACATCGTTGTGAATTTGTCTGCGGCGGAAAAAAAAACATGGACAATTTTTGAGGCCATTTTGTTAAAAGTCAAACAACCAGCTCGCTAGAATGTCATCTATACCGGCGAGATTGATCTGCAAACCCAGCCCAAAAGGAGAACAATCCACGCTAACCCTAACTCTGGCCATGCTATTTTTCCTCATCAGTAAACAAATGGGGAAACACTCAAATTCCCTGTTCGTGGCTGTGCTTAAGCTGCTCTTCAGGCTTGTGGTAGACTACCTTGGAGGGAGCGCAGTCAGCTACTTTCTCAAGATTTGATACGCCCTTTTTGGATGATGATTTTCAAAAGTCCCCCGATTTCAAACACAGAGAGAATGACCTAAGAGAATCCACACAAACTGTTCACGTTACATTGGCCAGTCTGGGGTCATGGCCAGAGAGGTGCCCATCGATCAGATCCTCCTGCTCAAAACCAGAAGAAGTCAGAACTGTTTCAAGCAGAAGGGTAAAGCCTTGTACCACCTCACACTCGGACGGTGCCTGTACGGGCTTTTTAGAGGTAAACTACACAATGTACGCATGTTAAAAAGCTGTTTTACAGAAGAATTTAGAGAGAATATTCAATAACAATATTTACTTTTGCTATAGCGATGTAATTGTGATATTTTAAAATACTGTTTCACACAATAAGTTCCATAGATTTTTTTTTAAAAAGCCTTAATTTGCTACTCACACACACCCCAAAAGGATAAATAGAAAACAAAATAAGACCAAAAAGGCTTTTATGTTTTTTAAATGTAATTTAGCCAATACTGATACTGTTTTATTTTTATTATGCAGCCTTATGTTTTATAACATAATAATAATATAAGTGTAAGCATCATTTCATAAGGTTTAAATAATTAACAATACATAATTGATTGAGCAATACATAATAATTCATTTGTATTTTTTATTAAAAAGCAATGTAGAATGTTTCAGTAGATGATTTTATATGTTGGATTTAATAGAAAGAAATTTGATACATGATTTCCACATTTGGGGGCGCACTATTAGCCAAGCTGGCGCCACCTAGTGCCTTCACTCAATTTAATTTCTCTCAAGCAACAAGATCGGGAATCAGAATATACTAGACAGTTTGCAAGAACCCTGAAAGTTGTAGACCGCGCACCCGCCAATCAGCGAAGAGCTGTGAAGCCATGACGTCAAACTCAAGAGTCTGTCTGGGTCCTTTTTGTGGAACAGCACAACAGTAAACAAAGCGGTCGAGATGGATGTAGACGAAGACAGACATTCTGTGTTGGCAATAATTCCTGAGATTGAGGATTTAAAGCCGGAACAAAGAGAATGTTTGGTGAATTTTATCAAGGGGAAAGACGTTTTTGCCCTTTTTCCTACGGGATTTGGTGCATTACATACGTCATGACCAAAAAGCAGCGATTGGTTAAATTAAAAAAGTACCCGTCTACCATCGACTGAACAAATCCTAATGCTGCAAGGTCAGACAGTTTCCACAAAGTGAAACTGATGAATCAGGCTAGCACACTAGTGCCTATCTCTTTTATTCCCATGTAATTACACATGAAGAAATGTTGTTCTTAAAATAAAGAAAAGGATGGCTGGAGCAACAGGGTCGTTTTATGATGCTGCAACAACATCAAGCTGTAAATGCGCAAGACAGACTCATTAGTCATTTTTCTTTTGTGAAGAGATTAAATTAGTATCAAGGAGAAAACAAAGTCTAAGATTTGCCTGTACAATAGGTCACTGACAATGCATCACTGAAGTATGCTAGACTGAAGTAATTTAATTTGTTGCTCAGTAGTCTATTAGTCTATTGTTGCTCAGTAAAGTTTGTCTAAGTCTCTTAGACAAACTTTACTGAGCAACAAAGGAAATTACTTCAGTCATGTCTGGCCTCTTTAAAACAACAATACGCAACTTCAAATAATTTATATTACAGGCAGTTGAAGGCATTAGCGTAACTTGCATTTCTAGACAGTCAAAGAGACTCAATCAGAGACACTGAAACAGCAATATACAGGCAAAGTGTCAGAACCAACAATCCACCTGTTGTTAGGCGAATGCTCAACCCACTGTTGCCTGGCTTTATGGTGCCATCAGTGAGACAAGAAGAGAATGCACTTTGTTACATCTTTCAGTGTTCATTCATCACAGGTACATTTAGAGTAACGTTTGTATGTTCACATTCTGCTGTGTTGTGTGTTGTTGCTTATGGGACTAGTGTTTCTAGGAGACAACTTTAGGCCAAACATAGTAACCAACAAAAACCCTGACAGTTACTTTGCAGTGGTGTGCTCTGACTTGGGGGATACTCACAGTTGCCATTTCTGTAGAGCAGAAAAGGATCTTGAAGCTGGAATTCCAAGTCTTTGTTGATTGGCTCCACCAGGTTCTCGGTGCTGAGTCTGTTCATGATGGTGAAGCCATGGTGAGGAGAGGCAGACCTACAAGACATACAAGTCATTTAGACATTTCCAGTATAACAGAAGATTTTGACATTATAGATCTTATTAAACATGTGAGTATTTTTAATCCAGATGAGTCCATCCAGGCTCTTCTGGTGTTACTCAATACTAGGGATGGGCATGATTAGTCGATTAATCGATAATTGATCATTAAGAATTTCATTGATTACGTTAATTTTAATCGACAAACCGAATGTAGGTTGCTGTGTGTAGCGTGACCAAACAGGGGGTCCGTACATGTATCTCTGCACTCAGAAGGAGCGAGCAAACAGAAACAGTCGGTCAGCCTGCAAAGTAACGAAACGCAAATGCGTATTTAACGATGACTTGTACAAGAAATTCCACGCTTTCCGTTGCGTTCGGGACAAGTGGGAGTCCATGTGCACAGTGTACAAAGCAGCACATATGTTTCGGTGTCCAGTGGGAAAAAGTTTTGCCAGGTGAGAGTCGCACAATGTCAATGACGAGTCCCCACCTCCCACCCCCCGTACGGTGTCCTGGTTTTGACAAATGCAAATATGGTCACACTAACCTGTATTCCACTGAGTCATGTCTTTTAATCCAACAGAAGCGCACAAGAGCTGATTTTTTTTCTTCGCTTAGTTTATGCAAATTAGCGATGTGGTTTTAAGTTTCGTTTCTGTGAGAGTTGCGCAAAACTGAATTAAACACATTATAATGTCAAACAGATTGATGTGGCTCTAGAGTCGTTACGGTTTATATGTCGTAAAGTTGAATTTAGTTATGCAGATTAGTAGTGCAGATAGTAATCATAATGATGATCATTTTAATATAAAAACGTTAATGATTAATCGATAATCGATCGTTAATTCTTCCGACGATCGATTAAGAAAATTTCATCGAATGCCCATCCCTACTCAATACATTTGGTTAGTACTCAGGACATAAATTGAACATGAATAAAACACAAATTATGAGCTTTAATTACAAACCCTCATTAATATTAAAGTCGAAAATGCCAGTTGACTGGCTAAAAAAAACTATTAAGTACTTGGGTGTGTGGCTGACACATTCTCCTGCTGACCTATTTAAACATTTGTGTATTTTAATCTAAATACAAGTCAAAATCACTGATCCAGGATGTTTATTATTCTACTGATAGTACAGCAAGATTACAATACACATTTCCTGCTGTTGCATTACAATACATAGGCCAAGATACGATACATATCTCGATACAGTGCACTTTCGGTTCGATACGTTATATTTAAAATTGATTGATAGGGTTCAGTAAAAAATAAAAGGCTAAATCGTGGCTGTGACACTAAAAGTCTTAAAAGTGTTAAACCACTTCTTGTGCAAAGTTCATATGAAACACAAACATTTTAATCATTAAAACAGTGAAAATGTCAAATGTGTCAGTTTCCTTCCTCTAAACAAGCAACAAAACTGTAGCACCTTAACAAAATAACTGAGTAAAATACACCAAAATAATTCTCTTGGCGATATATCGATACAGCAGCCCACGATATCAATACTGTATCATCACATTAAACAATACGATATATCTATATTTATATTTTTTGACCACCTCCAATAGTGTGCAAACTAACCTGTAGCAGTGTCATGCAAACACAAGTGACTCCTAAACTACTGAGGTCTTAGAATTTTTTCAACTTTTTTCTAGTTTTATGTGTTATATAGCACTGTGCACATTAGGGGTGTGCAAAAATATCGAAATATTGATATATCATGCCAATTTAATAATTAATGTGATGATACAGTATCGATATCGTGGGCTGCTGTATCAATATATCACCAAGAGTATTTTCTGGTTTATTTTACTCAATTATTTTGTTACAGTGCTACAGTTTTGTTGTTTTTTTAGAGGAAGGAAACTTGTTTATGCGACACATTTGACATTTTCACTGTTTTGATGATTAAAATGTTTGTGTTTCATATGACCTTTGCACAAGAAGTGATTTAACTAAGACTTTTAGTATTACAGTCATGATTTAGCCTCTATTTTTATTGAACCGTATCGAATCAATTTTAAATATATCGTATCGAATCGAAAGTGCTCCGTATCGAGATATGTATCGTATCGTGGCCTATGTATCGTATCGGCAACTTCTTAATGATACGCAGCTTTAGTGCAGGTGTTGTTTACAATTCCAATGCCACGTGCGAAATACGTCAAATGACGACGATTCAACAACAACAACAAACAAGAAAAAACAAACACAGTCAAATAAAACACAGAAACTAATGTATTTAAACCATCCAACACGCAGAAACATTCTCACCTTGAATAAACAAATAAGGTGCCTTCAATTTCAGTCTTCTCCTGTAAAAAACACAACATATGTCAGAGGCTCCGGGGCTAGTTTGCTGTTAGCGCACAAGCTGGTGCGAGAAAGACAACAACGCTACAGAAATGTCCATTCTGTATCATAACATTACCATAAATCTATACTTTTTATGACTGCAGATAATACTGAAAACTGTCTAGCTACAAAAAACAACATTGTGGCGTTTGGTAGAGTTTTATGGAGATGTTATTGTTAGCCTTTTCGTGCTAAGAGCTAAAGCGCCCGGTGTGTGTTTGAAATCCGCCCGTGCTTTTAGAGACAAACTTACCCATTCATTTGCTTTCGCGTTAAAATTATAAAGTGCCACTTGTCCGGTGACGTCGAGCAGCTTGTTGATGTACGGGTCTTGTCTCTGCAGAGCCGCTAAACTCATCAGATGTCCCGCGTTTGCGCTCTCCATCGTGCCCGAGTCTGCGCCGTGTTTGCTGCTCCCGCACGGAAGGTTTTCTGTGTGACTCTGATCACTTCCGCTCGCACCGGAAATGGAGCAGTGTGGAAACTTTGCCAGAGGCTTTTTTTTTTTTTTTTTGTTCCACATGATTAATCTGAATCTGATCTGACCCCAGATTTAGGTCATTTCCAATTCGGCTGATGTTGCTCACAGGACTGTAGATCCATGGCGCTGCTGCTGCTGCTGTGGAGAAAATCATTATGGTGAAAGAAAGAATACGAGTTTATCACGTGGTGTTGACGCGCCATTGGGATTTTAATAAAGTATTTATTTAAAATTTAATTTAAATTATTTTAAACCAACCAGAACATTTAGCAGTCAAATTACCAACCATAAAGATAAAAACAAAACAAAAAACAAAACAATATAAAGTGACCATGATGAAACAAACGCCAAAAATAAACGTAATGATTACTATTTAATCACAGGTCTCCAATTGATAGCTAAGGTCAGTTAAAATACAATCAGTCAATGAATCTGTCCAGGGACTACAGGTGGAAATTTGCACTGTGCTATAACCTGGAACAATGCATCTCTCCTGTTAAGGTTTATGTAAATAAATGTCTTGTTAAATAAATAAATAAAGAGAAGTATGCCTTTAGACCTATATTATAATCAGTTGTTTGCATAAACTGTATAAAGAAGTATGTATAGTTTATGTTTGAGAGCATTTGCCTCATTCTGAAAGGAAACATTGGGGCTGGGATTATAATCCAGGATTACGAGCGCTCCCACTGGAGCACAGGTAATCCAATCACTGGAGGCTTTCCAGCGCAGCTCACACTCATTTTGTCTCGAACCTTGGCGGAGTGAAGCACAAACCGCGCCATGGGCCCCCAACACAGACCGAGGTGACTCCATGCCGCTCATTATTCGGGCGAGGCCCCGGAGAGGTGAGTACTACTGTCTTCACCGTGGAGTTTTGGGATTTGGACCATGGATCTATGATTTGGCCTGGACTAAAGTGTCTGAGACTAATCTGAACTGTGAGCACACGGCACTTTCACTCCACGTTGCTGCTGGACTTTGCTGCGTCGGAATGGGACAAAATAAAAATAAAAATGCCCAAATCAAGTTCACTAAAGTGTGTAGTTTAAAGTTAAATCGTTGGCTATATTGTTCAGAGCAATTTCAATAACCGACCCTATTTCTGAGACCCAATATCCAACTATTTACGTTTCATTTTAAGCGTCCATTTTGGTTTGTTAAAGCATGCACGTGTTGCGATTCACTTAAAAGTCTGTTACTATATCTCTAAATCAGAAAACGAGGACATTTAAACTCCAGGATTACATTTAACCTGGAGGAAGTGAAAAGTTAAATCTATAAAATCTTTTGTTTCCTATTCAAATACCCTGACTTTCCTTATGGGCTATACGTAATGGCGCCAACAGGTGTTTATCGTGCGTAAAGTTCCTCCATCCCCCTGGTGCATCCTGGTCCACACGCACTGGCGGCACTGGAGTGATGCTGCTGCTGCTGACTCCGCGCAGGCAGGAGCAGGCAGGAGCGGGCAGGAGCAGGCAGCGAGGCACCCGGATGTGGCGAAAATGTTTGGCGCTTGTGCCTGGCTCTGCGCTCGGGGGGAAAAAATCGCGTATCTAGGTTCTAATTTTTAACGCGAACGACTCGGCTGCCGCGTCGACACCTTTTGGATGTGGTTCTCCGACGATGCGTTGGATGTGAAGCGGGTGGTTTCCATGTGGATACGAGGATGCACGAGGCAGATGAACAGTCTGAAGGTAACGCGCGGAGTTGGAGCGCAGAGAGTGTGGGAGAGTGGGCTGCCCCAGCGTCGGTTCATCCTGGCATCGCTTTTTGTGCATTTTTTACGCGTGGATTTAAACTTATTTGGGCAATTGTGTCGTGGTGAAATGCTTGTTGAGACTGTCCGTGTGCAGGGACAGTGATCCTCGCATCCACTGAGGAGATTAAAATGGTTGGTCCGTTTGTGGGCGAGTTGAGCGCCGCTTCAGACTTGTGACAGCTCAGAGAGGATGCTTTGGATTTGGGTCGTGACAACATCAGGAGTTCAGAAAACTTCAACACGTTTTAAACTTTTTCTGAAGGAGATGTTGTTGCTTTGCCTGGAATGCTCCACAGTATGAAATTAAATCAGTTTTGAAGCAGTTTTATTGCTTGATTTCTTGTCTTGACCTGGTGGCATCACTTACATCACTTGTCTCTTGATGCCATACTGTGGAACATTCCAGACAAGATAATCATTTTGGAACTTCCATAGAAGTTCAGACAATTTACATCGTGCACCTTAAACACACCATCCACCATTTGTTATAATGTTGTCTCCTCAAAACAAACAGACCTGGAGTTGTGTTTTGTTCCATTCGCACACGTTTAACACACAAACGCTGCACTCATCTTGACTTCACTAGAATAATTAGAATAATTTCAGGCCTGGAATTGCCTATTTCTACTGAACAAAAGGTAAAAATGAGCTGTTAATTTGAAAACTACAGCTTCATGACACCATAAGTTGAAACAGAGTGTTTTGAGCATTGGAGATATAGACAGACTGATAATAAAGAATTAATCAAACATGTGAATGAACCAAGCCAAACACAACTCCAGTTATGCTTTTGATGAGGTAGCAACATTATAACGACGATGTAACGCTCACAAGAGTTAATTTCTTATAATACAGGACCTTTTAAAATGTGCAGAACCTCAAATATTTCAGATGTCGAAAATAACTTACAGAAATAAGAGGGTGTCCCAAAAAATTTGACATGATTTTAAAAGCAATTATCTTGAAAACTACTAAGTCTATCTTGATAAAATTGAACAGTTTAGGTGTTGAAAGTGGTTTATTATGGGACTGAAAATTTTGACAAATAGCAGTGATTGGTTAATTAAAAAAAAAAAGTACCCGCCTACCGTCGAGCGAACGAATCCTAATGCTCCGAGGTCAGACGGTTTCTATGAAGTGAAACCAGCTGATGAATCAGACTAGGTAAAAGGAGCTGTTAACTTGAAAACTCCTGCTTCATGACATTGATCACAAGGTGGAAAGCGTTTTGAGCTTTGGAGATGTAGATAACATGACTTAAAGTTCACAAGAGTCAATTTCTCATAATATAGGACCTTTAAAATCTATTTCAGATGTCAAAAAATCTTGAAAACTCAAGTTAGTCAATAGAAACACAGGGTGTCCCAAAAAATTTGACATAATTTTAAAAGCCGTTATCTTGAAAACTATCAAGTCTAGCTCAATGAAATCGAACTGTTTAGGTGCTGAAGGTTTATTATGGGACTGAAAAATTTTACACAAACTTGTTCATCTTCTCTTCTGATGTTGATGTTGGTCTACCAGATCCTTTAGCCCTGCATAAACAACCTTCCTCTTTACATTTTTGGTACCAAGTCCAAATTAGTTTTAGCCAGGCTGGCACCACCAAGTGCCTCCGATCAATTTAATTTGACTAAGTCAGGAATCAGAATACAATAGACGGTTTCCAAGAACCCCAGAAGTGCGAGTTCAGGCACCAGCCAATCAAGGGGAAAGACGTTATTGTCCTTCCTCCTACATAATTTGGGAAAAGCTTAATATACCAGTTAGCCCCGTTAGCAGCTCATTACATACGTCACAACCAAATAGCAGTGATTGGTTTAAAAAAAAAGTACCCGCCTACTGTCGAGTGAACGAATTCTAATGCTGCCAGGTCAGACGGTTTCTACGAAGTGAAACCAGCTGATGAATCAAGTTTATTTTGGGACTGAAAAATTTGACATTATCTCATATACAGTTTTTCACAAACTTGCTCGATCTTTTCTGATGTTGATGTTGGTTTACCAGATCCTTTACCTCTGTATAAACAGCTGAACTCTTTACATTTTTGGTACCAAGTCCAAATTTGTTTGCCAGTTGGTGAAGTTTTTCCAAACTTTGCATTGATGGTTGCACAGTTTTGGGTGAGTGTATGAGCAGATTCCGAGACACAAAATGACTTCTCTTTGGGAGTGAACGGCTCAACCTGAAAACAGAACAAAAATAAAACTTTAAGTATGAAATCACTAGAGTCCCGTAGAATGACCCCAACGATTTTAGCCCAGTTTTCATTCAGTCTCGACTAGGGACGGGCATTCTATAAAATTTTCTTAATCGATTGTCGGGAGAATTAACGATCGATTATTGATTAATCATTGCTTATTAAAATTATCATTATTATTGCACTACTAAACTGCATAAATAAATTCAACTTTACAACATTTAAACCGTAAACACTCTGGAGCCACATCAGCCCATTTGACATTATAATGTGTGTAATGCAGCTTTTCACAAATCTCACAGCAATGAAACTTAAAACATACATGGCTAATTTGCATAAACTAAGCGAAGAAAAAACAGCTCTTGTGCGCTGATGTGGTTCAACTTCTGTCGGACTAAAGGACACGACTCAGTGGAATACAGGTTAATGTGACCATATTTGTTTGTGTCTGCTCGCTCCTTCTGAGTTACAAAGAGCTACGAGAGACGCACAATTTAACGGCCCAATGAAAGGAAATGAAAACCTGAACATTTGCATCACTTTATAAAAAAAAAAAACCTGGACGACCAGGACAGGACGTGGAAAACGGACATGTCCGGGGAAAAAACAGACGTTTGGTTACCCTACACTACGCACAGCAACCAACATTCGGTTTGTCGATTAAAAATGAATGTAATCGATAAAATTGTTAATGATCAATTATCGATTAATCGACTAATCATGCCCATCCCTAATCTCGAGTATAAATATTCAAATGGCAACTACAGAGTGTCTAAAATTTGACTGCAATAAAGAAAGAATTGAATGTTATGTGTTAGAAATTTAAACTTAACTTCTAAAACAGCGAAGCAAACATGGTAGGGGGGCACTGAATTGCTGAATGTTTGCTCCTCCGACCAAAAATTGTGTGATCCGCCTCTGGATAGAAAAGCTTTTGAGACCCAGTTCCACATACCTCTGTGTAAACGCACTTGTACAATGTGTCAGTTGGTTAGTCTTTG